TTCACTCAAAGTAAAAAATGAAACCTTTTAGAACCCTAGAAAAAGAAACAAGTGTGTTAGCGTTTGTGGTTGTGTGCGACGACAGAGTTACTGCAATAACTGGGGATGACATATGATATGACACATGGAGGTGCTGTGTCACCTCTGTATGGTCCACATCAAGTAAAGACTATGACATCTACGGGTTATTTTATGCCACCTGGCGAAAGATCTGAGTCAGCTGAAGCTATTACCCCGGATTGAGAGGTGTATCAAGGGGACAAGATTGACAGATTAGCACGGGTGAGTCTGGGTCCCACTTCCCTCCTCTTTCTCTATGTCAACTCGATTTGACACTAGACTGGCTGGTTTCTCGTACCTGCCCTTTTCTTTCTTTTTTTATTTTTTAAATTATTATTTTTTTATTTTAATTTTGTAAATAATTTCGGTATCATAGTAATTAATAATTAGAGTTTATTATATATTCTTTTTAATTAATTTAATTTACAAAAGTTTTTTTTATACTTTCTTGTGTCAGAAAGTTACTCCTGGCAGCACTGAACTAATCGATGTGCTTATTTCCCAAGTTTGAGTTCACTCCAGTCGCTCTCCTGCAAATGATAAGAAATGAGATTCCAGGTCACTTGGTTATAAAAGAAAGGAAACGAAGATCATTAATTTCCAACCAGAGATATTGTGCAATTTCATTGAAAAGCGACTGTCAACTTGAGATAATTATCTGTATTTTTTTTTTTTTTTGTATTAATTATCTGTTATTTTTTTTTTTTATTTTGGTAGTATTTTCGGTTAAAGCTTCAGGTATTCCACATCCTTTTATACTTATGTTTTTATGCGGTGAAAAATATGAAAAGAAAAGAAAATTGAGGATTAAAATAATATTAATTTTCTTTTCTTTCCTTGTTTGGGGAACGAAGAAAACATGGAAAGATCAATAAATTATGGGATTCGTGTATCATTTTCTCTCTAATTTTGGAGAAAATATTAAATTATAATCTTATCCCATAATTTTAATTTCAAAAAAAAAAAAAAAAAAAAAGTAAAGATTAACTCATAATTTTACCTTTTCACAAAATCACTTTTCCTCATTGTTTTTCTACTCAAAAATTCAAAATATCGAAGAGAGAAATTCTTTTATATTTTCCTTTCTTTATCTTTTTTAAAATTAAAAAAAAAAAAAAAAAAAAAAAAGTAAAGATTAAACTCATAATTTTACTTTTCACAAAATCACTTTTCCTCATTGTTTTTCTCTCAAAAATCAAAATATGAAGAGAGAAATTCTTTTATATTTTCCTTCTTTATTTCTTTTTAAAATTATCTTTCTTCCCTAAATAGTTATCGAGCACACTCTTAATTTTATAAGTAAAATTTGTTTAGAAAATATAGTTATTTTTGCTGATCTAATGACTCATGATTGGTTATTTTTCCTTTTGCATATGTTATTTCATTAAGAAATGAAAGAAAAGAGTAGTGAAACATATATACATAGCGACCATATACATTTGGCATTTGCTACAGCAAAAGAAAGTAAATTCACAGGGTTTGGTCGTAGTCCTTGTCCTTTCCCAAAGGGAATGGACACATCTTTTTCTCTTTTCTTTTCTCTCTCTGTCTCTGTCTCTCTTTTTTTTTAACCATTTAACAAACAAGATGAAACATTTTGCATATCTTTCGCATCAATAATGGCTAAATCATAGCAATTAGAGGACGTAGCGCTTGAGATCATCAGTCTTTTTGCTCATACAAGTTTTTTAAGCTTATGCAATGGATGCAGGTAGCTATTTCACATGCATGCACAGTTCCCTGGATTTGAAATTTGAACTGTCGTCTTCTTGCCAAAGAAAATCTTAACAGTTCTGACATATATAAACATGATTGCTCCTAAAAGTAATTTAACCCTACTCTGGCTTTTCAAATCTCCATTGAAATGTTATATATAAAAGATTAATTAAAGGCAAGTTAGACTTGCCTAACTGTTTTAACCAAGAAAATGTAAATAGCATATTCGCCTAAAACTATACCTGCTTTAGCTTAAAAAAGTCATTTCACGCTTCATTCATATCAATTCAATTACATCAGTCAAGTGATAGACTCCATCTTCAAAGTAAAACTAGCTGCTAGTAAGCATGAAGTCACCCTTTCTGGACCCAACCTAATGAAACCAATGCTTCTTGATAATGGTTAAAAAAGATTCATAAAAAGACACTTAAACAACCCACCTGAGTTTGGCTTTTACTGGCTAGATATAGGTCAAACAGAAAGTGATATACTAGTTTAAATTCAATTCATTCATGCCTAACATGATTGGGAATTTTATTGACTTTAGATATCAGATATGGATTGACTTGTCAATTAGGTTGTGAGTTCAAAATCAGCAAAGATGTATGTATCAGATCTAACAAGCTAGACACAGAGTTATTATGAGTAAAAATTAGGATTAAGGGCAACTCGACCATTAGTTGAGGATGAATATAACGTAAGCTTCGTTTAATAATTAGGATTTAGCATGGAATATTGTTTATATATAGGCCTATTTATTCCGTGGTTATCACTAATTGTTAAAGATTAACCATTAACGACATTAATTGTTAGTAGCAGTTAGAGAATGCAGTTTCAACTTTCTATGTCTCATAATAATTTGAAATCATTGCGCCTGAATTTTGAAATTCCGTTCCTACAATTCCACTGCTGTCCAATTTACCAATCATCTATAGATATATATATAATGCTAAACTCTGGTTCTCTAACAGCTAATTTGAACATGAGCCATCATATTTGGATTTCCGATTGTTAATGTAACAATAAGGTTGAATTTTAGTCGTTACTCCTTTTGCGCTTGCCTCATGACGATATTCGGGTCGTAATAGTGGATTTGATTAGTCTAGACCGATTCAATGGATTTAGTCAGAGAGTAAATCAATGAAAATATTATTCTCATTTTATCATTTTTGTTTCAGTATTGTCAGAAATGAGGATTAAACTGACTTAAATCTGTTCTGTGGATCCACTAGCTGTGAAATCAATAAAAATAAAGTTTTTTTAAATATTATTTCCACTTTATTCTTTTTTTCCGTTTATGATGAGAAATATCATCGTTTCAACAAAGCACTATTTTCATTTATTTGGTCAATGAATATACCTATACACCGAGTTTAGACAAGTCAATCCCTAAAAATATTCTTGTTTCAATAACAATTTATTTTTTATTAGTTCGGTCTGTGAATGGATTTATAAATTCGATCTAGGCAAGTCAATCCCGGGGGAGTTATAATAAAATTTTTCTCTTTAGCTAAAACTAATTAAATTAGAAAAAACAAAAAGCATAAATATCATACACCTCAAACATGAAAACAAACATGCCACGCCATTGCACTATGTTCTTTGTTTAAGATCCAACTATTTCACCAAAGGGAATTGGTCATTTACTTCACCAATCTGTTCTTCAAGAAAAAAATAATAATAATAAAAGAAAGAAACCATTCTCTCCAGACACCGAATATGCCCATATTTTAAGGGGAGAAAAAAAAAAAAAAAAAAAGGTTTTTGAATTTTGATAACGTAGCTTTTAATCTAATCTCTGGTAGGTGCAAAGTGGTGCCTATAAGTTAGCTTCTTTGATTCTCGAATTCAAACCTGTCCTAGTTAATTAGGTCAGGATAACAAGTATATGTCTATACCTCATAATCATAAAAGTAATTCAAAAGATAAAAATTCTCTACAGAAATCACGATTCCTCTAATTAAAGGCACAACATTTAATGTTTGGTCGTTCTTTATGTATAATATCATCAACACAAAATTTCTATAATTAGATAACAAGAAAAGAGAACAATCACCAAATATGTATAATTTCTTTCTTAGCTCCAAAGAATTTGGATGATTATAATGATATGATTCTAATAATAATGCTCCAATTTGAAATTAAAGATATGAAAAGCAAGTTAATACATAGATATATGAAACAATTGGGTTCATTAATAGAAAGCCTCTTGTGATAACCACACATTATAGATAGGTATACAGTAATTAAGCCCACTGTCATCAACCAACTAATTAATTTAAAATTTCAAAGATATTGCTTCAATAATTATTTACTCTCTTCAACTAATTTGTTTCTTTCATGTAACCTAATCAGTATATATACACACTGAGAGAGCTTTATACCAGTAGTTTTGTTTCTAAACTAGAGTGTTACAACATAAACATGAAACTATCACAATACAAATTAATAACCTATTAATTTGAAGTATAAGCAATTTTCCTTGTTTGAGTTAGCACATGAAATTGAAGATATCAACAAACTTTAGCAAGAAAAAAGCCAAAAAACCAGTAATAAGAGCAAACAACATACTCAATAAGAATTTAGAAAGTGCAGTGAAGTGATTGTCTTTCAATAATATACTGAAAAAATGACATTAATGTTGCTTTTTGAGGACAAACACCATATTTATGTGGTCTAGAACTAGAAACTAATTACATTAAACAGCAGTAGCAGACAAATACATACATGCGTATAACTAGTTGGTTGTCAACTTTGATATATTAATCACTTTAATGATGGATTAACTAACTAGATTACACCGTTTACTAGCTAGGGTTCATGTGATAATGGACTCCTGATTTATTTAATCATAAACCCCTCTTTAGGGGACATCCAGGATTTGATATGATCCAACAGATAAATTGGATCATGTAGATTTTGTAAAATAAAATTAATGAGCCCACACACAAATCAAAGGCAAAAACGACTCCTCCTAATATCTACTGCCAGAATTTATATAATACCAAAGAAAGATTAGACTTATAGTTATAGTTCTTTCACCTGTACAAAGAATGAAAACTAGTTGCAGAGACTCCATTTTAAAGAATAAGATACTATGTATCCAGCACAGTTTTGCAGTGTCTCTACTATTTAATTACTATTGATCATTCTATAGAAAAGAAAAGGAAGGAAAGAAAGAAAAGCAGAATAGAGTCTCAGTATCTCACAAGCAAATAGGTGTATGATACTAAAAATAAACAATGCATACAAATATAGTGCTTGACAAATCTGACACAGACCCTTTTTTAATGCCTAGATGATGATTTGCCAGTAGCCATTATTATTATAAAACCATAAAAAAAAAAAAAAAGAAGAAACAAAAGAAATGGAATTCAATAAAAAGACACACAACATGATCTCCAAATCTATTACTCGTCATAAATGGCTTTTCTCCTAGCAAGCTACAGATCTGTGACAAATTGGACGCTAAGTCACAAACTTGTTTATACTAGCTACTTCTTCTTCTAATTATTACTACTGCTACAGTCTAAATAGAGTTCCTTAAATTTAACAACACAGATAAAAATAAAACAAGATTAAGTACTCATAGATATAAATATAAATATATTGCAGGTAAATTATACTAAAACGAGTAGTTCTAACGAGGTTTGCAGTACTCATTGATTCTTGTTCTTTAATTGAAATACGTAGTACCAGTAGGGGTATTTTTTTTTTTTTTTCCTTTAGTGATCATCACCTGCACTAGTGGCTGCCGCTGGCGGTGGCGGTGGCGCCGCCATCAATAATGCAGGGCTCTGCTGCTGTTGCTGTTGTTGAGGTCTCTTTCTTTTTTTCTTCTCATAGCTAATCCCTCTAGCTTTGGCTTGTGAATCTCTAACTTCACGTAGATAAAGCCTAACAGCACGAGCTCCAAAAGGGTTATTCTCTGGCTTTCCCCCATGTTCTTCAAAGGCAGCGCGGAGGCGGCCAATGAGAGCATCAAGGCTACCCCAGGCTTGCCTGAGAGGACATGGACAAGGAGCAGGTGGGTTTGGGTGGCCAAAGAAAGGGCAGAGTTGGGTATGGACTTTGGTTTTGCCAAACTGGTCTAAATAACGCAAGAATTCAAGCACGTGAGCACCGCTGCAGCGGGAGAGGGAGAGAGGTGGACGGTGATTGCGGAGGTATTGGCCGAAGGTGTTCCAGTCTCTTCGCTTTTGGTTCTCGTAACGGCTAAGAGTGGAAGTGGCGGAAGTGGAGGAAAGGGAAGAGGAGACCGTGGTGGTGCCAGCGGTTGTAGTGGTGGCGAGAGGCAGTGTGGAAGTCGTGGAATCAAATTCTTGAAGAGAATCCATTTGTTAAGAGTGGGATTTCTTGATGATCTTGAATTCTTGATTGCTGAAAGTGTTTTTGTTCTAAAAGAAAGACGAACTATCAAGATTCAAGAAACCCAAGAAACATAGATTTGAAGATCGACCCCATGACGTTCATTGGCTAGGGTTAATGAATCAATACCATAACCAAGCTTTATTGAGAATTTTTTATGATACAGAGAAGAAATGATGATATATAGAGAAAAGAAGAGGAAAAGAAGATTAGTAGGGCAAACTATAAATATATTTATAGTTTGTTTGATTCGTTTGAGGTTTCTTTTGAATCTTTGTCTGATCAAATCCTAAAAACCCTTGAAAGGGTTTTGATGTTGCTGGTGGGCTTTTACTTACTTTGTTATCTTCAAACAAACATTTTGTGAGTTTGGCAAATATAATTTTTCCCGAAAAAGGAGGAAGCAACTGGGAACTTATAAAAAACCTATCTAGTCCCACACAAGAAGAAGACAGTGAAAGAAAGAAAGAGAGTAAATGGTAAATGATAGAGCTAAGTGGAAGAGAGCTCAATTGTTCTGAGTTCTTGTGGAAGTGGAAAGAGGTTGACAGTGAGAAAGAGAGAGAGAGAGAGAAAGAGATATGATGGATGGAGACAGGATAAAGGTCATTGGTTTAAAAAAAAAAATTATGAGGGAATAACATGATTTTGTTTCTTCAACCTTTTGTATTGATTGACAACACCTTTTTTACAATTACCAGGCTACCCTTCACTCATTGAGAAATTATAAAATTTATTTTATTTTATGCACTCTCTTTCACATTTACTTGACGTTTATAATCTATGAATTCAATATATTCAGTATAATTAGCATAAGATGTTCAATATTATTTTTTTTTTATAAAAACATTTTGTGTATGAAGTTCACTAGTCCGACTAATTCGTATTCACGCCAGGTATGCCCATAAAAGGGGCGTAAAGCACTCCATTATAAGTGTTTAAATAGACTTCATACCCAAGACTCGAACTCGAGACTTAAAAGAAATCTCTGTCATCTCATCTCTCCTTTCGAGGATTGAGTACTATTCTAACACAACAACATGCTAAATATTGTTCTTTAATTATTTTTTTTTTCTGGACTTAATTTAAAATTTAATGATAAGGCAGTCCTTAACAATAACCAATTCGAAAATAAGATTATCTTTGTACAGAAATATTTGTAGAAAGCAAAAATAATAACAATAATACCCCTAATTAATTAACAAAGTGTCCTAACCATAGTCTTTGCAGAAAACCTGCAAAGTTACAAAATGAAAAAAACTTGAAGCCTAACAATCAGGTATTGGGGATGCTTAATTTGGCTTCTCCCAGATTACAAATTTTGTAGGTTTTTCGGTTGCTGCAGGATAAATAATATAGCAACTATATAAGTGTAATCCAAGCTAGCTAGCTGATAGCTAGGCATAAATATGGTGGTTATATTTCTTTTTGGTGATGTTACTGTTTCTCTGCTTTTGAATTATGGATTTCCACATACAATATGGTTATAAATTACCACATACAATACGAATTATGGATTTCCATTATTGCATTTTAATGATTTAAGGATAAAGTCATCTGGCCCTCAGGTCCCCTAGCTGGATAGTATCCCATGCAGAAATATTTATCAATTAGGGTTTCTCTGGACTGGACTGAATTTATTTTATGTATAAAATAGATAATATATAGGAGTCAAGATTGCAATTTGCGCTTCCATTATATAACTTTCTTCTTCTGTATTTCGTTGTTACACTTAATTATTTCATGATCTATAATCCAATAATCGATGTCAGATGTATATATATATTGTATATTCACTTAACCAATAGATTAAATTTTAATGTAATTGATTGTTTAACTTGATTTATGTACATCTAGTAATTAATGATGCTCAAGTTGAACTTAATTACATTAACTCATCATTATTTATGTACTACTCTAGTAATTAAAAACAGAAATAGCCTCATTAGTATTGGGTAAAGAAAATAAAAATTAATATTAAATATTAGTTAATGGATAGAAATTTTAATAAAATGGAACCTCTCTCTTTAATTTGTACTCATATTTCATTCAATTTGATTCAGAAACATAAGAATGAATTCGCTGATTTTTCGGGTAACGCTGCGGTGGACTTTTTAACTTGGTTGTGGTTATTTTTATTGGTTGGTTGCTTGATTTTACGGGGATTGAGTTGATTCAAAATGTGATTTTTACTCAAAAAGTTGTTTAAAAGGGAAATGGGTAAAAAACATGTGGTATTGGTGGGAGTCTACCAAAGGCTAAGTTTGGTTGAAAAATTAGACAATGATTGTTGGCCCGAGAAGGAGAGCACATGTGTTGTGTTGTGTTGCGTTGCATTATTTCATGGTATGCCCTCCAACAAAGTACGTACTCCAAATGTCCCATAACCCTGATTTGGAGCTATAAATAATCAAATCGAACCCTATTAGGTTTCAAGAATAAATAATTGTTACTAATATATACTCCACTCAATTTGCCAACAAGTCTTTTTCTACGTATATGTATATGACCAACCAAGAAACATCCGGTGTTTGTTTGAGAGAACCAAAAAGTGCTTTTGCTTTTCTAAAAATAAATTATAGTATTGTTTTGTTTAGGTAATCTAAAGTTGCTATTGGTGGTGATAAAACTACAAAAATCAAATAATACGTAGTTATTTTATGTTCATTATTTACAAAATTCCAATAAGGCATATTGTGTATTCCAGTTATTTATGATTTTTTTTAAAAATATTTTAAAGATAAATTATTATATTCATTTTTTAAATAATCCTTTATATATATGTAATTGGATGCACTATAATATACAATTTTTAATTGCTAAAAATGATGAAATGAAATGGTGTGAATACAAACAAAAATTGGAAAAATTTAATACTAAGAAATTAATATATATGCAATCAATTATTGACAAATATATATATATATATATATATTTTAATTGCTAAAATGATGAAAATGACAATAGGTGTGAATACAACAAAAATTTGGAAAATTTAATACTAAGATAAATTATATAATGCAATTCAATTATTGGACAAATTATATTATTAATATACTATATATATATATATATATATATATATTTTTTGCATATTCAGATGAGTGCTGAATATTTATTCATTTAAAATATACTTAATATATAGTAATGTAGTTTTATATTAGGGGGAATCTAAGGATTCTTGCTTTCTGTTTAGGTCATATAACGAACAACTTTAATATATATATATATTAAAACCAAACAGAGATTAATGTAAATGAAAAGTTTAATTATGGAGCTGGATTGCAGAATCAAATTCAGTGGATAGTAAATGAATATAACATGAATGGAAATTCCCCTTTTTCATCTTTACCATTCATAAAGAAAAGAATAAATATCGATATCTTAGATTATATACGCTAATCAATCTCCTAATCACCCATATTATTCTAATTTTGTGATCACATAGGTCAAGTTGGTCCTTTAATAACTATAGGGTTTAACTTTAATCTTACATCAAAAATTGATTAGTGGGCAAAGCAGAGAAATGCTCATACATAGTTTTGTTTGTAGAGCCTTTTCTTTTTCTCTTTGTTAAAGCAATGCTGAGAGATATCATGTCTCAATCTTTTCAGATATGAGATATTATGCTTTTTTCATGAGAAATTAAACAGCCATAAAAAAAATGGAAAATCAACATTAAATTTGCAAAATATATATAAATTAGAGGTTCATATAAATTTATAGCATTAGAAATGAGGAAATTGTTTTTTTTTTTTTTGGTTTCCTAAAAACCAAATTTATATTCTCATCGTTATAGGAGTTGAAGTCACTTACGGATTTCTTTAATTAAAAATTGGAACAGATAATACACATATTCTTTGCCCTATAAACTCTAATTAAAATCAAAAAAATTATTCATAAAATCAATAAATAATATCTTAAAATTGTATAAATAATATAATTTAATCCCCTCCTTTAGAAAGATATCTTATGTAAAACAAGAGAGAATCATTTCTATTTTCTATTTAGTAATAATCTTTTTATTTAGTTGCCTTAATCATTTATATTTTCCAAGGAGAAATACTTAATAGCTGGCTTGCTTAATGCTTATTCTATGATTCTTGCAACAAAAAATGCCAAGTCACACTACTAATTAACATACTTAGCTTGCAAGCGGGGCAAGTAAGAAAAATGATTCAAAACAAACCAGCAATCTTATACGTGCGTGTGTGTGTAAGTGTATATATATATATGCGAAAGTCGAAGAATAATTAAGTTTTTGAAGTGCTTATCGAACTTAAAAGTATGGTTAAAGTATAAAATAATTGAATCTTGAATTGAAGTTTAGTTAATAGAAAGCGTCAAAGGTAATATAGTTAATTACTTTGTTTTGATGTTTTATTGTTTATTCCTAAGTTTAGTGTTTTTTTCTTTTAATTTTATAAAAGAACAGAGAGTAATAATGATTTTTATCTTCTATTGATTATTTTTGGAAACATGTTTGGCAATATGTCTGAAATTCAAACACATCCTTAAGAGTTTAGAAGTTAATTTTCCGGAAAAAGAAAGAAGAAAAAAGAAAAAAAGAAGAGAAAAGTAGGAGGGTTTAAGAAATGTTGCAGAATGCTAAAGTTTGTGTTCATAGGCCCAACGAGCGAACCCAAAGAAAAGGCTAGAAAAGAAAATATGGCTCCAGAAAACATGGATAGCTAAGACATTGCATGTTTTAGGGCATCTAAACTCACCCCACCAGAACGATGTAATGGGCCTCAACCATGGCCACCCAAGCCAGGTTCTTGGAAATAACAAGTTTGGTCACACCATCCATAAAAAGAGACAAGACAAAAATGCTACGATTTAAGCTTTTGCAAATTGCAATTCCATTTAGTATACTTTGTTAAAATTATTTTGTTAAATTATTATGATTTTGATAAAAAACAAAAATACCCTATCATAGTAGAGGTCAATTGGGCCCACTCAGCTCTCACTAGATTATTTTAGTTGTGCTTTTCTTCTTTCATAGTTAGGTATATGTAACGGTAGAAATTCACAATTAAAACAAAGTTACCATAATATATATATATATATATTAGGAAAAACATAAAGCTCTTTAAGGTTTCTTTTTTGAGTCTGTATTTTTAAATTTCTTGTTAGAATTCCATAAACCTTACAATTCAATATCATTAAACATTTGTTTCACGACAACTATAAAAATAAGAATTTCTTTTTTACAACTTGAAAAAAAAAAAGAGAAAATTATACTTCACAATTTTCCACAAATTTATTTGGTTTTATTAATTCTTTACACGTATATTTTTTGAACCTGCGACATTAAAATCCAATACATTCTTGACGTTGCTAAAAGACACTTTGAATCCCTTATTTGCAGCTCTATAGTGAAAAGAACGTTTGAGATAATATACTGACAGCGTCTAAATGTTTGACAAACTATACACACAACAGGCCTGTAAAAATGACATGCTCTGACAGTAACTAAGCATGATATTTATACTTGCTTGAGTTTCAATGGACAAAATACATAGATAAAAAGTTCCAAGTTAATCAACGATGATGAACTTCTTGTTTTCTCCCCTTCACATGCTGATCTGCTGCAACTGAAATTGTCGATTCCTTCAAATTGTGGTCAAACTCACCTGCAGATGATGCCTAACGGTCAGTCAGTGTTCCTTTTTTTTTTTTTTAATCATAAATTTACTTTGTTTAGATAGTCACAGGAAAATGATTAGAACTGCAATATGAACGCATAAATGAATCTCTCCGAGGTGTCATAAACATACTTGCCATTTACAGCTTTCTCATTCTGCTGCCTGGCAGTCAAACAGCATACAGCCTTATGATCTGATCAATCTTCGCACGACACACAGGGCAGCCCCATTTTTTTGCCTTGACCTCCTTTAAACAAGACATACATCCAGCCATATGGCCACATGGAACGCAAGCCCCCTCAACTGGAGCATCCAAACATATCACACAAGACGAAGAACTGCCATCTTCTTTCTTTTCACCAGTACTAGCTGGCAAGTTCTCCATAGGGGGGGAAGATATATCAATAGGACTAGAATCAATTGATGGATAATGAATGGGACCATCTTCTACAATCTCATCAAAGGTGGGTGGAGCTGACGGGGCTAAATCTGGGGCATGAGTCGCATTCTGGACAGCAGGGATGTTACTATTCTGTACCTCATTTTGCTGAGTTGAAGTGTCGCTTGGGCTCGCTTCATGTGCTGCCCAGAAACTGCTAGTTGCTTTTGAAGGAATCACTGGTGCATTCAGAGTACTTTGACTGCTACTATTCACAGGTTCATTCCAACTGGTGGAAGCACTTGCTTCAGCTGAGTAAGTATCAATAACTGCAACCTCTGCCATGGCTGAATGGATGGAGGCATTGATTGCCATTGCTAATTCTAAATCTTCAGCAGAAGGAGGAGCTGTGGCTTGAATGGTTGAAGTCTCGGAATTATGCAAAAATGCAGGAGGATGTGTTGCCTGTAATATTTCAAACATTTTTATCACATAATAACGAAAAAAAGGGTACTTGAATTTGAAGGGTTGAGGATTGCATATTTTAGCAGAGATAACACCTGAACTAGATTTCAACAATCCAAATTTAAATACAATGATAGACAGTTTCCATTGACGATGAAATTTTCTATTTTAATGAGAAAATAGATGTGAAGCGACTAAGAATCTAGATAAACTTTGTTACAAGTCATCTCAATACAAAAATTGACGAATTGGAAAAAATTAAGCAATAGCAATAGACTGTTCTGAGCTCAGTTTTGCTATAAAACTGAAGCTAACAAATATAAAGTTGTGTTTAAGAATTGAACTCATTCTGCACCTATAGAAGTTTGGCACTACTGACATATTTGAGCATTTCTTCATAGTAAAGGACGATAATAAATAACTAGGATTACTTCCAAGTTGTAAGCATGACCTACCACTGCTGCAATGGCAAAAGCCTATATTCTCAAAGAGGTTATGCAGCTTTGCTTTTATTAAAGCCTTTTTTTTTTCAGCAGAGATGCAGACAATCAAATAGCAAAAGATTTCATGTCAAAAGGATTCAGAAGAAAAAATACAACTTCTCCCAACAGGAGTAAATGCCAAGAAAAAGAGAGCATAATATATACACAATCAAGAGTGTGTTACAGCAAGACAGATGTTAATACTAAATCTTGTCTTCTTTTCAGGAAAACAGCCACATATAACAAAATACAAAGTCAATTATCTGATCTATTTGTATAAAAGTCAAGTTTTCGCATATCCATGGGCCACCTTTTCTCCATCCAATAGGTAAAGTGGTCAGGGCAATTTTTCTTATTTTCCATGCATTAGTGCTTCTTTCACAAACAACATATCTTAATCCAGGGCTACTTCACATATGCATCTCAAGAATAATGAAAAGATAATTTCTGAGACATCATAGCTTCATTTTTATCAATCTGAATGTTAGTTCCTAAAAGAAATCTCCACAGTGCTAAGAAAATCCCACTGGTATAATCTACAAAACTCCCTCAAGCAAACACATACCAGAAATGTATATCGATAGCGCATGGTTTTATACGTTGGCTGTTGCAGATAGTATCTGCTGGGTCATACTGGTGAGTCACCAAAACTTTAACATATCAATACTGCTGATAGAACTTTTTTTTTTTCTACACAAATTCACAATAAAGTCAATCGTGACTGTTATACTTTGGCTGAGACAAATTAACAAAGCCAGGACATGACCATGACCACAATTTTAAACCTTATCATAATCTCCAATTTTTTTCCAAAGTTTATCCACCAATTGGTTATTGAAGAATAACAGTTATGCTTAACAACCTTACACATTCTAGTACTATATACATATATATAAGAAAAGGTTCCTCAAAAGAAACTATGATATCAACAAAAAAGGTAAAACAACACTTGCATAGTTACTATTGATCAGCAAAGCCATTCCTCCTATTATAAATAAAAGCTTTCCACTGCTCTAGGAACCAGGGAAGAACAAAAACCAAGTGCACTTTGTACCTGTGGAATTCCTTTGCATGCATCACAGAACCACTGAAGCTGCTGCTTGTCACCTTCATTTGCTGGTGCAAGTTTAATGCGTGTTTCTGACAAGTAAGAATACTAACTCTGAGGAGATTAAAGTAACAAGACCATAAGAGAGCAGAAAAAACAAAAACAGTCAAACAAATATAGAGTTAACTTCAGGGGAGTGTAAATGTTGACTAACTGCCTTGGAAGTCTATTTCAAGTTGGAGGCTGGAGCATGGCAAAGGTACACTACAGGTACCAATGTTAATTTGGATGATCTCTAATTTTTTTTCTTTTTGTCATGATTCAGGGACCATTTATATCTAGCATCAAAATAATTTAGCGACTATCATACTTACGACTAACTGTTTGAGGCCTATGCCTCACTCGTCTCCGCCTCCTGCCTCTTGAGACTATGCATGAACAAAAATCCAATGTAAATGTAAAAATATGGCTAAAAACCTATCTAAGAAAAGATAAAAGAGACCAGAAAATGCATAAGTGATCAGCTTCAACAAAAGTCATTTCAGCAAAAGGAATTACTGGTGTGGTATTCAGCAATTATTACTGAAGGATCAGAATGTTGAAATTTTGGTTCCTCCAGATTAGCTTTCCACAAAGGAATCATTGTACGCGGTCGGGCATCCTGTTCGTTCATCAACACAATGTATAAGTAACTTCTAATTTCAGACCATCAAACAACAAAAGCATGTAAACTTGGACATTGATGACTATAGGCTTATGGATTCAGAGCCATTAAACTGAAGTATAATAATTGTCTTTATTCCTGTAGCAAGACCAATACTGATTTGGGATAAAGAATTAGAGACAACTGCATGTGTTTCTATCCTATAATCAAAGAAATTGAATCACCGTCATATGCCAAAGACAATATTTAAAGAACATTGCTATGGCTGGGACTAGACCTAAAGTAATGCTTGACTGTAGTTAAAGATCAAAGACATAAATTACTTTAACAGTGAGTTTATCCAAGCTTCTTTCACAGTGGCAAACATAATTTTGATACCTGTGGACTAGAATATATGGCAAGCTCCAACTTGAAAGGTTTTGTAGGATTGCGTGACCCAGTTGGTAAAATAACAACCCATCTGTGAAAAAACAGTAGCAAGCACATAAATACTTAAGCAGCTTATGAGAACAATATGTTGATCACAGATTAATAACTAAATAGCATTAGCAAACGTCAAAACAAACTGCTTCGTGGAAACTTAGATGGTATACAGCGTATCCTAAAACAGAATAGCAATGAATGAAAGTAATAAATGGAAAAATTTCAAGAAATGAAAAAACTTTAATGAGACAGCACCGATTTTATACTTACACTTTTCTTGAAAGAAACTGAGGAGCAAGTACTTCGAGAAACCCTGGCCCAAAGAACTCCCGCATCCAGCCCGAGAATAAGCAAATGTGATTCTGCAAAGCACCAGAAAAAAAATTCTGAATCCACCATAGCTCTTCTATATGGAGTAAAATAAGGGAAGATTATTGTCACCAAACTATATATAAGAATATCAAGTATTCCATTAGAAGAATACCTCAATTACACGGACAACATCAGTATGTCCTTTAAATCTGGCCACATCAAGAGGAGTTTGACAATCATCATTAATCACTAATGCGTTTGCTGAAATTTTGAACAAACACTTATTTCACTGCCAATGATGATATTATGATCAAGGTTGAAATAATAATATAAAAAAAAATCATCACTATAAGCACCTAATTTTCACAACTAAAAGAAATAAGCCAGGCTACAGCTCACCTCCATGCGAAAGAAGTAACTTAACAGTATTAACAAGGCCTCTTTTTGCTGCATGATGTAAAGGAGTCCCAGCATTGCGACCTGCAGCCCAAAGAAAAATGATTCATTAAAAAAAAAAAATCCACACCAAGTATGTTGCTTCTCAATCTCATGCATAACAGAAGCTCTCTCCATTTTAAACCAAGGACATCTCTCATTCAATGTATATATTATTTCTACATGTCCTAATTATTTGAAAGGTATAATCTTAACAAAATCTAAGACAAATGGATAAAATATAACACATACCGAACCTGTAGGCATTGACATTAGCACCGAGCTCTATCAAGGTTTTAGCCACATTGAAGAGCTCAGGATTCAAGCACGCTAATATCAATGGCGTTTTACCTTCTTTATCAATCCACTGCACAGCAAAAAAAAAAAAAAAAAAAAAAAAATATAACACATACCGAACCTGTAGGCATTGCACTTTAGCACCGAGCTCTATCAAGGTTTTAGGCACATTGAAGAGCTCAGGGATTCAAGGCACGCTAATATCAATGGCGTTTTACCTTCTTATCAATCCACTTGCACAGCAAAAAAAAAAAAAAAACAAAAAAAAGCAAATTTACATATTTAACAGCCAGCCATCAACAACGAAAATTAAAAAAATCCGTTTTTTATACATTAAAAAGGGATTTTTGTTACTCGAGGCCCGCGCCTTCACTGCGGAGAGATTTTATTCCTTCTGTATTACCGTATTTCACTTGTTGATACACCAACTCGTCTTAAAAAAAAAAAAAAAAAAAAAAAAGCAAAATTACATATTTAACAGCCAGCCATCAACAAGAAAATAAAAAATCCGTTTTATACATAAAAAGGGATTTTTGTTACCTCGAGGCCCGCGCCTTCACTGCGGAGAGATTTTATTCCTTCTGTATTACCGTAATTCACTTGTTGATACACCAACTCGTCTTTCGATTGCTGTTGCCCCATTTCTTCTTTCTCGTTTTCCCCTTCAACGCAATTGAGAAGTATTTGTTTTAAAGGAAAATGGAGTGTAGTTTTCGAGGAATATTCACGATTTTTTTCTTTTTACTGGAAATTGGAATGGAAGATCTATAATTTAGGTATAGAAAATCTAGGGGAAGTAATTTGCGCGTCCATCGATTTCTTAAGAGAGAAGAATTTAGACAGTCAATTATTGTTAATTATTAATTTGGTTTGGGGAAGAAAAATTAGTTGAACTGCACGGACGTGACGTGACGGGGATTGGGGATAGAATACGGGGAAGCTCACCGTGTCACTAAAACGACACCTCGTTTATACTCGACTAACTCTTTAAGAATGCAATAGAATAATTTATCCTCTGCTCTCCTATTTTAACTATCAATCGCTCAAGCACCACGACAACTCGTTTATAAGAAACGAAAAAAACCTAAAGAACTTGTCGCGAAGAGGAAGGGTTTGAAACTTCCTCTACTTTTTGTATATTGTCGACTTGTCGTGGCACTGGCGACTGATCGTCAAAAATAGCAAAAATAGGAAAAAAAAAAAAAAACAAAAAAAAACTCAACCCAATAGCAAAAAGTTATGGCGTGAGAGCCCATTTGATAGAACTGAAAAATGAACTCTGCAACTATTTATTTAATGTATTGGGCTATAGGCCCATTTTTAATGGTAAAGGCACTAGAAGCTACCGTACACTACTTGCGAGCGACAAGGAGGTTGACCGGAACGATAACGTAGTTTGCTTGAATAATGTACTTTTTGACTTGTAGTTTCGTTACAGGACAGGCTAAAATAAGTGTTTTCCTCTCTCATATAGCTTTTCATGTTTGATGATAAAAATCCAACAGAAAACAAGAAAAATGGGAAGGCAACATCAAAACATACTTGTTAACTCTGATTTTGGAGAAAGAAAAGATACAACTATAGGAAGATTGCCAAAGATTACAAAATAGCAAGTTCCTAACAAGTTCATCTACACTACAACTATCACAACACAATAAAAATAGCTCAAAAAAAGAACCTTCCTCGACAAAATTTCTGTCTATCCACTCGCAAATGTTATGTGGTGATCACTCTTATGCATATGGAGCTGTCTGAACAAGAGTACTGTTTGTTTACAACTAGCAGATTGTTAACTCCATGAGTCAAAATGCAGTTCCTTTATCCATCCATGTTTCTACATTAATGCTATGTTTCAGATGGTGCTGCCTCCGTTGCTTCCTCGGCTGCCGTTGAGGACGGTTCAACTGGAGCTCTGGGTGATGCAACGGGCGCAGAGGGTGATGCAGCGCGGGCAGATGGTGATTCAGCTGGAGAAGAGGATGATCCAGCTGGAGCCGCATTTGCTGCCGCCTGTGGACTGTACCTCCTGAGTAACCTATCTTTATTTTCTTTCCACCATTCTTCTGCCTGCTGCGCCTGAAACCTCCTTTTGCTGTAAAATCATTTAAGGCAGTTGGATAAAGACATTAGATTGATTGAACTCACTAGATAAAAAACAATGAGAGGGTTGTGAGTGAGGGCAAAAGAAAAATGTTTATTTTCGATATGAGAGGTTTGTTTATCATTGCTGTAGGAGCTATTAAGAAAAATATAGTTAAACTGCACACCAAATTGCTTTTGTTATCAACATGACAACATCTAAAAGAAGTTTATTACTGTCTATTCAAATACCTGAATTTAACTCGCTTGAAGATCTTTGCACCATCAGAACGTTGGATAAAAGTTACATATACCCCAGGTTCAAATTGTTCGATACTTTCTCCTTCTTTTCTCATGGACGAAGATTCTTGATTGGAGCTATGTTGAGGTATGACCTCTAGATTACTAGAAACAGATGATCTAGATAAGTCATTAAGTCCTGTGCCATCTGCTTGGTCATGCATATGTGTCTTAGATGCATGCTGTTGACTAGAGATTAAGCTTTCTGCCAGGGAAGAAATTCTGGGTGTCTCATTTGTGGCTAGAAAAGTTTCAATTTGAACATTCATAGCTTTAAAAGTTTCGCTTTCTTGAACATCAGGAGGCAACTGAGCTCTAATGTCTTTCAACTGAGTCACAAAAGGGCAGCAAGAACATGGACTGATTAGCACAATTTACAACTCTCTAAACGAGATCTAGAGAATTTATATGAAGGCATAAATCATATTCCTTGAGAAGATTGTTCCTTCGTTATGGATGATTCATATTGTATTCAAATTAGAAAAGGCATATATCCAACTTTAGAATACATATGTTTTCGTTTGCTCCCATTTAGCACACCCGGGTAGGTTTTATTGATTGTAATAATATTTAGCTATTTACTATTCAGAGAGCATAAATACAGTGTACAAGCAATTTAGATTTAACTATTACACTAAACACATACCTGTTCTGTGATAGACTTCACTAGTTCCCTGGCCGCTTTAGACTTGGATGCTTCTGCTGTAGCAAATAAAGCAGTTTCTTTAGCTTGTTTCTGTAACTTTTGAATCTCCGTGCCTTGAGAATCACACTTTTGCTTGAAAGATTTGATCTGAAGTTAACGTTAGTAAAATGGACAAAAAGAAAAAAAAGTTATTTCTGGTACTCAACTTCTCTATTTAGATTCCTGAACCAGCAATAAATCAACCAAAAGATGCAGAATTAGAAATGTATATATATTATTACTTGGTTTTGCATTTTTGACATGTCTTGCTTCATAATTTCATTTGTCTTTTTCAGGCTATCAATGACACTTCTAGAAAATCCAGCTGTTGAAGCACGTGGAGGGCTTGGCCTCCTCGAGTATGGTGAAGCAGGTCTTAAGTTGGAAAATCCAGGCTGCGACATTGATGTAGGTTTCCATGCACTTTGAAGAGCACTTAGTGAACTTGGAAATGCAATATCTTTTAGTTGCAAAAGTGATGGAACTTGAGAGGCTCGGACTATAGAAGGGCCCTCATATTTTGTTCCATGCTTCGCTGACCTGATCTCCAGGTATTTTATGGGTTCTGTTGTAGGCAACAGCAAAATTCTTGAACCCCTAACCTCTCCTCTTTCCCTTCTTTCTCTGCTCTCTACTGAAGAACGAGGAGTGGTAATTTTCCTGTTAATATTATGAGTACCGGCTTCAGAAGCTTTAAGTTTTGCATAGCAAGCGTCACAGACTCGATGTGGTTTGCCTGGAGTTGGAGCTAATGCCGCTTTCAGTGCTTTTTTGGAACTACAAGCATGACAATGCACCAACCCACAATTATAACAGTTATGCCTCTTTCTAGTAAAACCAAATGCTTGCCGGCAACCAGAGCAAACTGATTGGTCTGCTCCTGAGACCCACTTGTGAATGCATATGCTGGAAGTAAAATTTGAGCCACATGATATATTTTTAACAATCCTATCTCTGAATGTTTCAACTAATGTTGGGGTTCCCCGATCATCTGTGTCTCCATGTCCTAATCGTCCATTAGCACCTTTTCCCCAAGTGTACATTTCACTTCTTGATGTTAGTACAGCAACATGGTATGCTCCACAAGAGACTTCTTCAACAAATTCACCTACCAAATTATCTTGTACTAAGCTAGGATTTTTTCCATCAGAGCTTGGGTTGCCTAGCTGACCATATGCAGTACTACCCATAGCAAATACGTGACCAGAGGTTGTGAGGGCCACAGTCATAGTATGCCCGCATGCTATCTGGTGAAAATTGTAGTCAATAAGGGAAGAGATGCAAGTGGGAAGCAGATAGGTGTCCTTACTTCCATGACCTAAACGGTACTTATCACCGTCGCCCCAAGTGAACAACTTTCGAGATGACACAGTTGCTCCAGCTTGGCCCATAACCTCTACTATGGCTGCAGTATGCCAGACACCACAAGCAACTTTTATAGTCTTTAGTCCACTCAATAATTGGACTTCTTTTGGAAAAGACAAACTTTCTCTATCTCCATGCCCCAAAACACCAAACGATCCATCTCCAAATGTAAACAATTTTCCATTTGAAGTTGTGAGAGCTGAATGCCATGCTCCACATGCAATAGATATAACCTGAAGTCCTTCTAAAGGACCAGACACCCTTTTTGGTATCCAGTGGCTAACATCAGTGCCTTGACCGAGAATTCCAGCATTATGAGTGCCATCACCCCAGGTATATAAGTCCCCGACTGTAGACACAGCACAACTATGATACTCACCACAAGCAACAAAATCAACATTAGTAACTGCCAGAAACTCAACAAGTTTAGGACTACTAAAGTCTTTTTCGATTCCATGACCAAGTCTCCCTCCAGATTCCTCTCCCCAGGTAAAAACCTCACCTTGCCTTGTTACAAGGGCAAGATGACGCATACCACAGGCAATCTGTTGAACATCAAGAACTACATTAGATTCTAAGGGTTTTGGACTCAGCACATCATTCTTTATAGCGACATGTTTCAAGGATCCATCAGGAGCAACATCACTCCAAACTTCTCCCCATATATAAACATCACCCAATGATTCTATGTCATCTGGACCTGATCCACCGCTTGAACAGCTCGGAGTGCTTGAAACACTAATGCGAAAACCATCTCCACCACTTGTTCTTAGTTGCATATTTGCACGTTCTGACCCCGCATCTGAGCTTGCCGAACTCAAAGAAGTTTCGCGAGAACCTAAATCGACAGACACCCTCCCACGATTAATGCTTGAAGAGATCTCTAGAGTTGCACCAAAAGGACGGCTGTTTTGAAAAAATTCGCCACCATCAGTTAGCTGCATTAAAAAGATATGAGAACAAAATTAATCCTTTAAAGAAATAACCTCTACAAACATATTATCAAGAATGACAGAGGCAACCATGTATGTTTTTATGTTCTTCAAATTCATGGTGAGAGTTTTCCAACTGAAGAACTAAAAAGTCAGTGTTTGTAAGTAGATCGAGGCAGTGACAACTCACATCAGAAATATCACTTCTTGTACGTCTACTCCGATTTCTTCCAATCAATGCCTTAAGGGCCGCAAGCCACACCTCTGCCTCAACTTTGTCCTTGCAGATCTATAAATAAGGAGAAACAAGGGTATTTTTACATTTGAACTGACTATCCGTATGAAGGTTAATTAAAAACCTACAAACCTTGACACGAATATTTATTGAAACTAACCAGATCAAGAGATCTTTCGCCGTTGTTATATAAAAGTGAAAATGATAAGTAGTCCTTTTCAGGACGTAAGAATCTTCTAAACACAGCCTGAAAATAGCGACAATGTCTGTTAGTTACCACTTGTAGACAAAAAATTCTGGTAGTATTATAATTTACATAAAATTGAAGGTTAACTGAACTGCAATGCATATCATGGACTAGATCCGAAAGATAGAAGAGTTTGACTCACAGTTCTCTGTCCTGGGACGATCCGTGTGACAGAAGATAATCTCAAAATCTTTTCTTCTCCATGCGATATCCAGATCAATGTTGTTTCATCCTGTTAATGTCACTAAAATTGAAATTATTTATACACTTAAGGTGTTAACAGGTGCATCATAAATACTTGTAGCACGAAGGTCAATTCTAGAAGTAGATGATCAGTTTTTACGTAGAAAGAAATCTTGGACAACAGATTTCACAACGAACATATTAGATTAGATTTTTTATATACTGGACAATTTATTTATCTTCAAATTCATTGCCACAATGAAGCTGCATAGGGAAAAAAGGTGAAACACAAGAAGTGGATCAATATTATTTAAAATTGAATATATCAGCAAACAGCAGTAACTCACTGGAGAAAGTCTGAATGCACGAAACTTGGGTTTTCCTTTCCGGCTATACTTGATTAACTGAGTACCTTTTTTCAAAGCAATAAGTGCCTTCAAAGGAAAGGAAAAGGAATGAATAATTAAATAAGAAGATGAAAAAACCATTATCACTAGAAATTCTATGTCAGATATTTCAATCTTCAGATAAAGAACAAAACAGGTCTTACAGTTCATAAAGATTTGTGTTAACATTGCTGAAAGATAGAGATTGAAGGCACTAACCACAACAATTTATCAAAATGCTGTACATTATTATCACTGTTATATATATATTTTTTTTCCAGTCAAAACTAAATCAGGAATTTCTGCAGGAAACGTGGGGTTGCAAGACTAAAAAATCATTCCTTTTGTAGATATCGAAAAAGAAACGAGGAGACAACCAAAACAAACGATGGAACAGAAACTGACTTGTTCAATGTCCCGCTCAGAATTCCCATAACTAACAGGATCTGCCATTCCATCTGAAAAATTTGCAGAAGAAGAAGCTCAACCGACAACAACTGCATCAGGTGGTGCGGCAGCGACTTACGTGCCCAAGTCTTCATAGATGCATATGTTTTTTCCTACTTTGGCCTCTCATCAACTTTTTCTTTCGTCCCTTTATTCAATTTTTTCAAGAATGTCTCACATCCAAGCAAGAAAATAGAGAAAAAAGAAAACCAAACTTAGATCAAATTCAACAATTTGAAAATCATAGATCATCATGGAATATAGATCTCATTGAAGAAGGGCCATGTTAAGCAATTGGCACTGGTTTTTCGGTTTTTCTTTTTTTATTTTCTGAGTGAATTGGATCGTGAAAAGTTGACCCATCAAGAAAATGCAGATCAAGAAAGCGAATTGAAGCTGGTGTGAGGTGAGAGAGAGGGAGAGAGGGCGAAATGAGAGGGAAGTAAGCAGCGAGTCTCATGTTTAGGGAATTTTGCAGCTCAAAAGGAATTAGGGTCAGATATTGGCGCGTTTCTTTGCTTGTCTCCACGTTTCCTACCAAATTAAACTGCTTTTCAAATAAATATTATTATCAGTTGCAGTATTATACAAATTGAGGAGCTTTTTCCCATTGAACTTCCAATACTTAAACTATTTATTTTTTTCCTTTATATATGTTGAATAATTAAACTATTACATTAAATAAAAAATACCCTTTCCTGCAAATATAGATAACAATAATAATAACACTAATAGTTCCTTCAAAAATAATAATACTAATAGTAACAACAAATGTTTTTATCGGTAACTTCTTGTAGAAATTAGTTTCCTTGAGATTGAAAATTGCATTAACTTTTTATGATTATAGCATGCAAGTGAAATTGTTTTTCAACCTGCATACCAAATTATAACTTAGTGGCAAGTGCATATGCGATTTAACTTATATATTCAGGTTCGATTCAATCAAGCAGGTTCATTCATCAAATCAAGTTGATTAACTATGAATATTCTTGCTTTGTGTTTGCTTTGTTTTTATTCATGGTCGTGCTCTTCCATTATCCTGAGGTCTTTTTACACTGATTATACAAGAAGCATAATAAAGAACAAAAAAGAAGCAAGTTACATATTTTTTACGTGAGACAGTCATCATCATCCAGTCTTAAAGCTAAAACTCTCAAAGGATAGCAGGATCTTTATATCTCTTGAAAATAGTTTCAATACCTGCCACTACTTCTGGTGGCAGAGGTCTCTCAGTTGTCAAGAACGCATCAATGTCTTCTTTTAGTTGGTCGATGGAAGTTGCACCAATGATAGAACTCGTCATAAATGGACGATCTCGTGCAAATCCAAGCGCGAGCTGTACCAGAGTTAAACCATGCTTCTTCGCCAATTCAACATATTGCTCTGTAGCTTCCTGAAATTCATGTACAAAGAACATCAAGCACGACACCTAACACACGGAATTTATTTCACTAAATATTCAAAGCACAAAAAATCACATGCAATGCAATCAAAGATTTAATGTAACTGACCTCTTAATCAGGCACTTGCTTTTGTTCATAATCTTACTAAGTTGATTAGATTGATTTTCGAGAAGTGATTCAAGAGAGATCAAAGGATAATTATTTATTAAAATTCCAATAGTAGCTTCAATGCACACCATGACAAGCTAAAAGCAAGTTACCTGCTCATGGCATGAAACTAGTCTACAATTCACTGCCCTGATTTATGAGGAAGGCCTTTTTAGTGGATTTTGGTACTTTGTTGAGAATAATTTTTTCAGACATACAAAAGTTTTCTCAGCAAAAGTGCTTCTGTATAGTTAAAGTGTAGAATGATCTTCAAAAAATTCCAAGTCAAAAGTAAAAATAGTTCTCAACCACAGCACTAAATGCTACTGTTGCAACATGTGTAGAACATGTATTTTGGCACAACAACATTAGTGCCACCAATTTCAAAGGTCAAGCACACAACTTCAGCAAGATTTTTGAAGCCCTGAAACACACCAACTCTTAGAACTAGAGTCACATGTCACATGTCAATGAGGAAAGTGGAGAAAACAGAATTTAAATGATGAAATCCGACTCAAGGTAACTTGGTTTAGTCTTTCTACGTCAAGTGGTTTGGACTCTGACTTCAGGTTTCTCAGGCAGCATCAACTTAGCCTATTGCATGTTCAAACTTTTTCATTGCAATCATAGAAATTTAAATTATAAACATACCCTTGAAAGTGAATCTTTGTATCTTTCCATGTAGCCAGGGAAGAGGTTCAGTCTTCCTTTTTTTGCAGCTTCAGAATTCAGGTCCAAATATTTTCCACTGAGTGCTCCACCAGCCAAGGGAGAGTATGCGAGTAAGCCAATGTTGCAATTGTTTGGATGGCAAACTTCAACAAGATCAGCTGTAAAAGGCCTTAAAAATTAAATGACCAAAACGAGTATAACTTTAATTTCCACCTACAGTAGGAATAGTGCCATGAATGTACCTTCAAAATGGCATCTAACTAACAGACTGTAGTTATTCTGGATGCTAATGATCTTTGGTAGCCCCTCAACTTTGGCTGTATGAACAAACTCCATAACTCCGTATGAAGTCTCATTTGAAACTCCAATATAGCGTACCTAAACAAGTTCAGAGGCATTCCTCAGCATGAGTTAACTACTAGAACCTTTATGACATGAAATCAAATTTGCACTGACCAAACATTTAATCTTAACATATTCACATGTCACAGAATGAAGATTTTCATTTCTCTTTCAGTTGCAGGTGCATGTCCAGATCCTCTTTTTACCTGTTTGTTTAGTTGGGTATGTTGTGCATGCATGCGTGTGATGGGGGGGTGCAACAAGAGAAGAGAGAAGAGTAGGTTTACACTCCTTCGAAGGCTAATGCTCTCGTCAATTCACATTCATAATCATATACCAAGTACAGGGCAGTGTATTACAAGTAAGGAAGAATATTAGCTATTCAAACTTTAAAATGCACTATCCAACAAGTTCCAAACAAGAACAAAAGGAATTACCTTTCCTTCATCAATTAGTTCTTGAAAGGCCCTCAGTTGCTCCACAAATGGTATACTGGGTCTCCATTTTGAATAATCATAAAAAAACTGACCAAATAGTGGTACATATCGATCTGGCCTGGATAAAAAGATGAATCCACATCAAGTTTCTATATTGGTAATCTTATTCTCTCTTTTTTGTATAAAAACAGAAATTACAATGTGCCTACTCCAACATATGATCATACAATAACTTGAAAGTTCAGGAAATTTTAAAAAAATTCAATTGGTAAAAGGAAAACTGGAATTTACAATCAACATCATTAATAACCGATATCCTACAAACTATAACTTGCATCATAATTTTTTGCATGAGTAAGAATGAAGGAAGTAAAGCTATGACAGCAGCAATGCCATATCCTAAATGCCACATCAACAATTTTGTACAGCTCTGGCAGGTTTTTGCCCATGCCTATGATATTTATCCAATGTCACATAGAGGATCCTTTTAGATGGTTCTCTTGTACACATTGCCCTGCACTCAAATTCCCCTGGCACCAACTTATAATTTTCTTGCTAAAGAAATAGCAAATATTGAGTGTCACTAGAGGATCAAGTATGGGCTTATGCTTTAAGGATAAATCTCACAGCCTTGTGTAAAAAGAAACACAATCTTCTATGTCTTGGAAGGAAAAAAAACAATTACAGAAACAATTAAGTTACCAGTGAATTTGCAACAAATCAATATAGTCAGTGCCGAGCCGCTTAAGGCTTTTCTCTACGCTCTCTTTGATATTAGCAGCATCAACCCGCAGAACCTTAGCATTGTCGCGAATGTAGCTTGACCGCTCTGAATAACCACATACTTTTGTAGCCACAATAACCTATCCATGATAAGAGATAACCGTATATGTTATTGCATAAAATGTTATTCAGAAATTTGAAAGTTCAACTTGCTCTGCAGAGTATCAACCAAGAAGATTAGACATGTCAATGTAAGTTAATACTTATTTATAGTTTGTCTTCCATGATAAACTTCAGCAAATCAGTATCAAATTACAACTACATAGTGACTAGTTCACGCAGTCGTTCACAGATCTCATATCAACTTTTACTCTTCCATTATTCAATTATTAGCGACACTGAATGAAGTACCTATAAAAATGTGTACTGCTAAAACTTAAAAGCACAAATATAATATTAAGATTTTGCCACTGCTGCCTTTTGCTATAAGGTTTGCACAGCAACTCAAGTAAGACTTTTGGCAAAAGGCTCAGTAAAATCAATGAAATTGAAGAAACTGGTATTTAAAAAAACATTCAGAATCTTTATTAGAACACCTAGACAAACTTATCAATAATTACATCAAGTACCTTATCACGGGGCTGAGACTTCAACCAACTACCGATGTAGAGATCTGTTCTTCCTTGTGTTTCCTTGCTCATCGGTATTGGATACTGAAAACAAAATACTTGACGCTTCAGTCATTAATTTACAATATCATGGAGAACAAATGAGAAAATTTGCATAAAAAAGACATCCTCAAAAACTCAGCAAAATAATCTTAAAAGTAATCAACTGCATAAGAAAATCCAGATATCAGACATATTACTAAATTGTGAAAAAAGGATTTTACTCAACCCAAATTTGCATTTGACTATGTAAGAAATTGCAAGGGAGCCAATTCTCAAAGTTATCTTACTTCATCAACCAGGACATCACAAATGGTAGCATCTCAGATATACAGTAGAAAGCCAATGTATAAGAATTTGAGTCCTAAAAATGGATAATGAACAGGAAGTTTACAATTAAATTGTGACAATAAGTGTGCAAAGCTGCCCAATTGTATCCATCTTAGTGCATTCCTGATTTAGCCCCTAAATGAATAATAATCTCCTTCTTGTCAGGATGTCACTCTTTGGGGTTTTCTTCCTTTTCACAATCACTATGCAAAATTTCATATTCATAAAATATTTGCACATCCATTTGAAAATTGCAATTAAGTAGCCGTAGGAAAATGATCACTTTCTAAAAGTTGTATTGCCAGAGAAAAAAAAATGAAATTCATCCAAGATGAAAATAATATAATACAAGAAATTGCTTAAGAGAATACTTGAGAAGATACATGCATATCCATAAGCGAACAGGTAATTGAAAAGAACCCAAAAAAAAAAAAAAAAAAAATGAGAAGATACATGCATATCCATAAGCGAACAGGTATTTTGAAAAGAAACCCAAAAAAAAAAAAAAAAAAGAAACAAACTCACAGCTACTGCAGTGTCAAGAATAGTATGCCATGATTCAAATGGAATAGCCTAAGAATTTCATTGAGCTTTCTTTCTCTGTGTTTCTGTTGAACCAAAAGTCATCTAAATTTAATACAAAAGTTACATAAAACTTTAAAAAGATCTTATACTTTGGCTGTACAGAAGCCAAAAACTTTGCTTTTTCTATAACATTAAGTGCCTTAGACAAGCACATAAATAGAGAAACAAATTTGGATTAATTAATTATGAATACTAACAAGCAAGAAGGCAGGGAGTTATAGAAGTTGTTCTTACAAGAACACATGCGTAAACAAAGAGGACAAGTGTTGGGAGGAAACCCGAAATTAAAGAATATGAACAGATGATCACATTTTTAGTTGTCTCTAAACATACTATAGAGGTGATGTGAACACAATAACTGGAGATCATATCTCGCGTAGAAACTGCCCAGGAAAAAACAATGTGCCTACTATAACTGTTACAGTGATCATTTGACGGCCATCGTCAGATAAGAGCGCTGTAAGTAAGTCTACCCATTGCACCATGCATATCGCAAAACACTACATCCAATTCGGCACTTCATCCAGTCATCGATGGTGTCCCTCGAAATCAACTCGGCGTCTTAACAGACGTTAGCTGCTTACATATTTCAGTTATATATATAAGAATCCAGCTATTCTTCCTAACAAGATTTGTAGTCCACTTTAAGGGTTAAAGATTACCAAACAATTAGGCATACCCATATCAAAATAAAACATAAAACTATATCAGTTAACTCGAGCTGGAAACCCACATTTGACCAAACAAAGCTAAAGGACCAAATAATGGAAAATTTCACAGCATATACACTACGAACACACACACAAGACCATCACATACTAGGTGAAATTCAGGCATATCTCATAAACCTACCAAGTAAGAACTCACGACTGGCAAGTAGTGAATTATTCAATTACTCCATTACGAATTGATAATCACCATACACTAAACATACCATTGGTTCTGCAATTCCATATTTTCTCGACTCCAATACTATAGTTAGCGTGATAGCTCAATTAGTTTGTCATATCGCAAATTTTTCTAATAGGTGTTGCATATTGCTACATTATGGCCACTACTTATATTGTAGAAAATAAAATTGCTACCATAAGTAACTATATCTTATCAGATGTTCCAAGTAGAAGGATAACATATTTTCTGCTCCGAGCGCTATCAAAAATTCAGTAATCGCCGTCAACAGATTTCTTTGGATCACGAACAATCGCCGGCCCTTCATCTGCGAGCTTTTGGCACTGATGTGGTGCTGACTGCGACTCGCTTATTCAAGATTGCACCTTTACTTGTGCATGCAGTGCATATCGACTGCTGCGATGATTTAGGAGATACCATGCGAATTGTCTGTGCCAGGTCTAGCAGTAGAATGCCCGAGTGGAGTATCAATCTGGAGAATCGTGCCTTAGCATCTGCTCGACTGACGAGCGCATGCATGAATGACGTCGCTAACTGGATAGAAGCAGATAACGTGAAAATCACAGTTTGCACGACAATCTATATTCAGTGATTCCAACGCCATGCGACCCAATTTCTCAGAGTGGTTTTATGACAAATGCCCATTAAGAGTACTACTATCTTGATTTAACAGTTTGACACAGTTACTTGGTTCTATGCCAGTTACCTACTTAAGGCGCCTCAAACTCTATTGCAGGCTTGATGTGACTCTGAACCGTTTTCGCATTATTGATCTATGAATGCATACAGGAAATATAATGCCGATTTTTATTACCGTACTTAGATAAATACCAAGTTTAACTTATCAAGAATGGCGCCAGAACTTTTATTAAGTTTGTTGATATACTATTCAATACGTTTATTATTGATTATTTTTATTAGTTATCAGAGTTTAGTTGACTTGTTTTAAGCTCCTTGATTCTTTGTAAATTCTAAAAAAAAAAAAAAAAAAAAAGAAACAAACTCACAGCTTCTGCAGTGTCAAGAATATTGATGCCATGATCAAATGAATAGCTAAGAATTTCATGAGCTTCTTTCTCTGTGTTCTGTTGACCAAAAGTCATCTGAAATAATACAAAAAGTTACATAAACTTAAAAGATCTTATACTTGGCTGTACAGAAGCAAAACTTTGCTTTTCATAACATAAGATGCCTTAGACAAGCCATATTGAGAAACAAATTTGGTAATTAATTATGAGATACTAACAGCAAGAAGGCAGGGAGTTATAGAAGTTGTCTTACAAGAACACATGCGTAAAACAAAGAGACAAGTGTTGGGGAAACGAAATTAAAAATTGAAGGAAATTAGTTGCAAAAATATATATACACATAGATAATTTCAGATTTCTGTACTATTTTCGCTCTTGAAGTTAAGTGTTCCCATGACCAATTCCAAATCCACATTCATTTTCCAGTCATCGATGTGTCCCTTGAAATCACTCGGCGTCTTAACAGACGTTAGCTGCTTACATATTTCAGTTATATATATAAGAATCCCAGCTATTCCTAACAAGATTTGTAGTCCACTTTAAGGTTAAAGATTACCAAGACAATTACTGGCATACCATATCAAACATAAAACTAAACTATATCAGTAATGGCGGAAAACCCACATTTGACCAAACAAAGCTAAAGGACCAAATAATGGAAATTTAAGCATTACATAAAACCCACCAAGGACCAAATACTGGAAATTCAAGCATTCATAAAACCCACCAAGTAGAATAGAAACTGGAAGTAGTGAATTTATGACAATAGAATTGATAATTCACAACAAACATACATTGCTCAATTCAATTCGACAAATATAGAGAAAGCCAATTATTGTCATCGAACAATAGGGACATTGTATATGCTATATTAGAAAAAAAATTACCAAAAGAAATTCTTACAGTTCCAAGAGTAATTTCGCTCACTTCAAGATCAGAATCCCCAAGTTTCTTGTACCGCAACGCGGCCTTCTCTGCGAGCTTGGCACTGATGGGTCTGAGCCTCGTACGAGCATTTACTGCCTGATGCATATGACTGGGATGAGGGAACCAGCGAATGTTGTCGCAGAGAAATGCCGGAGTAACGGAGAAGGTACTCGAGAACGCCATTGTCTACTGAAAGAAGAAACAAGTGACGCATTTTCAGTTTGGTATTTCCAACGCTTTCTTATCGACAATTCTCAGAGTGTTTTTTTTGCAAAATAAGGTACTACTATCTTTTACGTTTGCAATTTTTGCCACTTTGGCGTCATATATCAGTTGTTAATGAACCGTTTTCCATTTGATCTATGAATGCAAACAGAAATAAATGGATTTTTCCCGTATTAAAATACCAAGGTTTAATATATCAAAATGGCCCAAACTTTATAAGTTTTTATAGATTCATCTTATTATGATTTTTTTTATCAAGTTTATCTTAATCTCGATTTTAGAGTCTGTTGGTTCCTTAAAGTTAGCTATTATAATAATTATATTACGCCAAAAAATATTTAATTAGCTTCTCATCAAATATTAAAGGGGTATGCTCTAAAAACTACTATAATTGTTATGCTATCAAATAGTGTCCATAACAAAGATAGTGTAATCAAAATATTAAAAATTATATAAAAACTATTGTTGAATAAATGCTTAAATTAAAATCACATACAATTGCAAATACAAAAGTATTCTTTGTCATTTTTAAATCATCATGTCACTCTAATAAAAATTTACAAAAAATTCCATTAATCTAAATAAATAATGATGCATATATTAAATTTTAATTTTCAAAATAAATATAATTAATGATTTAATAACATAAATTTTTGTTACTTACTAATTAAAGAACTCCAAAAATGACATAAAAATTAAATTAATAAAATTAAAATTTTTCATTATGTATTTTGTTTTATATTATCTATATTTTAAGGATGAAAAATCCTAATTATTATAATTAAGTCAAATTATTGTTCATTTAATAAAAAATTAAATTTTTAATTATTTTCATTGCATATTTTTCAAAAATTATATTTCTGAATCTACAAATGCGATTTGATATTCAAAATATATTTAAAATTATATTTTTATTATTAATTTAAAAAAATTAAAACACTTTTTTTATTTGCAGTTTCATAAAAATACTGTATTCTAAAATGCTTTTCAAATAATAATTTTTATATTTTTTAACTATGTATCTAATAAGTATTAATTTAATGCATCTAATTTACAAATTAGATAGTTGAATTGAAGATTTTGCAAATTATAATATTTACTAGATGTAATTTGATAAATTTATCGTGTTAAATAAATCATAATATAAGTTAAGAGTGCTCTGCATGCGTTTGGACTATAACTTATAGCTCCACAAACTTTCATTATCTCATAACATAAGGCATATACAGATCTACATTTTTATATTATTGCAAGGAACTAAAACTGCCTATAAAAATAGGCTTATTCTTCTCCAAATCTAAACTATGTAGAAACCAGTTTATTATACATCCTCTTGGTATAATTGCATAGTTGCAATATTAATTACGAGATCTAGACCCAGGGCTAAACACAGTGACTTCCTGTCTATTCTCCTTAAGCCTCCTGGCATCTTCTCTGGAAATCTGGAATGCGTTTGCAACCACTGCCTCTGGCAGAGCCCTAATTGCCGAGGTCCGTCCTGCTAGTGGGCTAATTTGTGCATTTTCGTTAGTCTTGAAGGATACCCACTCTAGCCCTTCATTGCTTGCCCTCTTCAAAACCACAAAGTTCTGTGGAGCTGTTAATATTTGACCTTGTTGAACTTGTCCATCGAACACTGCATCTCCATTCTCATCTACGATTTGGACGTGACCATTTCCTCTTGTAAAGTAATATATGCTATGCGCATTGATGTTCCAGTGTGGTGCAAATATAGCATTCTGCAGAAATTGTAAATTTGAATCATAACAAAGTTAATTATGTTTTGTAGTTTTAGTGTTTAGCTCACAGTGTTAAATATCACTTACCCTAAAGAGGACACCTTTCTGAACGCTGAGTCGGAGGTGTCTGAGGATCGGGAAGTTGTGGCTATTGACATTAGTGACATGGCCACCACGTGGATTATAGATATCGGCACGTGATGGGTCGTTGATATTGTGCTTGAGTCTGGCTGTGCAGAAAGTTTCTTCTATGCCATTAACGAATTGTCTCTCTCGTTTTTCTTCTTCTTGGTTCCTTCGTGGGCTAAAGTACTCAAGCTCACCCTCCACACTAACAATAATCCCTCTGTTATCATTTTCTCCTTTTAGTCTTCTTGCAATATCCCGGTTGACATTGAAAGCTTCAGCTAGTAGTTGCTCGTCCAAGCCAGAAAACACATTGCCGCTTCTTTGATGACTCCTTAGGCTTTCGCCTCTGGACCACTCATGCCTTCTTTCGGACTCACCTCTCTGGCTCTGTACTTTTCGATGTGGGTTACCAGCAAGGAAGAACAACTGAAAGAAATGATGATGCATCAGAATTAAATAGTTCGAAATTAAAATAAAAGTTGTTAGTTTAGGGTGCTCTTTATTACTCTGTGACTTTGATCTAGCTGGTTGGCAGGATTGCTAGTGTCAATGATTTGGACAAGAACAAGAGGAGACCGGCCATTATTGTAAATCCATTGAGCTACTCCAGCTGGCAAAGCAACGACATCACCTTCTCGGAGTTGTCGAACCTTCTGGTGTTGGTCTCCTTGGCTTTGTCTCCTTTCCCGATATTCTGATTCTGATGGTGACTGGTATGTCTCAGGACATCCTGGGATTAAAGCTCCTTGAACACCATTACCTGCACCAATTGAACATATAAGAAAAATGATGATACATACTAATATTCTTTCAATATATTATACATACGTATAGTGGTACATGCCTTGAACTACATATATGAGTTTAGGTCCGTTGGCGTATTGGGGCAGTAACAAGCCTCGCTGTTGAATAGTATGGCGGATGGCTACAACACCGGTACATTGGAACTGCTCATCATTTTCGTCCCAGACCTCAGTGACACCAGCCTCTGACTGGAAACTTCGAGAAGGCTCGGCAGCGTTTAGGTTGTCCAGTCGGCACTGGTCCTGCTGGGCGCGATTTAGCCTTTGACGGTGATGATCTCCATCGTATGATGTTACTTGCTCTATTTGAGCAACACAACAATGAAAGATAACGAGAAAGCAAAGACAAAGAGAGAGCAGAGAAGACTTATCCATTTTTGTGTAGGCTACTATTGCTGTGTTGTGTTTTGTGGGGAGATAGGATGGGTTGGTAGTGGTATTTATAAGGAAAACAGAGAGTTTAAAGATTGGGACGTGGCAAATCGTTTGGTGAATATATTGAAGTTTTCTGCATGTGGGTTTGTCTTGTGTGTAATTCCATGCTTCTATACTCTTCTTGCTTACACATACGTAAATGGTGGCTGTAAAGATTATGATTATTAGGATATGTATGTATAAGGACGGGTTTATTGATTTTGTTCACTGACGGATTCAATTTTGAGCTTCTTGTCTATCCAAGTGCATGCATATATTGCATATTCTCTACGTATTGAAGTTATTTGGAAAATAAAAATTCCATATTTGAATGGTACCTAAAAATTCTATATTTTTAGAAAAATTTAATCCTTAAATATCGGAGACTTGTTCTTAGTTTTTTATTAGAGTAATGTGTGCTGCACAATATGGGTAGTCTTACCCTAGTCTAAATTATATGCTGATTTGAATTTATAGCTGTATTTATGCATCGAATCAATAAAAATGTGATTTTTAAAAATTATTTTTACTTTATTATTTTAATTTCTCAGTACATGAAATGTTTTCCTTTTAACTAAAATTTTATTTCATTCGTTTGATTTATAAGTGGGTCATGAATTCAATCTACGTAAATAAATTTCTTAAAATCATTTTCACTTGGAAAAAAAATAAGGTGGGACAATTTTTATTTTATTATTTTTTGATTATTTCGTTCATTATTAGATTCATAAACTAGATCTAAATAAATTTAATCCATTTTATAACTTATATAATCCTATATAATCTATTAGACTTCTCAATAAATAGAAAAATGAACCTGATAATTTTAAAAAGTATGTCGTATTGATAAACCAGTAGTCATCTTTTTCTGGTCGTTTACAGGAAATGAGTGGACGGATAAGAATTAAACGGCGACGTTTAATTGAAATATTCTGTGTATTTTAATGAAAATTAAGTCATTTCCTCGAAAACGACAGCACCTCTTTTTCCATGTTGTCTACTGAAAACGCCGAGTTCCGATATATTGTGAGCCCCACTGATTTAAACAGCGTCTCTTTTGTCAGTTCATTTGGAAAGAATGACGTTTTTGCAATACGACTTATTGCCTTCTAAACGATCATAATAGAGAAAGACATTGCGGTGCAGAGAGCCGGCACCAGTTTCCATTTTGCTGATGCTAATTTCTCCATAAACCCTAAACGCCATTGCAAGAAGGTGAATTTTGACTACCAAATTATAACTACTAATTTCTAAATGGTCCTGCACATCATAATTCCCAGTTCCAACAAGAGCAATTTTGGGGCTAATACGATTGCGAGTGGCAACGTTTCTGTTGATACAGTGCGGGCCAAATGTTTGACGAAATGCTTAAATGACTTGAATGAGGCATTGAAACAATGACAAGATGGGTTTGGTAAGGAAGAGAGGCGTACAATTAATTCTGAACAGATTATTGCCACTAATGCCAGACAAAGCAAAAATACTAGCTAAAGAAGTTGTAAAAGGCCTAAAAGCTCATGAATTCTATGCATTAAACGCCTATGCATATAGCACATTGGTACTTGCTAATCACAGCGTCTTAATTCTAAACAAAAATTATAGTTTTTTTTGGGAAAAGTGAATGTGTTTTAGTATTTGGTATTTATTAACTCATAGCTTAATTGATAGACAGACATTCTCCCGCAAGGAGCATCCATTATACTTTGTACATGAAAACTGGTCCTCATGCCCTAAAAGGGCTTATTTTCTTGAACTCTAATACCTTGAACTCTAATACCTATACAAGTTACCAGCCTTTTCATCCTCTAATTACAAATTGCATTGTTGCAGTTTTTAGTCTCTTCAGTTACGAGATGTCCTAGACCAGGGCTAAAAAACAGTCACTTCCTGTCTATTTTCCTTCAGTCTCCTAGCGTCTCCCCTTGAAACTTGGAACGCTTTTGCTACACTTGCGCTGGCATAGCCCTGATTGCTGAGACTTGACCTGCTGGTTGGTCAATTTTGGCATTTTCATTAGTTTTGAATGATACGTACTCAAGGCCTTCATTGCATCCTCCAGTGGAGCTGCTGCAGATTTCAATGACAGTGACACCAACCTCAGATTGAGATCTCCTAGAAGGCTGATCAATGGCATTTAAGCGGTCGAGTCAGCACTCATCCTGTTGAGCGGCATTGTGGTAATTGTTACCTTTGTCGCTCGCCACTATATGATGTTACTTTGCTCTATTTGAGCAACATAGTATTGGAAGAGAACAAGAAAGCAAAAACAAAGAGAGAGCAAAGAAGAATTAGTCATTCTATGAGAGAAGAGAAGACTAGTGCGGTGGCTTTTTATTGGGTAGAAAATGGAGTGCGGGTTTGGGATGTGGCGAATTGTTGAGTTTTTCTGCATGTGAATTTGTTTTCGTGCATTGCATGGCTTCAATATGATCTTTTGCTGTACACATTTTTTTTCCTGCAGTTTACGTGTTCAGTTTTCCCCCTAAGAGAGAAAAAAATAATTAAGTGACATGCTTTCTTTTTTTTTTTTTTTTTTTTTTGTTTTCGTGGCAATTGCATGGCTTCATATGTCTTTTTGTGTACAGAGCATTTTTTTCTGCCGTTTACGTGTTCAGTTTTCCCCCTAAGAGAGAAAAAAAAAATAATTAAGTGATCATGCTTTCTTCTTTTTTTTTTTTTTTTTTTTTTTTATGGTAGCTACGGGATTACAATTTACAAATATACTATAATGACTGCCTAAGAAGGGATATTGGATGATGCTGTAAATTTTGGTATTCTGTATTTCATTATTTTTTTTTTTTTTTTTTTTTTTTGGTACTACGGATTACAATTTACAAATATACTATATGACTGCTAAGAGGGATATTGGATGATGCTGTAATTTTGGTATTCTGTATTCAATTATATTTAATGCATTTTCTTTAACTGTTATTAATTTTGTTTCATTTTTATTATTTCTAATGAAAATTATATGATGAGGCAACTTTAAATAGGCTATTTGCATGTCATTTTTGATAATCAACTTGAATTATCACTACATTATATTATTTCTAACTCTTTATATATAACATCAACACCTCTACCCGATTGAGCTTTCAGTAGGCAGATCACCAACACGTACTCTGCAAGAAAATATGTGTAATCAGCTAACCAAGAACCACGTTTATGTGTAAGCAAGAAAGAGCATCAAAGCCATGCACAAACATGAAGACAAATTCACATGCAGAAATTCTCAAGACAAGTCACCAAAACGATTTGCCACGTCCCAAACCCTTAAACCAATACTAATTTTTCCTCTATAAATACCAACCCATTGGAGACTCTCTCAGCACTTAACTACACTTCTCCTTTCTATAGCAATGGCTAACTCTTCTTTTCTCTCTCTCGGTCTCTGCTTTCTCGTTCTTTTCCAAACCTGCTTTGGTCAATTAGAACAATTAACAACTGAGAATCGCCGGCCCTGGCAATTCCGTGACCAGCGCTCTCAACAGGATGCGTGTAGACTCGAACGCATTAACGCTGTGGAGCCTTCCCGTAGAATTCAATCAGAGGCCGGTGTAACTGACATCTGGGACGAAAACGACGAGCAGTTCCGATGCGCTGGTGTCGTAGCCATGCGTCATACAATTCAAGAGAGAGGCCTCTTGTTGCCCCTATATGCCAATGGTCCTAAACTCATTTACGTGCTCCAAGGTATGTTTATCTCCCATATATATATATATTTATTATTTACTTTTAAAACCGGCACATAAGTATAATCTTACATACCTGAGGATGATTTGCAGGTAGAGGTATCCACGGAGCCGTATTTCCAGGTTGTCCTGAGACATTCCAGTCACCATCAGAACCACAGGAACGGTACGGATTCGGTGCAGGAGAAAGAGAGAGTCGGAGATTTGATCAACACCAGAAAGTTCGTTCACTCCGACAAGGTGATGTTATTGCTTTGCCAGCTGGAGTAGCTCAGTGGATTTACAACAGTGGCCGGACTCCTCTTGTTCTTGTCCAAATTATTGATACTGGCAATGCTGCCAACCAGCTCGATGAAAATCACAGAGTAATAACCCACAAAAGCTCATTTAATATTGATTTACTGATTATATATATGGTCTAACTATTTGATCTACAAATGCAGGCGTTCTTTCTTGCCGGTAATCCACAACGAGACGTACAGAGCAAGAGGTGTGCATTTAGGGGTAGCCGGATGCCCCTCGCAGGAAGGGAATCTCGAAGGCCCTCCGAGGAAAGATCAGGCAATATCTTTTCAGGCCTTGACGAACAACTTTTAGCAGACGCTTTCAACGTCAATGTTGAGGTTGCAAGAAAGATAAAAGGACAAAACGATAACAGAGGATTAATTGTAAGCGTAGAACGTGATTTTGAGTTGCTATTCCCACCAAGAAGCGCAGAAGAAGAAAGACGAGAAAGAGAGGAAGAGACCCAGAAACAATTAGAGGGAACAGGTTACAGACCAGGTGGCGGCCAAGGAAGATTCGTTAATGGTGTGGAAGAAACTTTCTGCACTGCTAGACTCGTACACAACATCAATGACCCGTCACGTGCCGATGTATTCAACCCACGTGCTGGCCGTCTCACCAACATCAACGGCCAAGACCTCCCCATCCTCAGTTATATCCAGCTAAGCGTTCAGAAAGGTGTCCTCTACAGAGTAAGTAATCTCATTTTTCTTTGATATGAAAATTAATTTGGCAATGGTTCGCATTTCTAATTAGTTAATTTTGCACAGAATGCTCTAATGTCACCACACTGGAACGTCGATGCCCATAGCATAAACTACTTCACAAGAGGAAATGGCCATATCCAGATCGTAGATGATAATGGAGAGACAGTATTTGATGGAGAAGTTCAAGCAGGACAAATATTAACATCTCCACAAAACTTTGTGGTAGTAAAGAGGGCAGGAAGCGAAGGTCTTGAATGGGTATCCTTCAAGACTAATGACAATGCCAAGATTGACCAACTAGCAGGACGTGTCTCGGCAATCAGATCAATTCCAGAAGAGGTGTTGGCAAACGTATTCCAGGTTTCAAGGGAGGACGCGAGGAGACTGAAAGAGAATAGACAAGAAGTGACTCTGTTCAGCCCTGGGACTAGGCCTTCTTCTCGCAATTGAAGGGACTAAAAAGGCAGCTATGTAATTGTAATAAGGAGAGAAAAAACGCTTAGCTAGTGGCTATGTAGGAGAGTAATAGAGAGGTGTAAAAATAAAGCCTTTATAAGTGGGCATGATAAAGACCTTGTTTGGTTCTTTGCACTATCATTAATGTAAATTATATCTTGCGGGAAAAATGATAGTATCCATCTATGAGCTCAATAAATGTTGATAAATAATATTTGCTTCCAATAAAAAAAAACAATGTTATTTTTTTTTTTCGGTTTGGTTAATTAAATTTTACCACAGTTCAATTCAATTCATATTTTTTATCATTTATAAAACCTAAAAGTAATTCTTTATTTTCTTATGTACCATATTTGATTTTTGATTTTATTTTCTTGCCAATCATGATTTTATTTTTTTTATTTTTTTATCAACTAATTTTAAAGTTCTTTTTTTTTTTTTAATGGACAGAGTTTGAATTTGGAGAATGGTAGAAATAATATTTTAATTGTTTTTATCAATCGAGTATTCATTGGGAGAATAATAGAAATAATAGTAATTCCCAATTTGTTCTTACCGACTGAGTTTGCATTGAAAGAAGAATAGAAAAAATATTTCTAAATGCATAAGCGATCAATATAAACCAAATTAAGAAAAGAAAAAGAAAAATGGAAACAAAAATTCTTGATTATTAGGGCCACCAATGGCTACAATTAATTATTCTGATTTCAGTAAATTAAGCAGAGCATTACAGGTATGAAATATTTTCATTCCATTAAACCCTAATCCAACCATGAGGCTCAGAAGTTCGGACTTGACGGCGACTGTTAAAATAAACTGCCATCTTCTCCCTTGGAGGTAAATTATTCTTGATCACATCATGATTAAGAAATCTGTCCATCCAAGAACAAATTGATGGAAACTGCAAGGCGTCTATGAACTTCATGGACCCAACTTCTTCCCAAACAGGTAACCAGTAAGAAATCCATCCTGCCAAAATGTCTACATACCCAATATTCTCTCCTCCAAAGAATTGCTTCCCTTCGAGTTCTCCCTCTAGCTTTTCTAATGCTTCAATAGTCATTTTTATTGCTCTTTCCTTTTCATCTCCTAGGGAGCACAGAGCATTCCATGCTGCTTCAAAAATCTTGATCAAAAAATAACGAAATTATTGCGTTAGAACGTAATTATAACTGAATTATATAGCTAAATGGCTGAGTAATACGTTAACTATTACCTTCTCTTCTGCAAATTTAGCCCAGAAACGGGCCTTGGCTCTTTGATAAGGATCTTGAGGCAATAATGGATAGTTATGCTTCCATGTCTCGTCGATGTACTCAAGAATAACAAAGGACTCAGCGATCACTTTGTTGCCATGAACAAGAACGGGAACTTTTTTATTGACAGGGTTTAACTGAAGAAGCAAAGGGCTCTTGTTGAAGATGTCTTCTTCTATGTACTCATAATCAACACCCTTCAGTTTCAGAGCCCACTCCACTCTGCGCACAAATGGGCTTACCCATAGTCCCAAAAGCTTCACCTCTTCTTTCTTTGCCATGATATTTGCCTAACTTATTCCTGAGCTGTTAACTGAACTCTGCGCTTATAAAGTTGGGTAAGTTTATGTGGTCTTAATTAGTCGTATGAGAAGCCCACTGCTATTGGACAGTGGGTGTTGATCGTTGACTAATAAACCCATTAGATGGCAAATTGTAGTTGATTTTGTTTACCAAAGAAAAAGAATTGTCTTCTTCTTTACAGGGCAGTTTTAGGCCATCGTAAGACGTTACGTCATTTTTTTTTTTGATAGAAGGCTTCGATCAGTGGATAATTTTATAAATTATATAATCTTAATTCACTGAATTGATAAAAACTTTTATAATTGAAAGTATTTGAATTCTAAACTTTTGCCCCTTACAGTACATCAATTTAACAAAAGGGAAAGAAAAAAAAGAATATTCCATATGTCTTAATTATCTTATTATCATATCTTATTTTAAAAAAAGTTAATTGGATACTAATCAGATTTAAAATTTGTAATCATGGTGGTGATAGTTTTCTTACAGTTATGTCAAAAAAAAAAAAAAAATGTATTTTCTATATGATACTAAATCAGATTTAAATTTGTAATGCATGGTGGTGATAGTTTCCTTACAGTTATGTCAAAAAAAAAAAAAAAAATGTCCTTTTCTTAACCTCATTATTATATATTATATAATATATATAAAATTTTTATACGCTTATCTTCCCAACGCTCATACTAAATATTAAAAAAAAAAAAAAAATGTCCTTTCTTTAACCTCATTATTATATATATATATATATATAAAATTTATACGCTTATCTTCACGCTCATACTAATATTTCATATATTTGAAAAACAGACTTAGCTAAGAGAGAGATTCTCAAAACCTAAGAAAGAGAAGCCAGAAAATTGTGAAAATTAATGTGATAAATTAAACCATAACATGCACAAAACTTGTGTACGTATCCATATTTAATAATACAAGCAAATGCACGTACATGCTAGATACGGATTTTTGAGTTATAAAGGGCATCATTTTAGGTGTAAAAGGTGTATGTTAAGAGGTCCAAGAAGCTGTAAAGCAAGCAAAACAGACAGTGACCAAAGTAATGCTTTTGTAATATAAAGACTTATACATAGAAAAAGTACAATCTTTCCAAGTTGGAAAGGATGCTTTGCCATCCTCACAAACCTTACATGGCAAAACCAAAGAAAACAAAATTGTTTACCATACTATTTTTTTTTATATATGTATTTGGAAAAAGAAAAAAAGAAAAGAAAAGGTATGCACCATCTTCACATGGGTGGAACATGCATGTCTATCAAATTTTTATTTATGTTTAGTAGTATTTTTTTAAAATCTTTTTTCATGATCAATCTTTATTGGAAGTGGTTGAGCTTTGTTTGTCTGCCAACACAATTGTTGTAATGTAGATGTTTCCTCAAATTACTTTTGTTAAATTTGTAAATGGAAGATTGTTCTAAGCCAACAAGAAATATTACATTTTTCGATTTTTCTTATTACACGGTTGGTCGCTTAAGAAATAGTGACAGCCAAAAGCTTAGCTAATTTTTATCATTGCTATTGGCACTTGAAAAAGATATGTTATTGCAGATAAAGAAAGAAAAGCACTTTTAAGTCACAAACGGTTTATCTATCTTTGTCGTGAATCTTATGCGTTTTAATATTTAAATCATCATTCTCAATATTAGTATAATTCATGTTATTTACTCTATAAAATTCATGGACTTTTGAAATTAAGCCATACAATTTCAATTCCATTTTTTGGTCGAAAAATAAAATCCATATATTTAAAAGATATTTTTAAATAAAAATTAAGTGGTTTAAATTATATCATTAATAAAACAATATACTATCTACAATAGAATTAAGAAATTTCATCTACGAAAACAAAACCCATAAACTTATTAAAAGATATTTATAAAACAAAATTGAATTGTTTAAATCCACATCATTAATAAAATGATCTATGATAGAATTAAAAAATTCAACTATAAAAATGAGATTTCTCTCTTCCAAAATGGTGAAATTGAAAATCTAAGGCAATAATTAATTCCATAAATTATGGCATATTTTTTCTCAATCAGACAAAAATATACGATAAATCCATCGTATTGTTTGAATTAAATTAGTAATAAAAAATATAGTTAATTAAATAAAGTTTTCATATACATATATAATTTTCTGGAGCAAGAGTATTTATTACATTAAAGTGACTAAATCTGAGTATTTAATATATTTACTTCAAAATTAAGCTCAACTTAGAAATGATTATCATTACAAAAAATGCAATATTCTTTCCACTTAATCAATTACCAATCATAGCCTGCCACACCAACCTACATGTAGGTATGGCTAAAGCTTCTTGTCTGATTTATTACGTACAGGCGCTGCAACTCTTATGGGACACTTTCATGAACAGTACTGGGTTTATGCTCTTTTTTTTTCTGAGAAGTTACGTAAAATTGGTTGATTTTCATCTTTATAGGCTTTTTAAAAGGATAAAAAATAATTAATTACTGTAGTTGATTTATCTTTTCTAGCTCTCCTCAACAATTCTCTAAGCATATAATGGCAACGGAGCCCATCTTGCGTCAGTAGCTTAACTTAGGACCCAAGTTTGCTTGATTGATTCCAGTAGGACCATCAAGATTGCCGAAAGTCAAGTATTAGGATTTTAGAGTTCTTGACTCTGAAGAAATTATTCTTTCTTTTTTTCTTTTTTTAATTCACAATTGCCTTTTTTGCCATCCTAAACGGCTAAACCAGCACAGCTTCTTTGATTCCATCCATGATTGAGAAGTGGCATTCTAGTTATATTGTCAAAGATATGAGGACATTCTTGGACTAACAAAACAATATAAATCCTATTATAATATCAAGCTCCTTGGTACATAACAACCAAATGCAAATGCAAAACCTTCTTTAACGCTGATCTTCTCTCTTTATCCATTTTTTGCCAGAACACCCAATTTGATGTCTCATTCAAGTCTAGAAAGGAAGCTTCAACCTGCAAAAAAGGTGTGGAAACGCTTCAAGAAAGCACTTGAATCAAAATTCCATAGCTTCAACTCCTCAAGATCAGTCAAGATCATTAAAACCAAAGCTAACAGCTTTCTCTCTTACTGCTCTCTCCATTTCTTTAAACTTTTCAAGAAACGTTCCATTACAAGATCTCCACCCTATCGTAGCCACCTTAATTTTTATAGCAACAAGAACCAGCTTCATAGGAATTTATTTTCACCTATATATATAGACCAGCTTTATTCTGCAGAGGCTACAGATTCAGCTGCAGAGCAGGCCAAGAATTTGCATTCACATGCAGAAACGAGTAGTAGTAGTAGTAGTAGTAGAGGTAAACAAGTGGTTGACGATGACAAGGTTCTTCCAAGAAGAGAAGGAAAGGCAAAGGAGAAGGTTTTGTATAGTATAGAAGATGCATGGAGAGAAGTTGTTGCTAAATCTCCACAGTTGCGACCGGTGGATGAGAGAGCTGAGGAATTTATATCTAAGTTTCATCAAGAAATGAAGCTACAGAAGGAGAAATCAGTTCATGAATTTGAGGAGATGTTGGCTAGGAGTGCTTAAGATTTGCATTAATACCTTTTTTTATCACTAATTTCTCTAAATACCTGATATATATGGAAGTGTGAATTATTACCAAGAAAAAAGATATGACATGGTGATGATTATAAGCCTTGCTGATTTTAGGGCCTTCCTTTCTTTTCTCTGTTTTTTGTAACTTATGAAGTGAAGGCCATATGATTTTTTTTTTTTTCTTTTAAATCTTTTAACACATATAAAGAGTTGGTCCTTACTATAATGTAAAGAGCGTATGATATTGTGTGAGATTTGTTATGTATTAATTTCTTGATTATCATCTAATGTATGGGATTTTGATTGTGCATTGCATTGATCTTACTTTCTTTATTTTTCCTTTTGGTTTGTGGCGAAACAGTATAGAGAGCAAACTCAGAGGAATGGTTAAAATAAAGGCAGAAAGTTCCAGAGGTACAGGGTTTAATTCATGCCTTAAGGTTTAAGATTTCTCTAAGAGTTTAATTTGATTAATAAAAAGCAAATAAAGAAAATGACAGAAAAAAATAATTAAATATATGGCAGCTATAATCTGATTTTTTTTTTTTTTTTTAATTAAATATAATGGCAGCTATAATCCTGATTTTTTTGATTTTTTTTTTTTTTTTTGGTAAATAGCTATAATCTGATTGTCTTCTAATCCGGGAACACTACAACACTGGATTGCAACTCGGTTCCCTCTGATACCAATTGTTATTATTACCTTGAGAAAATCATGCTTTAAAAGCTAGCTGTTAAGATTGGAGAGCCAGCTTCATACGAACTTTAGTCCAAAATACTTCTTGTCGAAACTGGGTATTTTGATCTTACAGGACCATTCAGAAATTAGTAGTTGTAGTTTGGTGGTGGAATTCACCTACTCGTACTGGCGTTAATTTAGGATTTCTGTAGCTGTTAGGAAAATGGGCGTTGGTAGACTCTTTGAGTGCACCGATATTTTCTCTCACGAGATGACCATTAAAAAGTTAACTGTTAGAGACGGCAGATATCTTTCAAAATGATCGGAAAGCAGGAGACGGTTTTAAATTAGTCCCGCTTTCCAAAATAACGGGAGTAGACGACCTGTAAAAAGAGATGCCGACCTTTACCACCAAAATGAATTAATTTTAATAATAAAGCCACAGAAAGATCTTTCAAACAAACGCCGCCACTTAACTTTCTTAACCGCTTACGTACTCCAGTATTTCCTGTAAACGATAGGTAACTAAAAAGCAGGCTGGTAGTTTTTTTTTTTTTTTTTTTTTTTTTTTTTTCTCGGTAGGTTTTTTTTTTTTTTTTTTTTTTTTTTTTTTTTTTTTTACATTTAGGTTGGGGCTGGTAGTTTTTTTAAAGGAATTTAGGGGCATAAATTTTTTAAAATTTTTTTTTTTTTTTTTTTTTTTTTTTTTTGACATTTAGTGGGCTGGTAGTTTTTAAAGGATAGGGCATAATTTTTTAAAATATAATAGACTAGAAAAGTCAATTAATAACGTCGTTGACGGCCGTTTAGAACATGCTGGTTGTTCTCTGGTACCGTTTTAATTTACACAACTAGCTTAATTGGATACCATATAATTGATACTGCTGCCATCATTATCAACTTCTTTTGATTTTAAATGTATCAATCGGCTCAACTAAAAGATCATACATAAAAAAAATAGTTAGACACAAACTGGGTAAAGTAGCCACAGAAGAATATTGTCAATTTCCTACGTGTACAGTAATAATAGTGCCAAATATTTATAAAAGCCCTCTGCGACAGCATCTTGATGCAATGTTAATGAAGCTTTTCCAGATTGCAGCAACCAGCTGAAACACAAAAACAAAGTCAATATTAGTAATTCATGAATGCAAGAGGACAACACGGCCATTGGCTGGCAGTGTTAAGACGGCAGCATCATTTAGTGAGAAAATCCTTCATAGGATCATCGTGATGTATCTTTTTCATCCGATGTGCCTCCATCTGCTCAGCAGTAACCTACAATTGGGAAAGCATTAACATAGAAACGTAATTGGACAATGAATGGGCAAAGGCAACAATAGCAACTGGGGCAGAATGACAAGTCATACCTCATCATCCCATCTAACATTATATTTACGCTTTCTTTCATCCTTCTCTTCCCTCTTTCTCTCGTCCTCCTGCCGAACAACACAAATTGGTCATTAACAAGCATATTTTGTGGGAAAATATGTAAAGGGAAGAAAATTACAAGATAGAAAATGAAGAGAGATGAACTTATTTTCTCCTCCTTTGTTTGGAATGTGGAGAAGGCAAGAGAAATTGGAAATATAATTTCTTATCAATTTAAATCACTATAATTTCCTGAACTTTTTAATCCAGTAAAAATTTCACTGTGGGGAAATAATAAACATTTCCATCCCACTTTCGCCCGAAGTCGGCATGAAAGTATTATGGATTGAGTGGAATGATCACCCTCTTTTTTTCATCCCCATCCCTTCTCTCACCATCCCAAACAAGAGAAATTTGAGAATATTCTCCCACTTTGACCACTCCCCCCCCCCCCCCCCCCCGGGGGGACCACTCCCCCCGCCCACCCCCCACGCACGCGCCTAATCCCTCTTCCCCCATTACTCTCACCCCCTTCTCAAAACAATACAGCGTTAAGAAAATAGTTTAGAGCCAATTATTTCTCAAATTAAATAACATAACATTAAAGACCCCCCCCCCCCCACGCACGCGCCTAACTCCCTCTCCCCCATACTCTCACCCCCTTCTCAAACAATACAGGTAAAAAAATAGTTAGAGCAATTATTTCTCAAATTAATAAACATAACATTAAGAGAGTCTCGACTCAGTTATTAACCTTCTTAAGTGCCTCAGCAAGAAGTTTCTGGTCAAGCACCAAATCATCAGGTACATCAGTTCCCCAAGTAGCAAGCTTTTTCTCCTTGGCAGGAGAAGCAGTCTCTGCATTCACATTGTAATCCAGTAAGGAAAAAAACCCAAGCATTTAAAAAATTAAAGTACAAGCAACACCACCAACCTCCAAACCATTAAAGGGAAGCATCAGCAAGATTAATGTCAAAATATCAAAGAAAAAATATAGTTTTAATGGTTTATCTTGAATAGGACATAAACATAAAATTTTGATCAAATGAAGAATCTATACGCTGCTTTTATGTACAGATACTTACCTTCAGAGGCCTCTTTACGAGCGATATTGGTTTTCATCAAGTCTGTCGCAGCTTCAACAGCCTCAATTCCTGCTGCACCAGTGCAATAGCTGTTCTGAATTGTTTGCTTACAGCATTTGTAACCCCATTGGTGATCTTTCCACCATGAACCCCAAACACTTGTGTGGTTGTTGATGTAAATGTCCTCTTCATACTTGCTTTTTGGAAGAGAGGTCTCCTTCAAGAAACAAACAGAAAAACATATAAGCCCAACTCCTTCAGCTTCAATATGGGAGCATAATTTATTAAAGCCACATAAGAGAGACTGAATGATTCCATTTCCATATAACATTTCTCAAGCTTTTCTTCCTTTTCTTCAAATAGATAGATAAATAAACTTTGTGAATTACCAGGCCTTTTATAATTCTTCCAGCAAGGTCATATTCAACCTGTCTCTCACTTTGTCCTAAAAGTAGCTCCCTCGGTAGCTCTTCTTCAGTTGCAGCATTTCCATACTTCTCCATAATGGTGTCTTTCATTTTCAACTTCAACTTTTCCTTAATGACCTTATAATTCTTAAACAGTAATTCAGCTTGGGATGGAGCAGCTTGCATATGGATGTCTTGGCCTTTTTCAAATGCCTCCCAAGCATGAATATTGAGTTGCTTGAACTCCAAAGCTTGTCCACTCGCACTATATTGATTGTCTCCCTGAAATTAACCCATGCAGAAGAAATTAGCTCATATAATTACCGCATTGCCATATAAAACAAGCAAAAATATTGGTAGGCACTCACTCCATAGAACTTCTCATTTGGATCTGCATCAGGAAGAGGATCTTCACGCATGGACCTAGTTTTTGGATCATAATAAGCAGAATTGACATCAAGATTCAAAAGATATTTTGCTGTGTCCTCCCGAATACGCAAATTCCTGGACATATGAAAGGAAAATTATAATACCATGCTTATGTCATATATCAGAGGAAGACATGCTGTCAGAGAAAAATCCAATAAAAAGTGTATAACAAAAAACTAAAAGTGAGGTGTATAAGAGAAAGAGAAGAAAAGTATCAAACCTAACAGTTCCGGTGCTTCCACCTCCTGTGGTACGGACACGCTTCTCAACCTTTGCAAAGTCCATCTGTTTGCTCTCGTCAACCTTGGCTTCATCAACTTTCAGGGAATCTTCATAGTCCTCGTCATCGCTAACCTCACCCTCCCCATTTTGCTTATTATTTTTCTCCTCCAATTTTTTCAGCTGTTCTTCTTTCAAGTGCTTCCTTCTGGCCTCCTCTTTTTTTTCATATCTCTCAATAACATGAGCATACGATGATGGATCATACCCATTCCATCTATCTCTTTTACCGTCATAATCCAGTTCAAATGTCTCTATCAGTTCATCAGGTGCAATGTGCATATTCGTCCATTTTGCGCCTTTTATGCGCGGCCTCTCCGTGCATTCCTTTTTACCATGTGATATAGCTCCACAACTACAATGAATGAATGAAGAAATATTACTTATTACTCGTAACTCGAATTACATGAATAAAGTGCCAAATCTGAAAAATCCACTGACTGTTGGTTTGCAGGAAGTTCAACAGGCAAAAGGAAATGGATTAATGAGTAATATTTTAGTGGCTTGATTTTAAAAAATAATGGAAAAAGTTGCAGTAAGTGGATAAATTAGAATGTATTACATGCTCAAGGCCCTCTTTCCATTTCTCTCCCGTAGCAGAGAATAAAGAGAGAGCAAGACAAACCCATAGTTGAGTCCAATACTAACCTCCCACAATATAGACTTGGAGGACCAACATGATTATTATTGATTCTCTATTCCTCTTCTTTCCATTTTCAAATAAGTAGGTAGAAATCAATCATGTCTTCTCTGCACTTCCTTTGTTTATCTTCACTTCATTTCTTAACTTGTAAGTCAAAATGAAAGAACAAGAGAAATTTTCAGAAAAATAAACAAATTTCCCTGACTATATTAACACAAAAAAAAGATATTCCCCTCATGTAGCTCCAAATCTTAGATATACAGTAATAAATGGGGATGATTTCTTATTTTTTCAGAGCCAACTAAAATGGAATGGCACCAAAAAGAAATAGTTACTCCATTCAAGTTCATGTACTTATCATGCCTTCCTTCTGGTTAGTAATTAGTGGATTAGGGGATAAGAGAGGCCAAAAACAATAACAACTAAGCTTTACTCTCAAACTAGTTGAGCAGCTTTATGCATCCATTGTTTCTATTTTGCTCTGTTCATAACTAAGTCAAGAAAGGCCACTTAGCCAAAATCTTCTCTACTTGCAATCAAGATGAGGTAAAGTCCATGTGATTGAGCTTCCTTCACAATATGATGATAGGGTTAAGCATCATTCAGTTAAACCAAAAACCAATGTGACCTGATGAATTTCAGTTCTTCTAATTCAATTTTCAAAAACTCAGTTCAGTTTGATTACCATATATCATGTATTATGTATGCATAAGAATCTGAGAAAGCAGCACCCTTTTATTTGTATCTACAAAACACTATGCATCCACACCATTACCGCTCTCCCATTTCACTTCTCTTTTTCTTGCTTTTATATTTAGCAATGAGCATACCAATGCTTAGTCACATGCGGATTTGCAATGGAAAATAAATGCAATATATCCTTATTGGGCCTAATCAGATCTAAACCATCTTTGCTTTTTTGAACATGAAGAAATAAAGAAACCATTGCAATGCATCTAATAAAGGAAATGGAGCATACTTAAGTGCAGAATAGAAGGAAAATGAGTATATACATAATTCGAATTAGATATAAACATTAGAATTCTACTTGGTAAAACTATTGTACTAGCATGTGCAAGTGCACACATACAAGAAAGACGCACGCATGGAAAATGATGAACATCATTAGCAACACTTACTTTTCACATGCTCCCTTTCTATACCTATCAGCCTGATAGACTTTTACACCTTTATGATACCAAGATTTTGTGTAATTTGGATCCGATTTCCAATTTCTTTGATGTTTTAAACTCTGTAAACATAGTGGTGAAAAATTCAATTAGCAAGACCCAGAGAGAAATACAAAAAGAGGGAGTAGAGAGTAACTAACTTACTGGTTTGTTAGAATTAAGATACCAAGGAGCAGATGACATATATTGAGGAATATGAGGATTAATCTCTTTTCCATCCTCATCAACCTCAGCCAGGGCAAGCCCGGCTTTCCGAGCTTCCTCCAGCTCCAACTGCTTCCGGTGATCCTCTCTAGATTTGAATCCCACTGCAATAACCAAAATCAAGAATGTGGTTACACCTTACAACAATTAAACATAATTACATCATTTCAACAACAAAAACTCCAATCGGTTTAGTTATAAGATATCAATTTCTCTCCAGTACGTTTCCCAAAATACTAAAACCCTTCAATTGTCGATCTACTACTATACTGATTCTCATATGAGCATATATCTGTATCCAGGCGTAAAACCTGAAAACGGACTCGACATTGGAATCAATTTTACATCAAAACGACCAAATACAAGATATAACCAATGAAAGAAAAAAATCTCTCTAAGCATGACAACTATGTTGTTGATTATTCACGACTAATTTCAAGTAAGAAAAAACGTACCAGTTGCGGTAGCCATAGTCGAACTCTATGAAATGAAACCCTGAGAAACAGATTTCACGATGAAATACAGGTAATCGGAGCTCTGATTGCAGGCAAACTTTTGCCGAGAAGGAAACCGAAGTCAGTGAAGGATAAGGGATATGAGTACGACGTCACGATGCGCTGCGTTTTGGTGTTTTACTACTTTCTACTTGTAACCACAGAAGCATCTAGAACCCTTGATACGATTCTTCAAGCAAACGATTATCAGGAATACGATTCTTTAATTCATTTGCATATCCAACGAATTTTTATTTGACATGAATCAAAGTTATTGAAATCTGTCAGAATTTCACATGATAACGCGGTGACATATAATATGGTATTAGTCATAATTTCATATTTTTTTCCATTTTAATATAATTGAAATTCCTATTTTTTTAAATTTAAAAATTATTTATTTACTTATTTATTGTTTATTTAAATAGTATAAAATGAATTATATTTCAATCTTTAAAATCATACTTAATAATAATGCAACTCAATAAAATAATATAAGAATTATTTTTGTTTTTTTTTTTTGAAAGGAAATATAAGAATTATTCTAAAAAATAATATAATAAGATTATTCTAAAAATATATATATATATAATATATATTATTGTATTGAATTCCTGCATAGTAAAACAGAAAAATTTTAATAATTATTGATTTCAAAAGAAACTAAAACTGTGTTAAAAAAAATTTTACTGGTGCGAATATATAATAAATTAATAAGATTATAACATAAAGTTTATATATATATTGTATTTTCTGCATAGTAAAACAGAAAAATTTTATAATTATTGATTTCAAAAGAAACTAAAAACTCGTGTTAAAAAAATTTTACTGGTCGAATATATATAAATTAATAAAGATTATAACATAAGTTAATATTAATAATTAAAACATTAAGAATGCCACTAATAAATATATTTTTAACAAACATCTGATTAAGAATCTATTTTTTTTCAGTATCATATATTATTTTTATTCATTTATTGATAAGATTGGAATTAATTAGAATTTGAAAATTTTATAAAATTCAAATGATACTAAATTCAAAGATGGAAATGAAAATAGAAATCAAATGAATAAGATGAAAAGTTAATGAAATTTGAAAAATTCAAAGATGGTGATGAAGATAAAAATGAAAATATAAATAAAGTGATAGACAACATAGAGGTTACATATTTTTACTTTCAACCTCGTAAATAGAAAATTACAAAAATTTCAATATTGGGTTACTATGCATACATAGAATAATGTTTATTATAAATAAAGCGGCAAGAGTGGATTGTAAACTTAAAACAAATTTATTTATAGTCTATCCATCCTTTTTAATTAAAAAAGAACAGGAAAATTTATAATTAAGTTTTTAGGTCAATACTGTCTTCTAGTTTTATATCTTTGTCTGCGTAGGTTTTTTATCACGGGTATCGATTGTTATTTGACTCATCGGTACACATCAGCTAATTGAATACCAGTGGTTACTAACCACCAATCGACGATCCACTCGACCCACCCCAAAAAGCATGATTCGTGTCGTCATTTAAATCACAATTTGCCACGCTTCACTTAGAGAATCTAAACGGCATATGCGTCACCCGTACGCACGCGCGACCAGTTTGGCCCCATCTCCGAAGTCCAATATCTATAAACTATAGAACTTGTAATAACCTGTCGTTTAATCACCATTTACCGTTTTGCTTTTACAAATAACACCATCCATTTGGCAACATCACTTCCACGCACATAAATACCACCGCTTTCGTCCTTTTATCCCGATCAATCTGTTTGTCTCTGCTCTCATTTTACCATTTTCTTCTTCTTTGCCGTTTCTGAGCTAGTCGTTTTCGATTCTCTCGATCTCTGTCAATGGCAAAGGAACCAGTTCGCGTTCTCGTCACTGGGGCTGCAGGTATGTCCAACACGAAAGCCAAAGAAACAGAAAATCCAGTTCCACTGTTAATACTTAGATCTATCATTGATCTTTGTTTTAGCTTCATTTATGTGATCTTAGGTCTAATTAGCTCGAGTACCTATTCAGTTTGCTTCAAACAATGATTTAGATCTAGTTTATTTCTGATGATTAAGTTTTTATCAAGTCTGAGACTGTGATACTGTTCCATCTATATCGAACTAGATAGATTTTGGAACTACCTAGTTGATTTGCTTATTATTAGTTGAAATTGTAAGTTTGATTTGAGTTACCGATGATTAGAAATGCTGTACTATGATCGGTGTTTTTGTAGTTTGGTTTATGTAGATCTAAGATTCATTTAAGCTACAATGGTGGCAGTTGTTTTGGTTGAGTGTGTTGTGTAGTTAATCTCGCTACTTACCAATGGTGATTTGATGATCGGGGAGATTAAAGGACGCATCGTATCATTTTTTCTACCATAGCAGGGCTTTCTTTTTTGCTTATTCCAGTTTTCAAAAATTTTTCATCTAGACTACGCCTCTCATTTGAAAAATATTACCATTTTTATGGCACGCTAAACCAAATGGTGTAAACATTTCTCATTTTGTTTTGCATTTTTGCACATTTAATCTCTCATCTACTTTATAAACTGACAAATTAATAAGAAGTGTAAAATTGTCATTGTATTTTCAGGACAAATTGGATATGCGCTTGTCCCCATGATTGCTAGGGGAGTCATGCTTGGTACTGACCAACCTGTCATCCTCCACTTGCTTGATATCCCACCTGCAGCAGAGGCATTGAATGGTGTGAAGATGGAGTTGGTTGATGCAGCTTTTCCTCTTCTTAAAGGTATTATATGCCCTCATTTTCTTGAATAAAACTGCAAAAGGGGTTGTTGTAGCATCTTTTAACACTTGATCTTTTGGATTCGTGAAGAATCAATTATATGATTATGAAGTCTCACCAAGATTAATATGTTTCAGGTGTTGTTGCTACAACTGACGTTGTTGAGGCTTGCACTGGGGTAAACATTGCTGTCATGGTTGGTGGCTTCCCTAGGAAAGAAGGAATGGAGAGAAAAGATGTGATGTCAAAAAATGTGTCAATCTACAAGTCCCAGGCTTCTGCCCTAGAGAAGCATGCAGCTGCAAACTGCAAGGTGGAGACGTTAGTTCAATTACTAAAAAGTTTCTGTATAAAAGAGGATCATTCTATTGCAATTTTTTGAAAAACAAAACTGTCCATTTAAGTAGTCGCTGGAATCAAAGTTATACGGGATGTTTTGAATTCTCTTTTGAAATTTAAATGATGTATATCATTATCATTTAAGGATTTAGATGCCTTTGAAAATTTTGCATTTGAAGCCACTTAAGTCCATATATTGAATGTAGTTTTGCTACTTTTTTCACCCAGGTTCTGGTTGTCGCCAACCCGGCAAACACTAATGCATTGATTCTGAAGGAATTTGCACCATCCATCCCTGAGAAAAATATTACTTGCTTGACAAGACTGGATCACAATAGGGCACTTGGCCAAATTTCAGAGAGACTGAACGTTCAAGTATCTGATGTTAAGAATGTGATCATTTGGGGGAATCATTCATCAACTCAGTACCCTGATGTCAACCATGCAACTGTTAAAACTCCATCTGGGGAGAAACCTGTCCGGGAACTTGTTAAAGATGATGCATGGTATTAGGAACTGTTTTCTTTCCTTTCCCCCCTTTTTATATTGTAATATAGTTTATTTGTATTGTTTAAATGTTGAAGAAATATGTTGATTGCCTTTGTTGGTTTAAAGGTTGAATGGGGAGTTCATCACTACAGTTCAACAACGCGGTGCTGCAATCATTAAAGCTCGAAAGCTTTCAAGTGCATTATCTGCTGCTAGTTCTGCTTGTGATCACATTCGTGATTGGGTTCTTGGAACTCCTGAGGTTTGGAAATATTTCCTTGGCACTCCAATGTTGCTCCTGTTTTGCGTGGTTATTAATATGGGTTTTTCATTTCCCTTGTAGGGCACCTGGGTTTCCATGGGTGTCTACTCTGATGGCTCATACAATGTGCCTGCTGGGCTGATTTATTCTTTTCCTGTCACTTGCCAAAATGGAGAGTGGAAAATTGTTCAAGGTAAGGATGTTGCAAATGCAATAGTGCTAAATCATTATTTAGTTCACTCTTTATAATTAATAGTGGAAAATAGTTAATACTGCAGCAATAGTGCAGATTTTTTCTTATATTGGTTGTTGTTGCCATTTGAAAAGCCAAAAGCATGTATGGTTATTGGTTTAATGCTAACAAGCACGCAATTCTGCAACAGCAACTTACTACAACTAAACCCATAGTCTCAAATTAGTTGTTGTGAAAAGAAAATTTATTTCTCTTTTATAATTGCCTTACATTTTCATGTATTCCCCAAATATGTGTCTCGTTATTCTTCTTTTTTGTTTCAAAACAAAATCTAATTTTATTTTATTTTCAGAAACATAAGAAAGAAGTTGAACAACAAGTGCCTCAAAATTTTTGCTCTAGGATGTTTGTAGGGTAAATTTAAATATATGAAAGCATTCGCCATCTAGTTAGCTGTTTCATGTATATATCATATTATTTAGAATCTTGAGTTTTGCACTTGTGACCCAACACGAATATATGACTTTAAAATTGCTATTTAGGAGATTGAGAGATCCATTAATTATGTATCTCAATCCTCCTCCTTACCCTTCATCGTTCTCCCCAACTATTGAGAGACCCATAAATTGTGCATCTCAAATCTTCCTCCCCAACCCTTATCATTCTCACCAACTATGCCAACTGTATTTTGTTTTACAAGCATAAAGGGATAATTTCAAATTTTTGTGCCCCTAGACCCAAGTACATTTCTTGATTTTGATTGAAACTCATAAATATTTTTTGATTGAAATTTATAAATATTTTATGCACTGTGGTACCCAAATTCCATGCTAATTTCTGGATGAAACTTTTGACATTTATTTTTCTCTTTTTTTTTTTTTTTTTTTTTTTTTAATTCTTTGTGCCCCCTAGACCCAAGTACATTGTCTTGATTTTGATTGAAACTCCATAATATTTTTTTGATTGACACACATTTATAAATATTTTATGCACTGTGGTACCAAATTCCATGGAGCTAATTTTCTGGATGAAATACTTTTGAAACATTTTTTTTCTCTGTTTTTTTTTTCTTTTTTCTTTCTTTATGCTCACAGGACTTCAATGATCGAATTTCAAAGGAAAGAAGTTGGACTTGACAGCAGATGAGCTCTTTTTTTTTTTTTTTTTTTTTTTCTTTATGCTCACAGGACTTCACATTGATGAATTTTCAAGGAAGAAGTTGGACTTGACAGCAGATGAGCTCTCCGAGGAGAAGGCTCTCGCTTACTCATGTCTCTCATAAATACTCTCTTTTAATCGCTGCTGTGTAGTAAGTGGGCCTCTCTCGCCTCTTCTTACATGAGGCAGGTATATTTTACAGTTTTGAATAAAGTCACTGTTAAGTTTTAGATGAACGGATGATGATGGAGAAAGTGCATTTTGGACGATGATGAACGGACGATGATGTTTCAATTTTAATGACTTCATGAATTGATATTATGACCTACAACTGGTTGTGGTGATAAATTTGCGTTGGTCATTAAGATTTAAGATCAATATGCCATTTGTTTTTTGCTTTTTTGCATTTCATTTATCCTGATGTTTTTAGCGCCTTAAATTATCCTGGCCATCAGTGTTGTGACCTGGACTTTTCTAACAGAGAGAGAGAGATATATATATACCAATTGATCGTTGTTATTGAAATGTTAGGGTTCCTGACTGAATTAAAACGATAAAGCATTAGAATAAATTGTACCAGGAAAAAAGAAAGCCGATTCTTTCTTAGGAGGGACGGGATTTTTATTCCTAAATGAGGCGGGAATATTTTGTATACTAATAGCCCAATACTTTGAGGGCCTAACATATTCAAAGCCCACTCATGAGCCTTACTTTTTCTCGAAACAGTCATGGACGTTGATTTAGCTAATAACCCACAGAAAGCCGTCCTTGTCAAATTAAGGGCCTTAATCCTTATTTAATAAGTGCAAATGCAATGGCCTGGCAGCCGCAGCATCCGTGAGACACTGTATATTCCACTTGCGAAACCAACAGAATTCAGAAAAACACACGCACGCACACACACACACACACACACACACACAAGCAAGATCACACATTGATAATCACACCTCCTACGTATAAAGAAAAAATTAACCAAAATTACAATAAATATAGGTCTAATTAGCAAATTAAGCACAAGAATTGGAGTCGAAAACAATTGCCATTGAAATGAAGGATTTGGGTTTTTTTTTTTTTTAAAGAATTTATGCACAAGGAGTTTTCGTTTTCGGCTTCTTCAGTCTACTCGGGATGTTGTAATGAATTAATATTTGAAATCTACACTAAGCTGGGAAATTCCTATGTCCAAATTTTAGGATCAAATTCTCAAATTATTAGTCAATGATGTACTTACATCGGTACTAATTTTAATTTCTTATTTAGCCCAGATACTTTTAATTTGATTTAATGGATAGGCACTGCAATCGTTTATAAATTTTATATTTCGTATTAGAAAAGGATAAAAAAAATAAAAATACTTGCTTTATATTAGGTGTATATTTATTTTTCACATTACACCCAAGTCAATAATTAATTGCCATTTCAAAATTATAATTTTCGTTATTGTTTTTTCCTTAGTAAAAAACACTAACATTCTTGTTTACCATTATTAGATTTGTTGCATATACATATGATGTAAATTTTTTCGATACACAAATTTATATTGAGATATCATTTAATAATTACGTTTAGTGCAATCTTTTCTCTTTCTTTTCTCCTTCCCTTTCTTCTTCTTCTTTTTTTTTTAAAAAAAAAAAAAATTGTTTTAGGCAATCTTACATCTTACAAACACGACATAAAATGCAATAGATATGACCAAGACTAAGCAAAAATATTCAAACACAGAGACTGTAGCCTTGACTTAAAATGTGGGAACACGTATAAAGTGACGCGTAATTGCTAGGGGAAGTGGCAGGCAATTATATAGGATGCACCACTCCATTGGAAAATTTGATTAATTTGCAAGAAACGCATGCATTTGTGAAGCGTTTACTAAAATTATCTCATTTTTGTAGTCACTAACGTGAATATCGACACCCCACTAGAAGGGAAAAATTTAGAAAAAACGCAGCAAGCGTCATAGATTTGAAATCATATACTAGAATTTTGTATAGTTGTATTGACCTAAACACAAAAAAGAATTGTTGACCCTTATCAAAGAATCATCGTTTCTATTGAAAGACACCAAATACTGAAATCATCTGTATCTTCTTTTCTTTACTCAAGCTTCATTTATCAACATCAATGAAAAATTGAAAATTAATTATCTTCTGTAAAGAAACTAAACATTATGTTTATTTGTGTATATATAATTATACTTAGAATTAATTCTTAGTAATACCTAAAACTTGAAATTATATTTTTTATTATATCACTAGAAATTGTATTTTTTAAATATATTAGACCTGGTATCTCTTAAAATTACTTAGAAAAGAGATTTTAGTTTTCGATAATTGGCCAAATATTATAAAAATTGAAACTTAATTAACTTTATGTATGCTTCATAAATCATTTGACTTGATTAGATGAATCGTATATGTTGCTGCTAAGTGCGTCTAGACGATAGCGGCACAATTGACAGCACCAAAGAGGCATATATATGGAAAATGTCTATAATGCAAACATTTATTATATATCAAACCTTTCAAATAAAAAATCGTTGATTATTTATTTATTTATTATATTGTCAGGCCAACTTCTTTTTTTTTATTTTTATTTTGATACATGGGAAGTTAAATTGGCCGAAATAATATTGTCAGCTATACAGTAAGGTGCAACCTTTTTCTTTGAATAAAGTTCAACAAATTGCCGATAACTTTTGTGGTAGCAAGGACTCAAATTTGAGACATTTCATTTTCTACATTTTCTACAACCAATAAAAAGATTAATTAAATCACATCTAATTGATATTTTCAGATCAACTTTATTCGTAATATTAAGAATTAAAAATCTGAAGTCGTCAAAAGTGCCTAAAAGTAGACATAACGAGCTACAAAACTGAAAAAAAAAAAGTCATTAATTTGGTACTATTTTTTCAAAGATTTTTTTTAAATTTTGTTGCTTTCACATTTTTTCATGAAAAGATTTGCTGCTTTCACATCAACTGAGTCTACCCGCATCCTGGAAGCTGCATTCTATTTGCTGTGAATTTGCCATTTTGGAATCTGTAACCTTTAAAGAAATTGTATATTTCTGGAAGAAGTGGAAAATTTTCAGATTGGTTTTTCTCATTTTCTGGATGACTAAGGCAGAAAAAGTTAGACATTTCACATTTTCTCTCCCAATTACTTATACGTAAAGTTTAATCTGTTTGGATAATAACTATTTTCTTTCATTATTTCTAATTTCTTTTGTTCTTAATTACTTCTAACTGAGTCTTGCTCGTTGGAATATATATATATATATATATATATATACCCGCTCGTGTGATCTGTTTTTTTTTTTTTTTTTTTTTTTTTCATTATTTTCTAATTTCTTTTAGTTCTTAATTACTTCTAACTGAGTCTTGCTCGTTGGGAATAATATATATATAATATATCATAATATATACCCGCTCGTGTGATCTGTTTTTTTTTTTTTTTTTTTTTTTTTTTTTTTTTTTTTTTTTTTTTTTTTTTTGGTAAAAAGTCATGCCATGCGCCGGTCTGGTTGGGACTGGGAGCAGACGTGGGTCATAAGCAGAGAAAAAGAAAAATAAATAGGAAAAGACTTGTTTTTGTTGTTTTTTTATGTAATAAGATGGAATCAAAAATTTGAACATACGTGTTTTCGATTAGATTTACTTATATTCGGTATATAAATTCACTACGAATCAATATAATGAAAATATAAATTTATTAAAATATTTTTATTTTTTTCTAGATGAATAATTAGAAATATCTTTTTTTCAAAAAAAGAGAAATAATTTTATTATAAAAAATATATTTTTCATTTGTATCAGACACAAAAAACAGCAGTCATTGGTAGCGAATTGGTTTGCTGAGTTTCCAAAAAATAATCAATTTGAGAGAACAACTCTCTCATACTTCACTTGATAGCTATATATCATCTTCAAACTTAACCATATATATGAAGCTAACTGTTTTTTTTTTTTCCTTCTGATAATATGAATTAAGTGCACGTGAACCACAACAAATACATGCATATATAATGCATTTACGTATAATTAGACATTAAGTTTCAAAGTTTCAAATAATATATATAATATAATATATATAACTGTATAATTTAGGACATTAAGTATTTTAGATATATATATATGTATAATTAGACATTTAAGTATTTAGAGTATGCATCAAATCAATGTCTTTGTTCATTAATGAAGGGTAATTAATTAACAATACTAATCTAAATAACCATATATCAACTCTGATATTTGCTCTCCCCTCCCCATAGCTCTCTGATTAAATAGTTCCTCCGTATATATTCACAGTAAAAAACTTTTTCTTCCAACCTCAAAATTTTCTTGTATTCCGCCTTTATTCTTCTTTTTGTGTCCCTTCCAAATATCCACCAAAGCGTATACAATTACAGACTCATTGTACATATCTTTATACTGGCTTTTTTAACGTTCTTCGTCAATGAGTGGTATATTCTTGCTTTCGTACAAATTTGGACCATGCTGTGTGGAAATTTTTGCAATTTTCTCCCTCACATTCCATATCAACAGTCAAATTCCTGCACATATTCAAATTGATTTGCGCTCCAAAATTATAGTAATTCCTCTATGCCCCCAGAGTTTACAAAAAGATTGTACCAGAAGTCCATACCATCGTCGATAATACTATTTGGACCATCACTGATATTATGGAATTCCCTGGTATCATCATATACTGGAAATTCAAGAACGTTTGAATTCTCAATCAATTCTGTTTCTGACCAAAATTCTTGGTCGATCACCGGAAAATCGAACTCCGATGAGTCAATAGTTTCACCCTTGACCGTACTGATATTGCTTGTTTCTGATATGGCGACTGATGATGAGTTTTCTGTTACAGTGGAAATATCACTAGAAGAGGGCTGAGGAGACGCTGGACTTTCCATTATTGATTCTGGAAGAATTGAATTCTCAGATTGGTTATTGAGATCGTCACATTTTGGCATTTGATTTGAGTCATTCTTTTGTTTCAGCCTCTTTTTCAAGTGAGTATGCCAAACATTCTTAATCTCGTTGTCTGTCCTTCCTGGTAGTTTCGCTGCAATTGCTGACCATCTGCAAAAAATTAGCAAAATCTGTCTTAGAAGCTTGTTTCAAGAACCAAAGAAAAGAAAAGGAATTAATTAACTTTGTTCGAGAAACCAAGTATTTATCGATGGATTGATTCCTACCTATTTCCGAGCGTTGCATGTAACTTGATAATAGTTTCTTCTTCTTCTAGAGTAAAGTTTCCTCTTTTAATGTCTGGTCTTAAATAGTTTATCCAGCGAAGTCTGCAACTTTTTCCACATCTCAATAAACCTACAGAGAGGAAGAAAAAAAAAGTACATAAGATATCGATATACACAGTTTTCTTTCATTTTGAAGAAAAACAAATTTAAAGAAAAAAAAAAGGTTACCAGCTTGCTTAGGGAGTGCACGCCAATTGCTATGGCCATGTTTTTGAATATGAGAAATCAAAATCTTATCTTCTTCAGAAGTCCATGGCCCTTTCTTTAATCCCATCTTCTCACAGCAAGGAGCTCTTCCCATCTTTCTTTCCTTCTTTCTTTCTTGTTTATATAAATAATTACTCTCTTTCAACTCCAACAGACACACACACTCTCTCTCTCTCTCTCTTAAACTTAAAGATATGTTATTTCTTGGATGGCAACTAATCTGATAGGCCTAAGGTATGACCTATTTATATTATATGACAAGAATGAGATGTAGGAAGAAAAGTCCAAGACCAAGAAAAGGCATCTCCTTCAATATCAAATCTCAATATTTAAAACGCCAACACTGCCATGCAATTTCCAGGAAGGGGTCTCTCTCTTTCTTTCTTTCTTACTCTCTCACACACACATGCACAAAAGCCAAGATTAGATTAGGTTAATTAATTATTTAACGAGAGTGCGAGTTCTGGAGTGAGCAATTTGTCAATTCTGATGTTGAGTTAAGACTGGTAAAAGTGCACGAGCGAGTCCTATTATAAGACAAAATCCAATTTTAAATAAATAATCAACAATACGCAAGCAAGTGACGCTCTTTTCTTGAGGCAGCCAAAAAATTTGCTACACGTTTCTCAAATTTCTAAAAAAAAGGACTCGGTATATATAAAATTTACAATCGATTGTATGCACATTAATTAGAATGGGTTAATAGCTTTTTGCGACACCAAATTGCAATTAAAAGTTAATTAATTATTTGGTCAAAGAAGTCATTCGCCAAGAGAGCACACAATAGTTGGACTTAGCGCACGTGGTTTGATTTTTCTGAGGAATATATTACAAATTGCAAGTGGATAGAATTTTGTATATTTGCTTTGGATAATTTCTAAAAATATGTGTCTTAAATTTCATTTATACGAACCCAAGTTGCCAAGATTTAAATTTCAAGGGAAAAAGTATTCTGTGTGGTTATTAATTGTATAAAATAAAAATAATAAATATTTTTTTGGCATGGGAAGAAAATTTGTCATTGTATAATTTTGAATTTTTATGTTGTCTCATTCTAAAGTGAAATAATAAAATGCCATACGTATACAAGTGTGTGTGTATATATATATATATAATTTTGTTTATTAGTCAATGTTATAGTATTTTTTTAAAGGCTAAATGATAAAACATTATCAATTTTAATGCTTTTTAAATTTTGACTAATTTATTTTTATTTTTATCAATATATATCTTATATTTTATTTTTTTAATTATAATTGTGGCTTTCATATAATTACTATGCAAATTTAGCTGACATGGCAGTTTAAAATAGTGTAATTACCTAATTAGGACATTAGCATTGATTGGAAAACCCATTAATAACTTAGCAAAAAAAAAAATTATAATGCACTCCAACTATTGATTTTCAAATTTTAATAATATACACTTATATAATTTGTGATAATATATAAGAATAAAATTTTGAATAGTGACGAACCCCAAATCAATTAATACTTTTTCCCCAATCCTAAGGATGTGAATTTTTTTTTTTTTTTAAATTAACAAGGATGGGAATCTTAAAATTCACTTCACTCATCGCATTGCGATTCCTCTAATTTAGATTTTTAATTAGATTGTAATGTCATTACAAGGGAATCATTCCTCATGGTAGAGTCCAAAAAATTTAATTAGTTAGAAAGATTTAAAAAAAAAATGCCAATAGAGATTTGACAATAGAAAAGGGTTGATATAATAAACAAATTGGGAATAATTTTAGGTAGAGAATTATCAAATAATATACATAATTAAATAGTTAAGAATTAGGTTTGTTTAAAAAAAAAAAATGGCGGTGATGTTACGTTAATGTAGGTAAGAAGTTTATTTCACATTTGTTGACTTATATTGAGTTAGTTTGAATAAAATGTGAGATGTCAAAGAAAGAGGAATTAATATTAATATACTCTTTTATTTCATATCCCTAAATCTCTTTATTAATATTATTGAATGATTTTAATTAATTTAATCACAGTTCACACACATAATATCACGACGGGCCTATTCAGCAATACTAGTTGTTCACACACAACATTACGATGAGCTTGTTTGGCAATACTAGCTGTTCTAGTAGTTGTTAACTGTTTTAGTAATTATTAGCCGGTAGATATTAGTAGTTAGCTATTAGTTGTTTAAATAGTAGATAAAAGCGAAAATGTTGAATAAAAATAATTGTTTAATTGGTAGTAAATTTAAAACGATAAAAAGGACATTGAAATATGTACATAGAATTTTCAATTAAATTTATTATAAAAAAAATAATTTCACTAAATCTAAATTTTCAAAATTTGAGGGAGCAAAAATTGAAAAGTTAACTATTTTAGAAATAAAATTTAAAATTTTTAATATTTTAAGAGATCATTTTCATTCTTTAAATTTTTAATATCAATTTGAGTTTAAATACAAATATATAAATAATTTTTTTTTCTATTACTATCAATAGCATCATAAATAAGCCAAACATAAAAATAACCAAACACCTCATGTGATAATATAAAAATTTTATATTAAGATAAGATTGTAAAAAATTTAAGTAAAAAAGAGTGAAACGCTAAAACGTTAAATGAGATATCGTTTTAGAAAACACTTCATAAACTTTTCAAAAGTAAAAGCTACTCTATATATTAAATTACCAAATATAATAATTTTAAAAAAATAATATTTTGATTAATTCAAAACACTAAAAGTTACTCTAAAGGTTATCGCGTAACCCGCCTCACATGCATGTTGCATGGATTGGCTTCTCTAAAATCCTATTTCAGTAATCCTAACACTATTCCTCAAACTTATTTCCCAACATGCCACGTGCATTGGAGCACTAATCAAAACAAAAAAAAAAAAAAAATTAAGCGGTATTGGAGCACTAATCAAAACAAAAAAAAAAAAAAAAATTAAGGTAGAACTAATAAAAAATTAAGCTCACAAAAAAAAAAAAACATCAACATATAAAAAAAAAAAAAAACATAACATAATGTGAATATATATATATTATATATTAATCTCGTAAATCTCTTCTTCTATAAACGATTGAACCATCCACCTTAAATATGGTTCTACATATATACACTTCACTACTAATTTGTGCTCGTTTTGGATTTTGTGGCTATTAAACTTATTAATTTTATTATATTTGAATCTATATATATATATATATTAAAATTACTTACAAAATTCACTCTATAAAATGTGATACAACAATTATCTTTTCTCAATCCCATGAGTGGTGTTTTGATATATAAGCACTAAACAATGATACTATTTAAATTATGTACAATGTAGATTTTTATTACATCAATATAAATTAGTGAAAGGAAAATATATATTTTATTATATCATATGTCTTGAAATCTTGTAATTTTTTTAATAATTATCTTTATATCTTTGGACTGACTGATTGACTCTTAAAATAAGATTTGGATCATTTGTATTTTTCTTTTGTACTTTAATCATCCACCTTCGAGTCAATCACATTTGAATATTTTTGTTCAACGAAAAGCCATAATTAATGTTTAATTAAAAAAATATATACAAATACATGGCCTGGGGACCATTTTGTAAAAAAAAAAAAAAACCACTCATTTAGTCATTTTTAAAGATTATTTGGACAATAAGAAATACAAGTTGAAGGGTAAATAATGCAAATTCATTATTTAATTGTTGCATTAATAATTAATTATTAAAGCTCTGAATCACGTGCTCCCACTACAGCATAAAATGATAAAATAACAGAGTGGATGATCTTGTTTCTTTCCTTCCTTTTTCTTAAAATAGAAAAATGAAATCCACCATTGTTCATTAGCAGAGCTATCTCCATGGATTTTTACTGTTTATATGGCTGCTTTTGCTCACCAAGCCTTATCTTCTGAAAGCCACCATTTTTTATTACCTACAAAGTTACAAACAGCGTTTTGGCTGCTTCGATCAAAGTCTCGTTTCTTTAAGTATTATATATAGAGAGAACAGACTTTAATTATTTTTTATATAGTAAAAATATGATCCATCGCTAAATTTAATTATAACTTTATGAGTTGATTATAAAAAATTCGTTTGATAAAAAAGACTTATGAGCTTGTTAATAAGAGTAAATAAGTACGTAAATAAGCTAAGATTTAAATTAATTCTAATTAAAAGAATGAAGGTAAAACTCAAGTTTTAAATTCGAATCATTTTGAAGTCAGTGCATACTTTTAACTGGTGAATTCAAAATCAAACAGAATTCTATTTCATTCAGCAGAGTTAATCTTTAACGGTAGCTTTCAGTCAAAAAAGGAATAAATAAATAAATTGTAGGTTTGTGGGGTATCTTTTATATTTTTAAACAAAGATTAACAGTAATACGATAAGATATTCACAAAGCAGTTGAGATTGGCTCAGAGTAATTTGTTTAATTTAATTATATATATATGAGTGGACCAATTAGGAAGAGAGTACATTGTTATTGCAGTGCAGACAAAATAGCACAACTGGACCTCAGTTGTCAGTAGTGCACTGTGGACTAACGATCGATAGTGAACAATCCTTGTGCTTTATATATGACAATCCTTGGTGCTTATATATAATATATTATATAATATATATATATTATATATATCTATACCTATTATATACTAATATATATATATATTAATTTTTATAATTTTAATTAATAAATCAGTAAAATTTCTCATGAAATATTATAATTTTTATAATTTTATTAATAAATCAGTAAAAATTTATCATAAATATCTAATCTAGTCCAGACTAATAAGTCTAATTCATGCACTCTAACCTAAGAGTGAAAAATCTCGATCTCCAAATAGTAAAACAAGCAAAAGAGAAAATGATCTTTGATAAGGAATGGACCACCATATAAGCTTGCAGAAGAAAAACTTGTGCTTTTTCTTAGAAAAAAAAAAAATGTTTATCCTCTTTTATGATTGGAGAGTTGAGCTCTTGATTAGCTGCTGAGATCGGTTCAATGCATCGATTAGTTTCCAAATTTGGAGTATCAAAGTGGTCAGTGATTTGCATCCGTCCAGTCAAAGTCAATTATGTAGGCTGGTAATTAGTGGAAAATAAAATATAAATTTTTTTTTTTTTTATACACGACAGTCTCATTGGACTGGAATCCATTTAAAACGAAGATTCAAAAACTCGAGAACTCTCAGTTTGAAGAATTTTATTATTCTACTATAATTTATATCATTAAATTTGTGGTTTAAAAGACTTGAAATTCAAAACCTATAATTAAAAAAATTAATCAGATCATCACCTGATTGATTTAATATTTTATAATTTATTTAAAGAAAAAGAAATGAATAATATTGAATTATGAATGATATATATCTAAAGAGAAATAATGTTTCATATATATATATATATATTGAGAAAAGAAGGAAATGGAATTTGGTTTTATATTCCAACCATATATAGTTACATTGTGTTTATGCACGCACAGGAACAATGAATGTGGCCAAAATATCTCAAATACTAAAAGAAAATATATGTTTTAGAAAAATCTTTAATATTATTCTATTTTTGTTTTTATGATAAGTATGACTTCATACCTTGAATTATAGTTCTTTAATATTTGTTTTAATTTTAAAAGTGAAAAATTATTAAAATTTTATTTTCATAACCATAAATAATTAATAAATAAAATATTCAGTATTGGTAACAAGGATTTACATTATAATCCGTAAAACACACCGTAGATAACCAGTAATTATTTAATTTGGTGTTGGTAGATTAACTTACACACCTATTAAAATAAAACTTGTTTATTAAATTATTCTGCGTAGATCGTTGTCCTTACACTCTTATTATTCTTAATTAAATACCCCACAATATATAAATTATTATTATAGTTAGTCTACGAGTCATCATATCTTTACAATATAATTATTAACTCCATTAAGATTGCTTTTAATTAGTCATCCCTACTTGGAATAATTAATCTCTTTATTTTCACTAACCATATCTTAATTTTTATTTGTCGATTTTAGTCATTTTCACTTTCTTGATGGCCTTTGAGTGCACCACTGGATTAATCATTGTTTTATCCTTTGGATCTGTCAGCGGTTGGGTAACTGATCTCACGAACAAATTAGTTATAAAAAGTCATATTAAAATTTTCATATAATACCATATTAATTATCAATCATGTGCAGGTATTGATTAAAATGATAAATGACTTCAATTCCCGTAGAATGACAGCGGTATTTTTTATTTTGATCTGATTGACGGTAACTTCAATATCTAGAAGGTATCTTTAAAATCAATGTTGTTGAAACAAATCTAAATCTAATTGACAATAATCTCTTTTGCAATTATACTTTCAACCACCATTTTCCAATGAGATATCAGTATGAAATTAACAACATATAGAATGAAATGGTAGATAGAAATTAAGTACAAGTTTCAACCAACAGATGCAAAAAGTTTGAATTTTTTTTTTTAAAATTTTTCTGTGATAATAGTTTGAATTCATTAAGTAGACGAGATAAATTCAAAGTGGTTAGTGAAACATTAAAATTAATATCTAAAACATGACATCTTTCGAGTATTAGAATCATATTTTTCAATTTTGTATACGTTAACCATATAGAAAAGGTCTTGTGGTCACAAGTTGATTACCGAATGCAGCTGTTAATTATTGTTTGCCTGTAACAGCTAGCTTCTGTCTCCCTTCATCTTTTCCATATAAAAGTGCAGAGAAAAGGAAGCTTAATTAGATTCAGCAAGCTAAAAAGAAAGGAAGATTATTTTATTAGCACTTGTCTTCTGTTTTTATTATCAACTAGGTTTTTTTTTTTTTTTTCTAATCCTTAACTGGTTCTCAATCAACAAGTTTCCTATTACTTGGTAAGAGATGTCCTAACATGACCATAATTGACTTAATCTAACTCTTTGCCAAGTCTTAAAAGAAAAAGAAATATCTTAGCAGGTTTGATTTGGCAATTATTTTAATTTACTAGTAGTTGGTAATTTGGCAGTTAATAAAATGTTAAGATCTGTAACTAAAACAATTTTAGATTTTTTTTATCTCGTTGACAATTTTCTACCTGCTTTGCTTATCAGAAAGAAGCTACAACTAAAATGACAAAGTACAAAATATATTGATGGTATGTTAAGGCTCAGTCCATGGTTCACCTACTCTGAAGGCTCCCCGTCGCTCATTTAAGCAGTGGAATCATTTATAGGCTTTATTAAAATACAGTTTCCTCTACATCTTGTAGCTAGAATCACACTGAAGATTCACATCTAAACAATTTTGCATGTAGTAGTTACCTCAAACTCGTATCAGGATCATCTTCATCATCAAACTCTGCTTCACTTGATCGTCTGATTTTCTTTATATCTCTCAGGCCCATTGGCGTTCTTCCCTTCTTCGGTTTGCCCCTGGAAAAGGTCAAAAGGATTTGCATTATGCATTAAAATTCATAAATAATTTCCATACGTCATTGTAGATAGAAAATTATTGGTACTTACTGCCCATTGGCAGGTAAGGTTCCGCACTTAAACCGACCAGGGCCAAAATCAGATCTCCCGTCTGCAGCAAAAAAATAAGGCAGAGTAAATAAGCCGTTATGTTCCTTTGATGTGCAGAATATTCAAACATAATAAATACAGACTTACCGTGACATCCAAGACTAAGTTCTTCAGCCTGCAATTTTAATAACAAAGTAAACAAATAACTCTTACTAAACGTGAACAATTATCTCAAACAATCAACATAAAAAGGGCATAAAAAGTGCAAAATCATAATATATAACTAGCATGAATAATGGTTCATTTGAAGCATAATCAGACTGCGACATTTACAAGCAAGCCAAAAACCACATTAAGTAACTACTATGATGCTGGCAAGATCCGTCAGGTAGTTTACCCTTGAAGTTCTATGCTGTTTATACAAATATATATAAGAGAAAGGGTTTGCAAAAATGAACAAAAATAACTTTTGCATAAACATTAGATAGCAATTTTAGTGTTTCATAAAAATAAAAACATGGTGTTAAAAAATAATAATTTGGGTTCCTCAACCTCTAGCATAATCAATACATTTACCAATGGAAAGTGGCCGTAAAATTTGGAGTCATCATCTCAGTCAACATTGGTTCCATATAAATAGGCCATGAATCTGTCTGAGGTGCATAGAATACACCAATAACTAATGGCTAAGAAACCGGTGCCCAGAACCCTACATATTTGTTTGTCAAAATTTGAAAGGCTCAGCTTACTTCAGATATTTGTTAAACTCTCCTGAGCTTCAATAAACTCGTACCCTATAATAATTGTTTTTATACAACTAATTCTATGAACATTAGCATGAGAAACATTTATCTATGAAACAAAAACTTCTAATTTCATCTAATGACATTTTCTCCCAAATTTAGTCTGTTAAGGTATATACAATAACAATATATAGATAAAGGTACCAGCAACTAAATGTGAAGAGTTTTGGCATACAACAATATTTTAATCAGTATACAGTTAATGCAGATTTTAGCCTTGCACATTGTTGACTAAGCAGAAATAACAACCCACCCAAGCTTGATCAATATAATCTAAAGTGCAACACTTATAAGTTGAATTGTGACCAGTCAGTTAAAAGAATTACCATCATCATAATCCAACATCAACAATATAGCCCTCTGAGGCAAGTTTGTCATGTTGAAGGATGATGTGGTGATACAAATTGCAGAATTTCTGACAGCAAACAATTACAGTGTTTCAAGCCACTTGAGCTTATGTTGATGGCAAAGGCTATTGAATATTCTGATATTTAGAGTTTGCAATCATTAAGCAGTGGAGGAGACAATTTGGGATCAGACCAAATAAGGAAACTTAGGTAGGTTGGTTGATTCAGTTTGAAAAGAAATTAGAAAATGATAATAGTATAGCTGAGTTAAGAGGTGAAGTGCACTGCAACAGAAAGGGAAAATGTGCAGACATGCACCAGCTAGGCAACCGTGCCTTCAATCTCAAATCAGGGAAATACTTACCTACACTGGTGTACATACCCAGTAAATCTATTAATGATGCATGAGGCAAATGAGGGTATTATAAGTGTTTTCTCATTGGAAAAGAAGTACAGAATAGTAATAATAGTTGATAATTTTTTTTGAACAACAATCAACCATTAGATAATGTATGGGGGATGGAAATACATGTAGCGTAGGCAATTATTTCCTCTCAAAATCATAGTATTTCCTTCATAGAAAGACCAAGGAAGCAACTCCGAAGCGCACAGATGAGAAAATCTTTTCACTCTTCGCACCAGAATCATGCCTCCCAAAATATGAAAGTTCCCCAACGCTAAAAATTGATTATAGGAATATAACATAAACTCTTAAAAGCTGAGAGAACTCTAAACATGAATAATTACATGATACAAAACATGCCTTCATTAAACATCAAACTAAGAAAACCTAAAGTTTCAAAGATAAATAAGTAGACAAAAACCATCCCTTAAATATTTTTCACCTTGGCAGTATCAATCAAACAATCAGAATTCAATTATAAAAGCATAAGTTGCAAGGTCATATAAACAAATCAAAAGCCCTTAAACTCTACAGGAGTTTGTAACACCAAAATAACTATAACTCAGATTGTGAAATTATGCCATAAAGAAGCCAGTGAATAAAAGAAATTGATGAAAAATTCTATAAGAAAGAACAATGGAAATGGAAGAAATTGTTGCTTATTCCATTAAGAAAAGTCTATAACACATACCGCTGGTGACGTCACTGATGACATTGAGAAAAGTCTATCTTCTGGCTGAAATTTCCTGGATCTTTTTATGCTGCAAGATCAAGTTCAGGAGAACTTGTTGTCACAAAAATCCAGTGAAAGCAGTAATGCCAGAATCTCACATACAATGTTGCTTTTTGTGTGTTAATTTCGATCTTAGCAAACCAATTTAGATTTTTTAGAATAGATATATCTATCCACTAGGGAGAGAGAAAGGAAGAGGGAAGAAAATGTTGCTTTTTGTGTGCTAATTTCCATCTGGCAAACCAGTTGAGATTTTTTAAAATAGATATATCCATCCACAATGGAGAGAGAAAGGAAGAGGCAGGGAAATTTTTATTTGCTATTCAAAGTCTAAATAACACATTCGTCTAGGAACTACAGCTCCAAGATGCATGAAACCTCAGGATTTGGATAATGCCACTAATAATTGTATTAACAACTTCAAAAGGGTTTCTCAACATCAGTTATAACTATGCATACAATATCCCAAACTCTTTGAAAATTCTCTTAATTCAGCTGCTATCACCCAATTTTCATTTTACACGCCCTTAACTTAGACTCCTTTCTACCGAAATCTCTACTTCAAAATAAGGAAATGAAAGTCCACATTGTTGAATAAAATAATTTTCTCTATTAGGCATTCTAACAAATTCTCCAATGATTTGCATCATTATAGAAGTATATAACGAAATGCTTATGTATGTTAGGAAAAAGTAAGAATGAAGAAGAAACTTACTTTGCGGTACTTTTCGACGAAGATAGAAATCCTTCAAAACCTTTGAGCACATGCCCAAAATGGCTTGAATCTTGTAAATAGCTTGTTTCCAACTCGTACACCTAAATCATTTAAAGCACAACCTCAAGCTCAACAAAGAAGACTGGTTTTGTTTAGTGGAACTAAATTTACAAACTTTTGAGAAACAAATATTAAAAGAAATCAAATTACCTGTTTCTCAATATTGCGGAGCTCTTCTCGAAGCTTCTCTCTCTTGCCCATGAGAGAGGCAAGCATAGCCGCTGGATTAGACCCGCTTCTTTGCGCTGAGGACATAACTATTAATTAAGGCGCCAAACAGCAAAACCAGAGAATTTAAGAGCTAATTATGGAAAATCAGTTCTTTTTGGTGTCCTAAAAACTTGAGATTTATCGGGAATTGAGAAAACAGTTAAAGAGTAAGTGAAGCAAATAAGGGTTTCAAAAACGGTTACCTTGAGGTTCCATATTGGCGCGGAATTTGAAATTCCGAGAAAGCTACTGGATGCCCGAAACGTTTTAAATTTCGTCAATTAAAGATATTTTCTTAAAAAGAAAAATCTCTTCAAATTCAGCAAATTGAAATTTCGTTTCTCCACGGAAGCGGGGACGCGCGAGCCTCTCATTTAAGGCCCTGTTTGGGAGAAATATAAAAGAGATAAGGAGACAACGTGAACCAGAAAAAGAAGGTTTTACCCATGACCGTCCAAACCGTTTAGACATGACTAAACTGATTCAAGCCAAAGTCGAAATTATAATTTTTTAAAGTTGATGGTTTTATTTAATTTTTAAATTTTTATTTGTAGTTTAAAGGCCAAAAAGGTACCATATAACTAAACTGAGAAAATATAAACAGTAATGAATAAGTAATGTGGAATTTTTTTTTTTTTGGTAAATGGATACTATTTTTTTATTATTATACGATATACATTAAAGTAATTTATCGCATAATTTCATTCGAATCCCCTTTCTATACTAAGAAAAAAATTTTATTGCATAATTGTATTTAGCTTTAAATTTTGAAGTTACTAACTTTTTGCACTTGATTTTACACAAAATGATTGAGGAATAAATTAAGTTGTAAGAAATTTTGAATGATGTTGTCAAATTTGAATAAATTGTACTTAATTTATTTATTTAAATTGTAAATTTATATATTGGTATAAATATTAATTGAAAATATTATTTTTTTTATTTGTTTTAATAGGCATTATGGAAATTTTTCATGCTAATTTTTCTTGTACCGTAAAAATATAATATTTTATATTTTTGTTATTCTTATTTGAACTATAATAATATTTTGTGTTTGTTTCTATACTATCATTATCTTATATTTAATTTTTCTACTTTTCTGTTTTTCATTTTAATCAAATCTTTAAGCATAGTATATCTGAAAATTCAAATTTTCTTGTTTCAAAGCTCGTTAAATTATCAAATTGATGTGAATCATATTTATAATATTGGTTTGAGCATTTTTATGATTTAATTTGGTTTGATTATTTTGACTTTATTTGTAACTTATTAATTGTTAGTCAAATATTAAAAGAGTAAATATTTCATAATCTATTTTTCAACCTCTGGATATTATTATATTACGCTACTGAATAATATAAAACGAGTCATCTGCTTGCGTGTTGGTAAAATATCCAATATATAATTTTATAATGTTATTTTTATGAATTCAAATAATATTGTATGAACTTAATATTTGTGTTCTTGTCATTGCATTTCAAAATCTTGAAATATAAATTTTAATTATTTGTATTTACTAATTGAATTCAATAATTAATAACCCTGTAATAAGTTTATTATATTAATGAAAGAAACTCTTTATTTTTTAAATAATTTGTTAGTCCAAAAAGTAAATTTATTGCATTAATAAAAAATTTAATAATTTTTTAAAATAATTAATAACATCACATAAATTTTAGGTTTGAATTTTTTTATTATTTTTTCCATCATATTCACTTTACAAATTAATAAATAGTATAAGAAAATGGTTTTGATATTTTTATTAATGAATTATTAAATTATATTTTCATTAACTTAGAAAAAAAACTGAAAAATCTTACTATTTGGAATAATACTAATGATATTATTACTTATTTAATGATTGAAAAAAATTTTAAAACATACATTGTTATTAATGATATTAATATTAATACTAACTCAAGTAATGTCTAAATTGGAAAAAATAAAATTAAAAAAAATATAAAAAATAAAATTTCTTGCCAACTCAGTTATAATATATTCATATGCACTTTATGGATTTAATAATATAAGAAAAGCGATTTTGAGATTTTTTATCAATGACGATATCATTAAATAATATTATTAATTTTTTTAATTATTAAAAATTTATAATTTTTTATTATTTGAAATGTTATTAATGATATTATTAGGTATATAATTAATTACTGAAAAAACTGAAGAACATTTAATATTATTAAAATAAAAAAACTGAAATTTTCTGTTATGAAATAATATTATAATTATTAAATTATTTAATTAACATTTTAATATTATTAATAATGATAATATTAATGTTAACTCAATTAATGTTTAAATTAATAAATAAAATAAAAAATAATATAAAAATCATTTTTTGTCAATTGAACACCTTAAAAAATATATATATATTTTTTTGCTACCTCGATGTTTGATATTATGACACGTAAAGGAACATACTTCTGTTTCTACATATTTTATATAGATAGATATTAAAGATAATTTTATTTTAAAAAATTATTGTAGAACAATGTCTTTCTAATACCCTGAATATAGATTGGTTTAGAACTTCAGATAAAATTTTTAAACAGCATTAGACCAAACTACGCACACTCCTGGAGCTTGCTATATTACGACATGGCTTATGCCACGTGGTCAAATTGGATGATGCGGAGTATGCCACATAGTTCATTTGGATGATGTGTCACGTCCTAAAAGAGGAGGATGTGGCAGATGTCATCACCGTTGTAAGTATCAGTGCCACCTGACACAGCGAACAATAGTTAGTGACGTTCTCCGCCAGAAAGAAATTGACGCGACGCGCCTCCTTTGCTTCTTAATATCATTTTTTTTTCCCTCTATCAAAGCGGACAGAACCTAATCTGTCTGTAGTGTTATTTTACTTTATTTTGAATCCAAATAATTTCATTCACTGTATATCGAAACTGGCTTTTCCGGTCAGCTTTCACTTTTTTTTTTTTTTTTTTTTTTTTTACGCCCCACACTCTGAAGCTTGCTTATATTTACGACATGGCTTATGCCACGTCCGGTAATTTGATTTGATGCGGAGTATGCACCATAGTACTCATTTCTAGGATGAATGTGTCACGATCCTTAACGAGGAGGATTGTGGCAATGTCATCACCGTTGTAAGTATCAGTGCCACCTGACACAGCGAACATAGCTTAGTGACAGTTCTCCGCCAGAAAGAAATTGGACGCGACGCGCCTTCCTTTGCTTCTTAATATCATTTTTTTCCCTCTATCAAAGCGGAAACAGAAACCTAATCTGTCTGTAGTGTTATTTTACTTTATTTTGAATCAAATAATTTCATTCATCTGTATATCGAAAACTGCTTTTCTGGCTAGCTTTCACTTTTTTTTTTTTTTTTTATCTGGTCAGCTTTCTCTTTCATGTGAGGCTACTCTTTATACCTTCACTCTCCACTCGCTACTAATATTATTCCCTTGAACTTCCAGCAAAGCTCTCTCCTCTCTCTCTCTCTCTCTCTCATAGCCTCCTCATGGCTATTCAAGGCCGTAAAGGCTTATCTCTCTCTACTTCTTCCTCTTCTCTATTTTTTTTTTTTTTTTTTTTTTCTGGTCAGCTTTCTCTTCATGTGAGCCTATTTTTCCTCACTCTCCACTGTATTTTTTTCCCTCTCAGCAAGCTCTCTCTCTCTCTCTCTCTCTCTCTCTCATAGCCTTATGGCTTTCAAAGGAGTAAGCTTATCTCTCTCTCTCTCTCTCTCTCTCTATCTATCTAAGTTAACGTCTGACTTTGTTGCTTTTTAAAAAAAAAAAATTTATTTTGAGGTTAAACCTGATTCTGATCTATTGAATTTTACTCATTTTAAACAGGGTCGTGCTTAATTGTTTTACATATTTTAGTACTTGATTGCGGTTATTTAATGTGAGAGAAAATCTATATTTGATTATTATTTAAGATACTTTTTATTAATTTATATGTTGGATTTTTTTTTTATATTTGGAGTTATGCTTGAAGAGAGGTTTCAATTTTCTTTTTCTTTTCCCCCATTATTATTGATTTAAATTTTGTATATGATTGAATTGAAAATGGGAATCTAGACTTCCCCAACAGTTGATCTGTCTAGTGTGTTGGATTGATAGTTCTGCATCCATGGACTATAATTGGATAATGAACTCCATAGCTACAGTTTGGTGGGTTCATGGTTATATCCTAGGACATCCCATTCTGATCTCATACAATTTTGTATGTGGAACAAAAGAATTGCAATTAGGGGCTTAAACTTTATTCAATCACAGTGAATATATTAATTCTATTTATGAAAATATTCCTTGATCGTGTAAAGCTCATAAGATTGAGTTTATGTGCATGTATGTTTGTATGTAGTTTCCATATATATTTAGCAATTTCTGCGTCGATGTTTTATCTTTTGAAATACCAACACCACAGTGAAGGAAATCAGGACTTACGCCATCATTGCTGACAAGTGCGAAGGAGAAAAAAAAAATAGAAAAAGAAAGTTGATTATTGCATGTATTAATGTTGATTTTCTTTCCCAGGGGAATGCTTCCTCTGGCATGGGTGTTGCAGAGCACACCAAAAGCACATACCTTGAACTGCAGAGAAAGAAGGCATATCGTTTTGTGATATTTAAGATTGATGAAAATAAAAAAGAGGTTGTGGTTGAGAAAACTGGAGGACCAGCTGAGAGCTATGATGATTATACTGCTTCCTTGCCTGAGAATGATTGCCGATATGCTGTCTATGACTTCGATTTTGTAACATCTGACAATTGCCAGAAGAGCAAGATTTTCTTCATCGCTTGGTGAGCTTCTTCGTTCACTCTGATGGATGCCTTTTGGTTAGAATTGTTAACCACAGTCATAGTTTAACTTGTTAAATCTGTTTTACATGTGAATGTTATGAATTCAGGTTTATCACATGTGCTTAAATCTTTTAATTTATTAATAGCCTAATAACATTTTTCTCAGATCAGTCGCTGAAACTTGCACCTGTTTTATCTTTGAATCCTTTATTGCTTTCTTTTCTTATTTATGTGTGATTCTTTCCTTCTTTACTTTTTTATATGCGCCATACAAGATCTGAATTAGAAGTTCATATGTATGTGCCAGAATTTGATGAGTAACTATAACACAGTCATAATCATGAGCTATTACATCAATTCTAGATTACTAGAGTATGAGTGCCGCCTTAACTCTCTTTCTTTGTTATACGGTTCTCAGGGGAATTTTGTAAATGTTGGGCTTAACATAGTAATTTTAGTTTTGCAGAGAGTTCCCTACAAGTGTTATTTTTTGGGGGGGGTGGAGGGGGGATGATGTCGCTCATCAACCAGATACCTCAGACCTGTAATCTATATCATTGTTGAGGGTTTTTCCTCAAAGCATCCAGTGCGTTCAAATATCAAAGTCATGTTTAATGTGATTAGTTTCTGGCTTGCTTTTTATTTTTTATTTTTTATTTTTTATTTTTTTGTGCGTGTAAGATCGCGTGAGCCTTTTTGTCATTTGGATTTCTCAAGGAGTGGTGAACAACCATGTGATTCTGCATCTACTCTTGCTACTTTGTCCTTTTGTTTTTTGAGGGACATTTCGATATCTGGTTGTTCCCAGCTTTGTTAGCTTTTCCTAAGGCTGGGTCAGTAAACCGTTCTGGTCCACTAGGAAGAGACATTGGGGGTTTGCCGGTTTGGTGGCTCATCTCTCATATGCCATTTTTAAGTTTGAAAGAGAATAAAATTTTGTCTCTGAGCTTATAGTGTCAGATATTGTTTGTTACACAATTACACTAGACTTCCTTGAATTGTATTGTAGGGTTAAGCAAAAGAATGCTCAATCACTGAGTTTGGGGTCTCTCTTTGTGTGTTTGGTCTCATTGCTCCGTTTTATCCTCTATTAGAGGGAGACTACATGGGACCTTTTTGTGTAATGGCACTGGATACACTTACTTGAATGGGAGGTGCATTTCTGAGCAAGTTTATTTATTGTTAGCTATTGGTTTACAGAGTGACATGTGCATGGGGTTTCTTTTATTTGTTTTTTTTTTTTTTTTTCTGTAATGGTAAATAAGAAATACAGTGTGACACCTTGATTACAACAATTTTGAATACCTTATTTTCTTTAAGGTCTCCTTCTGTGTCACGCATTCGCGCCAAGATGCTTTATGCAACTTCGAAGGACAGGTTCAGAAGAGAACTGCAAGGCATCCATTATGAAATTCAGGCTACTGATCCAACTGAGATGGATCTTGAGGTGCTCAGAGACCGTGCACACTGAGCATTCCATCTACAATGGAAGCAGAAGAGTTCTATAATCTTCATAAAGAGGAAATTTACTCTCTTGCTTCAATTAGTTGCTGATTACATGTCATATCCCATTGGCACAAAGTATATATGGCTTAATTTAATTGTATTGAATAACCCACTCCTGAATCCTGAGAAGGCTGATCGGGGGAGTTCTTGGTTTGGAGACACTTCTGAGTCCTGACTCCTTGCTGCCATTGATGCTTCTCAGTTGAGGTGATGTTGGATGTAAACGGATAGGCTTATTAGTAGACTTTTTAGTTACTACTTGGCTTTGCTCTTCTAGGAAGTGATAGGTTAACAGGATAATTTGAATTTTAAGCAGCTGGGACAAGGCTTAGTAATCTTTCGATCATGGTAAAAATTATGTTGGCTACATATCTTGACTTCTTTCTTCTCGAGTGCTGATTTCCCCCCTCCCTGTCATTCTTCGAATCTAACTCCAGAATTTTACACTATGGGCTAAAATGTAGAAATGTAATTTTCCTTACATCACACCACAATTTGATCCATCAACTTTAAGAATTACCTTGGTATAAATAAATTCAAATATGTAATAATATTGACTTCTATAAAATTGAATTTTCTAATATAATAAAATGAATTATTTATTTATTTATTTATGTTAAATATATGAATACGAAATTTCTAATGAATTTCAGAAGTTCAATAAAATTACTCTCCATTAAACATATTCTTAATTTTTTTTATAAATCATATGGATGAATTTAAATAAGAAATTAGGAATTAATTTGGGATGAGATAGTTTGATTTTTCATGAGCAATCAAGCAAGGTATGTGAATTATGAAATTAAAAAATGGCAATTATTATCAAAGTCAAGAAAATTTTTATGTTCAATTCGTTATATTTTCTCTCTTTTTTACGATTAAAAAGAACTTGGATTTTTGCAAAAAAAAAAAAAAAAAAAAAAAAAAAAAAAAAAACATCTTGAATATCAATATGAACTATATTTATCCTCAGATCAAATATTAGAAATAGAATACTAACACATTCTTCCATCGGAAACTGATCTCATAATTAAATAATTAATCACTGAACTAACATACTATGATTAATGACGTCATTTGAAACTATTAATTAGAATCAATATTATTCCGGTCTAAATTTGAGATGAATTCTAATTTAATGCATGGTGCCATTGATTTACCGCTTTTTTTTTTATGAACTGATCATTGCATCAATGATTCAGTTGTTATAATAACTCTGTTATCTGCTATTTTAAGTATTTTGTACAAAAAAAAAAAAAAAAAAAAAAATCTTGATATCAATATGAACTATATATCTCAGATCATATTAGAAATAGAACAACACATTTTCATGGAAACTGATCCATAATAAATAATTAATCACTGAATAAAATATGATGATTAATGACTCATTTGACTAATTAAATTAGATTCAATATTATTCGAGTCATAAAATTGAGATGATTTAATTTAATCATGGTCCATTGATTTACCTGTTTTTTCTATGAACTGATCATTGCATCAATGATCAGTTGTTATAAATAATCTGTTATTGCTATTTAAGTATTTGTACAATCTGTCTTATGAAGACAAAATTGAAATAGAAAACTGAACTGCCCGTAAAGAAGTTCGCGTTTGGTGTAATTTGGCATCAACAGAATATGCTTAGAATACCATCTTTTCAAAACTGTAGTAATAAAGGCAAGCACAGCAACAAGCTTCATGAATGAATCTTTTAGCAAAGGTTCTTACAATTTCATCTTCTTTTTCCTTTTTTTATTATTATCTTTTGCAGTGCAGCCACAATGGGAAACAGGATGAGGCCCATCCCATCACCATCATCAATATCACCGCAGCCACGTGATCTTCACTTAAATAGATCAACATGCCACTCATTTCACATAAAGACAACAACAACCCTAATCCAATGCCTAATTTTCCCAAGGTAGTACAATTATTACTGTACAATTGATCAATTTAACCAATATCTTTGCACTTCCCTTCTTCTTCTCTTTATTCTTGGACTGGGTTGTCACCTACGCCAAGAACTGGGTACAGTCGGAATCCTTCCTTTTTGATTTGATCGATTACTACTTTATTCTTTCGTTTCCTTTAATGGGTTCTTATCTTATTGGGGATAATATTCTTTAATGTAAAATTATTAAGGAATCTTTTTGGTGGGTGTCCTGATCTGTATATTTTATTCCCATGATATATTATGTTTTTTCTTTTTTTGGTATGTATGGCTAAAAGTTAGTTGATCAAACTTTAGGAGAATCAAGAAGTTACATTAACGTATAAAAGTGTTGTCCTATATGGTTATTTTGGTAGCTAATTGTCGAAGTTGGAGTTTTGAGGTGGTGAGATGTGTAGTGAAGATTATTAATAATAATAATAGAGGGGGGAAATGTTCTTTGGGTATTCTTTGATGCAAAGGAGTAAAGTAAAATCTGAATTAAAGTTTGGTATGCTGGGCCGTTTAGGTATTCGTAGATATCAGACAAATTTCAATTATATTTGCCGAATTAGGAATTCCAAGCTCATGTTTCTACGATCTCAATTTGTATTTAGTATTTATGGTGCTGGTATTTGGACTGGTGCTTCCTGTTGCCATTCTAGATATTTGCAGGTTTTAAGGTACATGGTTCCCCCTTGTGTTTGAAGTTTGAGTAGGTTCATGAAACTGAACAGCGTGACTTGTCTGATTGGGGTACTTTGATAAAAACAAGAAAATTTATTTGTTTTGATTTCTAAATTGAAGATTTGGAGTAACAATTGCAGGCATCATAAGATTTGAAATTTACTTTGATCCTTAAAGATCTTGAGTTATTCCAACATGGGCAGCAATAAGACTATTGTGTGGTTTAGGAGGGACCTTAGAATTGAGGACAATCCTGCATTAGCTTCTGCAGCCAGGGATGGTTGTGTGTTTCCTGTCTTTATATGGTGTCCTCAAGAAGAAGGGCAATTCTACCCAGGTCGAGTTTCGAGGTGGTGGCTGAAGCAATCTCTTGCCCACTTGGGACACTCCCTGAATTCTCTTGGGGCTGAACTTGTAGTGATCAAAACCCATAGTACTCTTGCTGCTCTATTGGATTGCATCAATGCAATTGGAGCAACAAGGGTAGTCTTCAATCATCTCTACGGTATGCCCCTTCTTTATTTACTAAAAGCATTTCTTTTTCATTTTTATAACTACAATCTCTAGTTTGCTTGGTTGACCTTGATTAAAAATTTAGCAACTGATTCTTATAATAATTGTTTGGTAAATTGTGAATCTATAGCTTAAGAATCGTTCTGCAGTTAGAATGCATATACCAAATTGTATTTTTTATATTTTATTTCATCCGTTTCATCATCTGTTCTTTATTTTATTTTATTTTATTTTGATAAGTTAAAACCCTTGGCAGTTCTTAAGAAGATTACAAATGTTGATGATTTTGCCGCACAACCTTTGCGGTTTCTTTAAGAAGGTTATAAATGTTGATCATATGCTGCTTGCCTGCTTCCATTGATGTTGATGCACATTGTAAAGCAGCTTGGGTATTTATAGGAGGAAAGTTAATAAATTACGAAAGTTTAAATTTAAACTTAAAGGGGAAAACATGCTGGCACACTACCTCAAATACTAGAGGCTTCATTTTCTTTATGACTAGTCCAAGAATTATCGTACGACATTTCTTTTATATTGAAGAAGTAAGAACAATATATACAGAGTAAATGGATCAGAGAAGTGGGAAGAGGCCTTTGCCCTTTTTCCTTTTTTTGTCTTTTTAAATTGTTCAATTTCCATGAATATCTGCATGATATGAAGAGGTGTATGTTTTAAACTTTTTACAGAATCAATTGTTTAACACATGCTCAAACATGGAAACAGAAGAAACAGAAATTACCAATGAGTATCTGAATATTCTTATAGATATAATTGGTTTTTGTATCATATCTGAATATGCAGAAGTTATCTGATTGAAATTTGTTTAAACATGCTGAAAATAGTGTAGGCCATTTATTTTACTGAATTAGCTGAGAATCAGCTCTATTTTGAGCCTCAGAGTTAGTATCCCATTGCTTTATCAACAACGCTTTTTAGTACTGTCCACATAGTTTCTTCTTCATATGATAGCCATTTATTATGTTTCCTATTTTGTCCCTTGCTAGATCCAGTATCCCTTGTTCGTGATCACAACATCAAAGAAAAACTGGTGGAGGTTGGCATTTCGGTGCAAAGCTATAATGGGGATTTATTGCTTGAGCCATGGGAAGTATATGATGAAAGTGGACATGCTTTTGTGACATTTGATGCATATTGGGACAAGTGCTTGCACATGCAGATGGAACCTGTCTCACATCTTCCTCCTTGGCGATTGGTCCCAGTTGCAGGTAATATGTCAATAATATTTGTTATCTTAATTTGGTTCTCTGATAACACTATCAAATTGTTGATTGATGCAACTTGAACTATTACGAACATTAAATTATGCAATACTTGTGCCCAGTAAATGTGTGCATGTTCTGTGTGTTAGAAAGAGGGTGCAGGAGATGAATGGTCTAGAACTGTTACTTCCTTTCTCATTTTAATTGTTTCCTCTCTTTGGTAGGAGCTGTTGAGAAATGTTCACTTGAGGAATTGGGTCTTGAAAATGAAGCAGAAAAATCTAGCAATTCCTTACTAGGAAGAGGATGGTCCCCAGGCTGGAGCAAAGCTGATAAGGCACTGGCTGAATTTGTCGAACAGCATCTAATTGACTATTCAAAGAATATGCTAAGGGTTGGAGGGAACTCTACATCACTTTTGTCCCCATATCTTCATTTTGGAGAATTGAGTGTAAGGAAAGTTTTTCAATGTGTGCAAATGAAACGGTTGCTGTGGTTAAAAGAAGAGAACTCAGCAGGAAAAGAAAGTGTGACTCTGTTTCTTAGATCCATTGGATTGAGGGAATATTCTCGTTACCTTTGTTTTAACTATCCATTCACTCATGAGAGATCATTGCTGAGCAACTTAAAGTACTTTCCCTGGGACATCAACCAGGCCCATTTTAAGGCTTGGAGACAGGGACGAACTGGTTATCCCTTAGTTGATGCAGGAATGCGGGAGCTTTGGGCAACTGGTTGGGTTCATAATAGAATAAGAGTGATTGTTTCGAGTTTTGCTGTAAAAGTTCTACTTCTTCCATGGAGATGGGGAATGAAGTATTTCTGGGACACACTTCTGGATGCAGACTTGGAAAGTGATATCCTTGGTTGGCAATACATATCCGGCAGCTTACCAGATGGCCATGAGCTTGAACGCTTGGATAGCCCAGAGGTATTTTGGGTTTGCTTGTTTGTTGAAGAATCTGTAACTCAATGCTATAATGCAAGCATATGTTCTGAGTATGTGGCAAACTGCAATATATAGTCTCTTGCATATGTTGTAATTGTGTTTATTCTTCTTACTTAATGACTAACATATTTTCTTCACTTTTATTTTTCTTAGAGAACTAGGGTTGTGGCCTAGAAACAGATTTAATATGGAAACATAAAAATAAAAAAAATAAAAAAATAAAAAAAATAAAAACTTAATTCTTCTGTGAAGTTATGTGAATGCAGGTACTCTAACATTATGCTGTTCTGATAAAAGTTCATTTCTATCAGAACTAGATTTTCATGGGGTTATTAACAGTTCTGAGTACCTTTCTCTGTGCCTTATTTTCTGAATTGCATCCATGTCAGGTTCAAGGCTCAAAATTTGATCCAGAGGGTGAGTATGTGAGACAGTGGCTGCCTGAGCTAGCAAGAGTGCCTACTGAGTGGATCCATCATCCTTGGGATGCACCCCTTATTGTGCTTAAAGCTGCAGGGTTGGAATTGGGCCAAAACTACCCAAAACCTATAATTGAATTAGATTTAGCTAGAGAACGGTTAACTGAAGCTATATTCAAGATGTGGGAAATGGAAGCCACTGCAAGGGCTTCGAACTCAGGTGGAACAAATGAAGTAGTTGTTGATAACACAGTTGGCACTGAAAATTTGGCCATTCCGAAGGTTTTAGTAAAGGAGAAAGTCCCTTGTCATACTGATTCATCTAATGATCAGAAGGTTCCAACAGTTCAAAAACCCAAGAACTTTCCAGATCATAGGAAGAGATCAAAGTACATGGAAGAGGAAATAATCAAAAGACCAAATCTAGATAAACTGCAAAACCACAGTGGCATAGAAGGGACCTCTAGAGCTGAAGATGACTTGTGCTCTACTGCTGAATCTTCAGCAGCTAAGAAGCAAGCCACCAGCAGATGTTCTTTTTCTGTCCCTCAGTGTTGTTCCACAACAGAAAGCAAGCCTTTGTATGAATGTGAATCATCTGACCTCAAGCAGCCATGGCAAGTACAAATTGACGTGGAACAAAGTTCAAGCGAAGATGGTAAGCAATTCCACTTTCTTTTCTAGATGATTCAAGTGCTTTTGATTTCTGTTTCTTTAACAAGTGCATAGGAACTGTAATTTCTGAGTCCATAATTGCTTCGTTTGGTTTTCATGGTTTTTATTTGTTGTCATCTTAACCAGAAAATTATTAGCATTCTAGAGCACGCTCATTATGTCCTCTTCACCCATCAAAAGCATTATCAGAAAATAGACAAGTCACCATAAATGGAAATCTAATATTGTCAAGCTGAGGCTCAATACTCTATGGTTTTTTGTGTTATTACTTGTATTCCATCGGTCAGATTATATGATGACATTTTTCTTCCCTATGCAAGAAGATTGTAGGCGTGTTCTTTATGCTTCATTTTTTCGCTTCTATTGCACTGCTGAAGTTTCTTTTGATAAATTTGCAGTTGCCACGGGAACTTAATGCCTATATTGATCGCAAGTTGGTGATGTACCATATGTGTGATCAAGAAGAAGAACTACTCGGAGGGGATACATTCTGTAATTTACTGTAGTGTAATTTGACGTGACTGACCTGTAAGTTCTATGTTTAATGTGTATGCTTCTTGGCTGATTATATCTCCTTCCTTAGTTCCAGTTATGGACAAGTGTATGTATGCATAGAATGTTTTCATTAGATAGCCCCATATATTATCAGCACAGACTCTGTAAATAAAGGAAGCAACTTTTGTATTTTCCAATCAGCCCTTTTCTTTTACATTAGTTGGAATTAGAATACGTAAACGATGGTTAGAGACAAAAGCTGACCAGGATTTTGTCTTATTTTTCTTGATATTTTGCAAAGCTGACTGGATGCTAATTATTTTTACTTGACCTGAATTCCAAGCAAAGCAATAATAATTAATTATTATGCGAGAAAATATAAGCATGCAGTTCTTTATTTGGTCCAGGGTTTTGACATATAGTCAAATTAAATAAAATGAAAACGAAATCAGAAAATTAGAATAAGTTTGGGTAGCGTATTTCTGATTTTGCAAGTAAAGTTGGATGTCTATATTCTCTCAATCCAACTGATTATTGATACTTAAATATGATTTTTTTTTATCACTAAAGGATCTTTTTTTTTTTTTTTTTTTTTTTTCTGATATTGAATACTGTTAAAATATGATTTTTTTTTCTATCTGACTAGAGTTGATCTTTTGTTTGTTTTTTTTCTTTTTCATAAAGAATATGATACAGCGTACACGCTAAGATTCAAGATTTCCACTGAATTTTATTCTTTAGTTGGGTAAGCCACTGGAACCGCTATAATATAGGATCTGTAAAAATAAACTTTTTGCCTAAAGCATGTTCCATAATGTAGAGTAAACAAGAATATAGTGGGTTTTTTTTTTTTTTTTTTTTCTTTTTATTAAGAATAATACACGAAGCTAAGATTCAGTTTCCACTGAATTTTATTCTTTAGTTTGGTAAGCCAACTGGAACCTATATATAGGATCTGTAATAAATAAACTTTTCCTAAAGCATGTTCATAATGTAGAAAACAAGATATAGGTGCTAATGGTTTTTCATCATATACGTGTTTATTGACTTATATAGAGAAAATTCATGGATGATTAAATGCCGGAGGCTTGTTTGGATCGGCAGAAAAGAAAAGAAAGATACTATGCTAGATATTTGTTTTGTTTCTACTGGCAGCTTCACTATTGTTCACAAATTCGGTGAATGGTCCTAACGAGAAAGCACCCTTTTGACCTAACAGAGAGGTAATAGGCAAATTAGGCGAACAGTGGCATTTTCTTTGTGTTTGATAGTCCTTTCTCTGTACCTTACATTGTCCGGATTCCGTAGCGTATCCTCCCACAACTCTTTACTTCTTCCAAAGGTCATTAAAAGCAAAACCTTACGTTTCTTATTTTTATTTGGTTTTGGACTACTTTTTTAGCCTCCCAAATCTCGAAAGGCATGCACTAGCAAAAGCAGCTCATGAAACCAAGAAAAAACAAGTCAGACAAAATAAAGTGATCTTGATTTGTGGCAGAAAATATCCTACTTTGATTAAAATTTTATGAAAATGAAATAAATTTTGTGTTAATGACAGATGATTTACACCACTCAATCTCACTACAAGAGTAAAAGAGTTTCCATTATATATTGATTACTTGTAGTTAATTAAATTTTTGATAATACTTCCTCCGTTTTTAAATATTTATTATATTTAGTTATTTCAACTTTGTTAATAAAATCATTTAATTTATTTAAATAATAATAAATTATTATGTATTTTAACTATTTTATTTTTAATTAATAATAAATTTTTAAGAAATTAAAGCAATCAATTTTTGCATATAAAAATAAAAATGAAAATAATAATTTATTATTTGTTAAACTACATGAATATTTAGAAATAAAATATTTTTTGAAATGTAATGAGAATTTGAAATAGTTAGGAATAATATTAAAACAATGAGATTAAAAATAATTAAAATATTTCCATAGGTGGTTACGGAAAGGTTAAGTACTACAAAAAACGTGGACGGTGAGGATTGAAGTAACGTGGCACAATCACCATGAACTCGAATCTAACCCAACCACTGTACGGCTTTCCTTCGTCGAAGGACAGCAACAGTACGGAAACTTCAAATTCATTTTAACAAAGGGTCAATCTTGTACATTCAAGTTAATTACAGGCGTTTCGAGCCGTTGGATCTCCAATTTCTATTGGCTTAATCAGTGATGTTCGAATATTCCCCATAACATTCCTTCCTCTATGCGTCAAAAAGGAAACCCAACAAACACCGCCTTACATTTCGGAATTGAAGAAAAACTAACCAGCAAAACAGAGCGCTATAGTAATGAGCGAAGCGCTAAATAGAGATTACCTGATCAGCGAAGAGATCGGCCGGGGACGATTCGGCACCGTTTTTAGATGCATTTCCAAGTCCACCGGTGAGACCTTTGCCGTCAAGTCCATCGATAAGAGCCTACCTCCGGTGACTCTCTTGACGCGCAATGCCTTCTTACTGAGCCAAAGATTCTCCACCTTCTTTCGCCTCATCCTCATATAATCCAGCTCCATAATTTATACGAAGACGAAACTCACCTTCATATGGTAATCGAGTTGTGCTCAAGCCAAGATCTTCACGATTTAATCATCGGCAATGGCGTTCTTACCGAAGCCGAAGCCAGAGTCATCTTTATTCAGCTAATGGAAGCGGTTTCTCACTGTCACAGATACGGCGTCGTTCACCGTGACATAAAGCTGGATAACATCTTGCTTGACTCGAGAAAGTCGGTTAAGTTAGCCGACTTCGGGTCGGCAGAGGTGGTTATGGACGGAGAAACAATAGCTGGTGTTGTAGGGACGCCATACTACGTGGCACCGGAGGTTTTAGCCGGAAGAGAGTACGGAGAGAAAGTGGATGTGTGGAGTGCTGGAGTGGTGTTGTATATTATGTTAGCTGGATTTCCGCCGTTTCATGGTGAAACAGCCGTTGAGATTTTTGAGTCGGTTTTGAGGGGCAATTTGAGGTTTCCATTTAGAGCTTTTCACTCGGTGTCGCCGGTGGTAAAGGATCTGTTAAGGAAAATGCTTTGTAAAGACGTTTCCAAGAGGTTTTCTGCAGAACAAGTACTAAGTAAGTATATTCTGTAAATTTGAAGTTTAAAGTCCAATTAAAGTTTTAATTTCCATCTTTAGATTTTTAAATATGTCAATTAGTTATTAATAATCGCATTTTTTGTGGATTTTTACAGGACATCCATGGATAACCAACGGAGGAGATTGAATGTTCTAAGTTCTAACATGAAGGATAGCAGAGTGGTTGTATAGGTACGGTAGTGTATAAATATACTAGTATATGGACTGGTATCTGCGTACGTGGCAAGTGTCCTAATGGTTTTTCAGTTGAAGAGGATGCTTTTGTTTCTTTTGTGGCAGAGAAGAAGCAAGTGTTTTTTTTGGCGTATGCTATGACTGTATTATCCTTAGCGTTTTGTCTGAAGGAATGTAATGGCTGTATAATCAATGCATAATATGTTGTATACGAGAAGCTGTGATTATGTGTAATGAAGTTTTGCAGTTTGCTTATGTTATTATTATTAAAAAAATATATATAAAGTTTTAAATTGATTATTGTAATAAATAAATTCTATCCTCTTTAATGGATAGGGATAATCATTCGATGCTAAATGATTACTTAATTGAAATAGTTAGGCCATGGCTCATTTTTATGGACCCATTTGATTTGAGATTTTGAATCTTTTAATGTTTTTATGGACACCTTACTGAGGTAGAGTTGCCTTCTGTTTTTTTGGGATAGTTCAGTTTTGTATTTTTAAAGATCACTTTCAAGAGAGCAATATGTGTATATCAAATTTAAAATTCATGATATATCAGTGTTCCAAGATTTTTTTTTTTTTTTTGAATCATTAAATAAACAAAGGGATTTTTATTATTAACTAATGTTTATTTAACAGTTAATTTAAAGTTTAATGGATTTTCATTTTGGTACATTCTTATTCTTTTGTAATTAAATACAAACTTTTTCTGACTGTAACTATCAAACCAGAAATTCTTAAAATATAAATAATTTCAAATTTAATGTCGATAAATCTAAAACTATTTGTAAGTTGGTTTAAATCATGATGCTATTTGTACCTATTTGGTCTTCCGTAAACAAAAATTTAAATTGATCTCTTGCTTATCCCTTGAAAATTCATCCATTTTGTCGATGAAAATAGAAGATTTGGATGAATTTCAAAAAGTAAAATAAACCCAAAATTCAAGAAATTTCACTCAAAATCCAAACACTCTACTTCTTCTTGTCCTCTTTAAAAGAACAAGCACCTGTATTACACTAACAAGTAACTAACCATTCATACACAGTGTACCTTAAATTAAGGTATCAAAGCACATCCAGTTTTATATAAGGTCAGCTTGTCAAAGTAATTGCTTTCAGTGGTTAAAGGTCATCATCAATATTAAATTATCACTTGGTGTAGGTGAAATCAGCTGATGCAAAATTGATTAATTACCTGCCTTATTTCTGCTCAATCATACGTCCACCGGTCCAATGGTATTCTTTTCTCTATTTGAGACTTGAAATATTAATTTTCTTTTTTTTTTTTTATATATAAATAACAATGGATATGATAAAATATATGGAGTGTAAGTAAATGCATCCTGCGGTGGATATCCAGTTTGTGTGGCTGAATGGTGAGGATTACATGGAACCAGTTGATAAATAATACTCTATTTATAAACCCAAACCCAAATTGGGAATGAAACTTGGGACCAATAATTTCTTATTTCTGAGAAAAAGGCTGTTTTCACAGTCACCAGCATGTCCACATTCATATTTTGAACCAAAAAGGGAAGCAAGTATTGACCCACAGGGTATTGTTTGTGGGCTACCTGTTGCAATTTTGTTCATGTCTTTGTAGGACAAGGGCCCAATTATATTGTCTCCTACAGTTATTTCCGTTGGATATTGAATTTCGATTGATTGATTTAAAATTTTAGGACGAGACTTGAATTATATGGAATTAGTTGTAATTAAAACCAAATCCTAATTAGATTAATGAAATTTAAAATGAATTCTATAAAACTAACATATCATTATTTTTAAAGGATAATATACTCGCATAACAATATATAGTCCATTTTTTTTATATAATTATTGACATTAAACTTGTAATTTCAATTTTGTAATCTAATATTTAACTCTTATACTAATTTTACTATTAATACGTCTAGACAATTAATTGATATTTTATATTTTAATATTAATATTTTTAATATCTAAGTTTATTATGCAATTGTCAATGATATCATTTTATTTATATTGTTATCCAAATCTCCTACATTATGAGGCATATAATTTTTATTTATTTATTATTATATTGTTAATTGGTTTATATAGTTGTTAATCATTTCTTCAAAAAAAATATATAGTTGTTAATCATTATAAACTTATTAGGTATAAGATTTTTTTTTTGGTAGGATTAAAAATTATTATTTTAAAATGTTATTATTGAAAGTAATTTAGTAATTAAAGATAAATAAAATTCAATTTTGAAATTACGCCAAACATCTATTATGTGGAATTTAATTAATTGATTCTAAATAGTATCAAACCAATTACAAAAAAAAAAAAAAAAAAAGTTCCAAATAGCAAATTGTCATGAATAGGTCATTTTATTTATATTGTTTATGTCCGGAAGGTCAAATCATCCTAACATTATGAGGGAGTATAATTTTTCTATTTATTTATCTTTAATATTGTTAATTGGTTTATATAGTTTGTTAATCATTTTCTCTTCTTAAGAAAATATGATGTTGTTAATCATTATACAACTTATTTAGTGTATAATAGATTTTTTTTGGTAGGTAGAAAAAATTTATTAGTTTGAGAAAATGTGTAATTAATGAAAGTAATTTAGTAATTAAAGAATAAAGGTAATAATGTCAATTTTGAAAATTACGGGGCCAAAGCATTCTCTATTATATAGTGGAATTTAATTAATTGATTCTAAATGAGGGTATCAACTCAATTACAGAAAAAAAAAATAAAGAAAAAAAAAAGTTCCCAAATAGGGAATTCATTCAGAAAATGAATCGGTAATTAGTTGTACGTTTCATTTTATACTTAAATGAATCATGCTTGTCCAATTTTAATTTCATTTTTTTTAAAAAAAAAAAAAAAAAAAAGTTCCAAATAGAATTCATTCAAAATGAATCGGTAATTAGTTACGTTCATTTATACTTAAATGAATCATTGCTTTCCAATTAATTCATTTTTATTAAACAGTATAAAATGTTGGTCAAATATAATTAATTCAAAACAATAAGTAATTTTTAAAAAATGAAACTTATATATTAAAATAAATTAAAAAAACCGATAAAATTCAATAGCAATTGATTGATAGATGAACCTAAAGATAAAAGTAAAATAGATAAAATCCAATCAAACAAAGGAAGTCTTGTTGACTTAATTATTTCCAAATTTGATAATGTTGATTCTGACATTTGCTAAAGAGAAGCTAAATAAACGTAAATCCCATTATTTTGCTAACAACATAATGATATTTGGTGTTATTTTAATTTTAGTCCTTAGTCTCAGGTAAAGAAACAATTCCATTAATGTAATTGTCTACATGTTTGTTATTTTTCAATTATGAAGAAATGCGTGGTTGAAGAGTCCAATCAGAGACTGTCCTTTTAATTTTTTATTTTTTATTATCACGAGTTTTTTTATTCTTATTTCAGAGTAAACCTTCAACAATGGTTGATAAAAGGGACTGTGGAAGAAACAAAGAAAGGGTCCATTAATACTCGAGAATCCTAAAAACAGCGACAAAAATCGACAAATAAAGAGGTAAAAGGAGTGTGAAATTGTGATTATGAGTTCACAAAGTTAAAGCTTCTGCTAAACTGCAAAGAAAAGTTTGTCTTTTGCAATCTGAAATGATAGAAGTGATCATAACATTAGCATCCAACATGAAAGAATCAAAGATTGAATAGCTAATAATCAATCTCAAAGTACCATATATTTGAAGATCATGAGGCAAAAATTTTTAATTTCACTTGCAATTAATGTGAGAATCTTTTAAAACTTGGCCCCAACCTATGCAAAGACCGAGTAGTTAAAAGCTAGAAAAGAAAACAGCATTGCCAAGAGCTTATTGCACCTAATTAAGGCTCTAACCTATGCACATAACCATATTTTTGCCTATCTGACTTTTATGCTATTGCTAAGAGATTTTGGTAGAGTAAAAGGCTAATATAATAAACCTGGAAGAATTTGTTTAGACACCTGAGATTTGAGTTTGATTTCCTTCCTTATCTTCACCAGACATTTCCTCGAGTGATTTCCCTTTTGACTCGGGAACCAAGAGAGTAAAAACCATTCCCAAGAAGTTGACTCCACCAAGGATTAGAAGTGACTTCCTCACTCCAATAGCATCTGCGGCGTACAAGAAACCGAAACTGCCTACCATTGCCCCCGCTTTGCCAGATGCAGCTGATATGCCATGGCAGGTAGACCTTAATCTTGCTGGGAAAATCTCTGCAGGCACAACGAAGGTTGTGGCATTTGGACCGAAATTGGCGAAGAAGAAGGTGAATGAATACAAGACAATGAATCCAATTCGATTGCCTGGTAAAGTCCAGTGATGGTAAGGTATGGACAAAGCAAACATGAATACTGTCATAAAGAAGAATCCCATCAATTGGATTGCAAACCTTCCAATTCTGTCAATGAATATAACAGTAAACCAATACCCTGGAACTGTACTGCAAAGGGCAATAAGAGTTTGTGCTCTACTGATCTTGCAAACCTCTTCAAGTGCACTCATGGTTTTAGCTTTAGGAATCCAACCAATAGCACTAAAAATGTCCTTCTGAAACAAATTTTGGCTGTAGAATGCAATGTCCAACAAGAACCATGTGGTAGTTGTCCCGAGCAAGTGAAGTCCATGGCGACGAACAAATTGTGTACTCAATAGGCCAAAATTATTTCCTCTCACTTCTTCAACTTTCTCTTGTTCAATCTCCAAATCAACCTGAAGCACTTTGGACATATCAGCAGCAGCCTGTTTTGCATTCTTGGCAACTAAAGCAGTGTAACGCGCAGTTTCAGGCATCTTCATACGCCAATAATAAGTTAGTGCAGCTGGGATAGCACCAAACATCAAGATAATCCTCCAAACATAATCAGCTTCAGGTACAGTTGACCCAACTGGATCAATTTGGTAAGGCTGTGAAGGAAATTTGGCTTTAAAAGCTGCAGAAATTACAATAGCTACCATCCCACCAGCCAAAATTCCAAAACCTTGCATAGCAAAGACAGAAGCAATGAAAGCACCACGAGTCTTTTTATTAGCATACTCAGACATGATTGTAGCGGAAAGTGGGTAGTCACCACCAATGCCAAAACCAAGCCAGAACCGAAAGAAACACAGAGTAGCCATAACAGCAGTAGGATTTTTACTAAAAGAGAGACCTGAAGCAATAGAGCAAACAACCATAAGCATCAGTGTCATACCATAAACACGTTTTCTACCCATTTTATCACCGAGCCAGCCAAAGAAAAGCTGGCCTGCAAGTGTTCCACAGAAAGCAACACCAGTAACAGCAGCTGAGACGTTTGATGGTAAGGATCCAGGGGTTGCAGAACCTTCCTTGTGATAGTAGATTCTGCCAAGCAATTTGGTCACAAGAGAGATGCAGAAAAGATCGTAGGCATCAGTAAAAAAACCCATTCCAGCAATCACTATTGCTGTGAAATGGTACCATTGTGTTTTAGCCACATCAAGTGCATTAAGGACTTGTAGTTGTTCTCTTGCCATGGTTGATTTCCCCTGAAAGTGCAGAAGAAACCAGGCCTAATCAACAAATATATTCCAAAAAGAAAAGGTGATGAAAAAATACAGGATGAAAACAGAGAATTTTTCCTTAGCTATATGAACAAGCGAGTTGAACATGAGAGCCACTAATAAGCCCAATAAGTATAAAATGAAAAAAAAAAAAAAAAAAAATTTAGCCACATCAAGTGCATTAAGGACTTGTAGTTGGTTTCTCTGCCATGGTTGATATTCGCCCCTGAAAGTGAAAGAAACCTAGGCCTAATCACAATTATATTCCAAAAAAGAAAAGTGGATGAAAAAATAACAGGTGAAAGCAATTTTTCCTATAGCTATATGAACAAAAGCGACGTTTGAACATGAGAGCACTTATAAGCAAATTAAGTATAAAAGGTGGAAAAAAAAAAAAAAAAAAAGAAAGATAAATAACAGCTACATTGTCCAAGGTGACATATTCTGGAAATTGAAAAAAAAAAAAAAAAAAAAAGAAAGATAAAGCTACATGTCCAAGGTGACATACTGACATTGATGATGACAGGTGAAGCAGAAAACTGAGGAAAGGAACGTCCGAACAGAATAAATGAAAGTACAATTGAAAGAAAGAAAAGCTCTCAAGAGATTAATGGCACAAATTCAAGAAAATCAAACTCTTTGTAGAAACCGTTCAAGATTATCAATCTACTTCTCGTCCTGTAATTACTGCTATAACGGAATAACCCCTTAAACAATTAGAATTGCATAAATAAAAAATATCTAAATTCCAGAATACAAAATAGAAAGAGGAATTAAGACTAAATACAATTTCGGTTGAGAAAAGCTTCTTGATTCTTGAAGAATCACATTCAGCACAGGTTTATCCAAAAACGATTGAATCATCAAAAGAGTTTGTGATATGAAAATCCTCAAACAGAAAACCGTACGTACCTTAACCGCACCGGAGTGAGAAGCACCGAAACAGGGAGTAATTTTTTAAGCGGAACTTCCTCTGCCCAAAACCTTAAGTAATAACAGAAAAAGCAAAATGAAGCAGTAACAATGTGTTCTTAAAGAAAGAGAGAGGAGGAGTTTAGAAGCGCACGGGACTGTTAGAGAGAAGAAGCGGATGGAGGGAAATGGCGGGTTTGGTTCCGTAGTTAACTGAACTTCACATCCACATTTTCTTATTTATTTATTTATTTATTTTTAAATCCTCTCATGATCTTTATTGATTTTTTGACTGTAATTAAAAGAATCTTTCAACTTTTACACTTGAATATTCCACTCTTTTTTCGCTTTTCTACACGGATTAAGATGAATTCTACCTTTAATAAAATTGTTTTTTTAATTAATTAAATAGAAAATATACAAAATCAAATAATTCAATATTCACAACGTAAAACTGATTAATTTTATTGAAGGGGATAATGAATTGATAAAAGCATTAATCATTTGGTAATTATTCTTTTGAAAATTTTTTAGTTCTTCTTATAGTTTATATGATCAATAAAAAATATGACATGATATATCTACAATTATTTTATTGTTTTCAATAATTTTTTTTATTTTTTTGAAAATGTTAAGGTTTTCAAGAATTTGGAAACCTTAATGAATTTCATTGGTCAAATGGATCATATCACCCTCTGTATTTTAAAGATTTTCATATTGATTCGAACAAGGAGAGTAAAAAGAATTCAACTAATTGTAAAATTAAATAATGTGGGAAAATAATTACATAATTCTTCTGGTATATGTTTATATGGATTGGGCCTTTGAGCCTTAATAGAGAAGAAAAATTAGACAATGATGGATGGGTTTAGTCCAGGACTAAGTGAAAGCAAGATAATGGAAAATTAGGCCCATCTTAATGTGGATTGATATGGGCCTACGGCTACAGGCTGTGTCTCCTAGCTTTAAGTCAAAGTCAGGCAGTCAACTGAGTGACGAACACAAATATGTCACCTTGCACCAAGTCAAAGTCAAGGAGTCAACTGTGCCACGAATAGAATCAAATGACTGGTGAGTATCAAGTAGTTGCGAACATCTTAATTCTTATCCCTCGGTGTGAAAGCATGTGGCCTAGCGAGCTTACCTGCCATGGCGGACGGACGACCTTTCTTCCTTCCACCTCCATGACAGTGACACAAAATTAGCCAATCCAAGTAAAGAAAATTCCTTATTTACAAATAGAAATAGTTGAAGCAAAGAATTTATGCTTATAATGGTCCCAAGATTAAGTAATTCATATTAATCTTTCCACAAAGTGGATTCCTAAATCCCAATCCTCGCAGGTTTCGTTTCGAAGTAGATAATTGTTAAAAACGACACATATACATATATTACACATTCCCATATGACCACATAAGAAAAAAAAGTCAGTTGTTTTCATATGGGATTAGAGTTTGAAGATTGAAGAATGTATATATATGGAACGTACCAGTCCAGCACGTTTAGGTTTAGTGCAATGTGTTCACAAAGCATATATCTTTTGACAAAAACAATTACAGATACTCTGATGAAAAAGAATCCAAAAGTGATGGACCAGCAGAACTCATTCGCATTTAGAGTGGAAAAACAGTCTTCTTCTTCCTCCTCTTCTTCCTCTTCTTTAACATTCATGACACGATTGCTAGGTTTGGATCAATTATTAATTTGGATGGAACAGGACGAGGCAAAATGAAAACGCACAATCTTTGTCTTCCTCCTTTAAATTGATTATTTGATCAATCCAATGTAAGGAATATGAGTGATAATGTCAATCAAAAAGGAATTTGGAAGTACACTAATCATGAGCACTCTTGAAAATTAAGTAACCTTTGATTCACATCGAGGAGTGGGAAATGTCATTTCAAAAAGAAAGATCAAAAGGAATGAAGATTTTGGAAGCAGTAATAACGTGGGAAATTTTATTCTAACCCTCAACAAATATCTTTACCATCAATATATTGCTTTTAACATTTTTTTGTTTACTTGCAAATTTCAATTAGCAATTAATATAGTTGATCGCAATCATAATTTGTTAATTCCAAAAGTTCTTATAATTTCCTAACTAATATATCATATATTGTCACGACCCGATTCCATGGGCCGGATCGGCACTGGGGCCCAGGTAAGCTTAAGGCCCCCGAGGCCCGTAGTAAGCCTAAACACTAGAATCTATTATCTTGGTATAAATTTCAACATTCAGCCCATATGAGGGCCCAGGTAAGCTTAAGGCCCCCGAGGCCCGTAGTAAGCCTGAAACACTACAACTTACTATCTCAATATAAATGTCAAATATTCAGCCCATATTACTGAAGAATAAACCTCAAGATTTTATTACATCTCGGCCCAAATTTATCTTCTACAAAATTTCACAGCTCGGGCCCAATTAACAATACATGACATATTTAATATGGGCTCAGTAATTATATCGTCTATGTTAATACATGACTAATTGTTCACAAATTCTACATCTGCGGAGTCACTAACTAATAGATATACATAGATTTCTATACATCTATATACATAGCAAAATATTTATTGGCTAGGAAAATTCCTCTATTGCCCTGCGCCGAATAAACATAGCCTAAATTGAATTAAAGAAAAACTTACTTCCTGAAAAAAAATCAAACAAGACATGTGAATTCTTTTAAGGAGTAATAGTTATTGCACAACACACGCAGTCACACAAATGTGTATACATATCAATCTAGTCATCCGACTAGTTATATGCTCACGCAGCTAGTCACACAAATGGCACATACCAGCACTCACAATCATTAACATCTTCATATAATCACATCACGTGGAAATTGGTCTGGTCATGTGGCGTCACCGAAACCCCCGATGAGCCGTCCTCCCACATGGCCCATCCTCTCATAACGTGTGCACCAGAAGCGACCCCCATACCTGGACCGACCCCGGTCTAATCCTCAACTTTGACCAGCCCTCTCATGTTTCCATTCTCTCTTTCTTTTCCATACAACAGGAGGCAACCCGGTCGTCTTCCATCAAATCTAGATCATCAGGCGCTTTCCACAACAGGAGGCCACCCTGCGGCTGCCGATTCAAAATCTAATTATCAGGTGCGCCCAATAAAGAAGCCAACCTGTGGTTTCCCATATCATACCAAATCAACAACGGTAGGAGCCACACAGGGGGCGCCGAATTCCCATTTACCCGGCCGACGGTCATCCAACTTGCCTCACAAACCCCATGGTGACCCATCTTCATCCAACTCCACACAAACAAAGGCATAGATCATATCACAACACAATTAATCCCAAAACATTGCCATATTAGATGCAAACATATTGATCGAGCTTTGAACATCGTAATGCAATACACAATTAGACATTTTCCATTACGTCAAATGCAAATTAAATAAATAATATTAACAATAAACAACAGTGATAGGAATAAATATAATAATAATATAACAATAATACATGAAAATAAATAAGTAATGAAGTAATTTAAATAACATAATGATGATAGTAAAATAATGTAAGCACTTTATTTTACTATGTTAATTAAGTTATGGAATTTTAATCTTAAATAAACTTAATTAATTTATTGTTAATTTAAAAACTAGTCTAAAGTTCTATCCGAAATTTCGGCAGCACCTCCCCTAAAAAATGGACCTATCTACCCTGCTTCAAATACTCACAAGTATTATATTATATTCTATCAATCAATGCACACAGGCCCATCCGTCGGGCAATCAATCACAGCCCATCCGTCGGGCAATCAATCAGCTATATTCCCATCCTCCTTCCAAAACAACAAAATCAACACTCAACCATTAATTTACAACAATCATGTTCCAATGATAATAGCAATCATTCTTTACTTTATATAATTATAACTAGTTACCAAACAAATGAAAGCTTTAATACATATATAATCGAATAAAACTTATATCATTAAGTTAATTTTAATTACTTTCATTTGATAGTTTCGTAGTGTCTAACTATTATAGTACTCTTTATCAAGCTTTCATTTCTTCATTCTTGCTTAAAGATAACAACCACATATTTATTATACCTTTATTAAAATTTAAATAGCTTACTAAGATACAAAATGCTTCAATTAAACTAAAAATTTAACGAAATACCTCTACTAAAGAAAATTCCAATTTACAACCAAAAAAAAATACCAACTGACTAATTCTTAACAAGAATTAATCTACTACTTCAATATTCCCATATCAAGCAATAACTATATAAATGATTGAAAATAGGCTGCTTGCCACTACCAAAAGTTTCATCCATTTCATCATCAAATCTAGTCATTTAGAACCTCTACATCCACAAACAAGTTCATGAAAGAGCAAATTATTCAACAAATATAGACTTGCGGTTCAAGCAAAATCCAATGATTTTCTCTAACTAGATGCTGCAATTATATCAAAGAAACCGTGAGCTATTGATTAAACTTCATTACTCATTATGCTGCTTAACCCATTTCCCACAAGAACTTAATTTATAACTTCGTTTGCATTATACCGCAATAATTGTTTCAAAAGCTTAATTAGTTAAATGGCTTCTTTGCCATTTTTCAAGTTTCTCCAATTCTTTCGCCATTCAGCTTATAGTTCAATGAAATTGATAAAGAATAATCAAGCATGGGCTAACTGTCAAGCATGGCTAACTGGCTACTATCAATCAAACGAATGCTCGACTTTTCATGATAATTTATAATAGAAGAAATAACCTAACCATTTCTATATGGGAATTCAGTTTATAAATCAACCTAAAATAGTAAAATCAAAGCTTCTAATTATTTACACTTAAATAGTAGCTAATTTAGGGGTTTAAACTCTACCCAACTTGATATCCAACTTGATTTATGCATGAAATTCTAGACCCTTGCTCAAAGAATTCACTAAATGTATTAAAGAAGGGTGAAATTTGACTTACCCAACTGAAAAACGCACTGAAAGACTGAGATTTTCCAATTAAAGTGACCGGAAGTGAACTTCAAAGTCAAAACCCAATGCTGCCAGCGACAGCTTGACTGGAGGAGACAACAATGGAGGATCAGCGGCGATCGCAAGCCATGATCGCACATTTACTAGCTTGTTGCGCTAGCCGGAAAGGGAAGAGAGCGAGGTATAGGAACTTCGCTGTCGACGAGACGAAGCTGGAGTCGACCGAAGAGGGCTGCAGTCGCCGGAAGATCGAGGAGTGGGTTGCGACGCGATTTCCCGATCGAGTCTCCTGCGGTTGCTGCATTAGCCATAAACGAAAAGAGAAAGAGAGGAAGAGAGGCCAGTGCTGCGGTGAGGCGGCGGCGTGGCAAGGATGCGCGGCGAGGAGGCGCTAGTTCTGGTGATCGGAAAAACGAGAGAGGAGAGGCAGCGAGGTCGCGCCGAAGAAGAAGAGAAAGAAAAAAAGAAAGAAGAAAGGCGGTTTCTAGCAAATTCTAGGCCATTCCGAGAAGAAAGGCGGTTTCTAGTAATCTAGGCCATTCCGGTTCGATTTCAAACCGGTTTTGGTCTGTTTTAGGTGATTTGGTCTTCATGGTTTGATTTGTTGATTTTCAAGTTTTTCACTCGGTTTTTGGATTATTCGTGTGGTCCTCGACAAATTAAACTGATTTTCAGGCCTGGTTCAATTTATTTTAACTGTTTAGTTCAGTTCCGTAATATTTTCTTTATTTTCTTGATAATAATAATAAACATATTAATAGTAACAATATTTGGTTTTTAGGATAATTAATTTATATATATATTCATAATATGTTAAATTTTGAGGTTTCGTATTATTTCTCAAAAATTTTAATTGTTTACGAATCAAAATTTCTTTTCGACATTTTATTTGGGCTTGGGCCCAGCTCGTGAAACTTTTGGGCTCAAATTAGAATTGTTCACTGTTTACGGAATTGTTCACTGTTTACGGCCCATACCGTAAAAAATTCAGATTTTTGATTTAATAAAATTCTAAAGTTTTGAAAATAAAATTACGGATTGTTTCATATATGTACTTGGATTATATTAACATTCTAAAAATAATTAATTTTTCCAAATTAATATTTTATGTGATCCTTATATTTATAATTATTTAAAATAAATAACCATTAAATATTACTATATTTATATATTTGATATACTCAAGATTTGAAGCAAAATTTCAACTTTTCATCAGCGAACTTCAGCATCAAAAAACCAAAAAAAAAAAAAAAAAAAAAAAAAAAACATACAAAAAAACAGGCAAAAAAAAAAAAAAAAAAAAAAAAAGAAATAAAAAAAAAACGGTGTGCAAAGAACCAGAAAATAAACTTATGCAAAGCGTATTAATTAAATTTCATCATTACAAGTCTTTATCCCCAAGAACAAAGAAAGAGCAAACTTGACAAGAAATAATAAGAATTGACAACTTTACTAATCTGCCAAAAGTAAACAATAGTACCCTTATAATCAGTTTCTTCTATAGTACTTCTGACTAAAAAAATCATGACCACAAATCAATATCCTACATTATCGCATTGCACAAAACAAAAAAAAAAAAAAAAAAAAAAAAAAAAAAAAAACGGTGCAAAGAAGAAATAACTTATGCAAGCGTATTATAATTTCATCATACAAGCTTTATCCAAGAACAAAGAGAAACTGAAAGAAATAAAGATGACAATTAGTAATCTGCCAAAAAGTAAACATATAGTACCCTTATAATCAGTTCTTATAGACTTCTGTAAAAACATGAACCCAACAATATCTACATTATCGCATTGCACAAAACAAAAATACGTAGTACAACCCACAATTCAAGAATCAGAAAGCTTTGATTTGATCTATATATAATAGGTAGTTTGGTGAAGTTGGTGAAGATCACACTGGAACAGTCCTAGAAGTAGCAGCAACCGGCATTTCCTCACCATTTTCCTCATTCTCACCGGTTAGCTCTTCAAGTGATTTACCCTTTGATTCAGGCACTAATAGAGTAAACAACATCCCAAAGAAGTTGATAACACCGAGAGCAATTAAAGAATTCTTTACTCCAATACCAGGAGGGTAACCTGCGTCAGTCTTGGTTTTGTCTGTGGGTTGGGCAGCATATAAGAAACCAAATGCACCAACTATGGCACCTGCCTTTCCTGCTGCTGCAGATATACCGTGGCATGTTGATCTTAGTCTTGCGGGGAAAATCTCTGCTGGAACAACAAATGTAGTGGCATTGGGTCCAAAATTGGCAAAGAAAAATGTCAGTGAGTACATTACAACAAAACCAATTCTATTAGGCTCCAAGGTCCAGTGATGGTAAGGGATAGCAATCGCGAACATAAAAACTGTCATGAAGAAGAAGCCCATCAATTGAATGGCAAATCTTCCCATATAGTCAATAAGGAATACAGTGAACCAGTATCCAGGTACAGTACTGCATAGTGCAATTAGTGTCTGAGCTCTTGCAATCCTAAAAACCTCGTGAATTGCGTTCATTTTTTGTGCTTTAGGAATCCAATTGATTGCAGTGAAAATATCCTTTTGGAAAAGATTTTGGCTGTAGAAAGCAATATCTAATAAGAACCAAGTAGTAGTGGTTCCTACCAAGTGACGTCCATGGCGCTTGGCAAATTCTTTAGAAAACAAGCCAAATGAATTAGATGGCTCTGCAACTATCTTCTCCACCTTTTCCTGCTCTGCTTCCAGTTCAACATTTAAAACTTTAGACATATCTGAAGCAGCTAGTTTTGCATTCTTAGCAACAAGGGCTGTGTAACGAGCAGTTTCAGGCATTTTCATACGCCAGTAGTAAGTCAGGGCAGCAGGAATTGCACCGAACATCAAGATTATGCGCCAAACATAGTCTGCTTGAGGAGCAAGAGAGGCTCTTCTACTATCTTCGTATATGGGGGCACTGAATCTGTGATCAAATGCAGTTGACACAATAAGACCAACAATTCCACCAGCCAGGATCCCAAATCCTTGCATAGCAAACACCGCAGCAATAAATGCCCCACGAGTCTTTTTATTAGCATATTCAGACATAATTGTGGCTGATAAGGGATAATCACCTCCGATACCGAATCCAAGCCAGAACCTGAAGAAACAAAGAGTGGCAATTGTACCCTTTGGACTACTTCCAAAGGAAAGGCCCGAGGCAAGTGAACAAACAACCATGAGAACCAAAGTTATCCCATAGACTTTCTTTCTACCCAATTTGTCACCAAGCCAGCCAAAGAAGAGCTGGCCAGCTAAAGTGCCACAAAGTGCAACACCATTAACAGCTGCTGCTACATTTGGAGGTAATGTGCCTGGCTTTTCTTTGTCATAGTCAGTGTAGTATATACGACCAAGCAATTTGGTGACTAATGAAATACAAAAAAGATCATATGCATCTGTGAAAAAACCCATTCCAGCAATCACAATTGCTGTGAAATGGTACCATTGAGTTTTTGCAACATCGAGTGCATTAAGCACTCCTATTTGTTCTCTAGCCATCGCTGCTACTCCCCAACTTTTGTATTAAAGAAAATCTATCTGCAAAAGTACAATACAAAATTAGCAAGACATAATTGACTTGGGTGATTACTTGGGGCAGGTGATTAATATGCTAAAAATACCATTTTGATTATTAATTATATGCAGAAGATATTATGTGTGATTCTATGATCAACAGACAGGACAAAACATGCTCACATGGGACTTCATTCTTTTCCTTCTCATCTCATAGAAACAAAAAATAAGCACATTGAAACAAATTAGTAACTACTCCACAGAAGGAAAAAAATGGGAACTGTAACCTGCTTACTTTTCTAATGAAGACTAAAATTAGACTTTCATTTTCATCAACTACAGTGATCGATTTGACTGATTAACCACTAGATGATGAATGGTCGTCATTCTTTATTGTCATATTCTAGGCGATAGGCTAATATGTCAGTCTAGATTTACACAGCCCAAGGAAGAAAAATCAACGATCTTGTGCTACAAAGTCATTGGAAAGGAAAGAATAATTAAAAAAGAACTTTTTGCTACTCTATTGGGAAGGTTTAGCAGATCCAACCTATCAATAGTTTGGGGAAATTTGAGAAATTGCCTTCTCAAAACATGCCAAAAGAAGTAACAGTGCAACACATAAAATAACAAGGGAAAAATGACAAGGCCTGCAATGAATACTGTTTAAGTCAAGAAATCTTTGCAGGATTTTATTTTTATGCAATAATATATAGATTCATAGTTTAAGATCGTTCAAACTTGAATGAGTTCAAAAAAAATCCCCTTTTCAACTCTGCAATATGCATACATGATAAACCAAGAACCAATTAATGATGAATTAAAAAAAAAAAATAGAGAAATTAATTTCAAATTCTCATGAACAAGAAGTATTTTATCAAACAACATGACTTGAACTAACCAAAATGGAAATGAAACAGAAAGTCTGAAACTGTGGAAAACATAACAAAATTACAAGCATCAACTTTATCAAACACGAAGCGCAATATTTCCTCGAGTATATATTTGCATAAACACCTGAATATATTCGTTTATGCATGTAAAGAAAGTAGAAGAAATGGATTCCTTGAATTTTCACCAGTTCTATTGAATCCCATTTTAGGTGTTGAGGTTCATGACGAGAGTTCATGATGAGAGTTCAAGAAGATTATCTCGAAGAACGTATAGTAACTATAACTAATTAAAAGAAAGAAAGAAAGAAAAAAAAAAATAAAGGGAACAGCTTTATGTCCTATTTACTTTTATATCCTATTTACTTTCATATCCACTACAAAGAAAGTGCAAAAGCGGCCCTACTTCCAGATCCAAGAAACATGGAGCTTGTCAGGCTAAAGATTTTCAATAAGGAAAAGGAGGAGAGAGAGAGAGAGAGACTAACCTTCTTCAATCCAGAACAAGAAGAGGAAAGATCAGTACGGAAGAGGAGAGAGAGAGATGGATAGGTAAGTGAGGAGTGTCTGAGGCTCGCTATTTAAGTGCAGCTAATCTAATGCAGACACAGAACCAATAGTAGCATCTAATGGAATATACCCTTAAAATATTTTTAAGTCAACCCTCGAACAACTATGTCTATATCATTATAATTTCTCTTCTGTTTACAATTCATTCTCTCTATATTATCTTTGTGCTGCCTGGATGGATACTTCCGTGTTATGCCTCACACTTTGAGTTTAATGACGTTATAAATTATGATTTTATTTTTTAGTAGATGGGTTAGGCAGCTTGATTATGCTTTACTTCTTTGCTTTATTTATTTATTATTATTATTATTATTATTATTATTATATACCAAAAGATGCAATATTTTTACGTTATTTCTTTATTTCATAATGATTTTTACATCATTATATTTATTAATATCTGTTGAAAGCAAATACTAATAATATTGGATAAAGATGCTTGAATTTGAAATTTGCGTTTTTCACATTCTTAGACTTGAAGAGTATATATATATACTTTGATTAGTTTGATCTATCAATAACCGTAGACCGAATCTAGATAAGTTTAATTTGTAAACTTATATATATATGTATATATATATCACACTAATAAATTTATTAAGGTAAAAATTTTAGATATAATTAACAGATCTAATGCAAATAAGAATTATACTTGAGATCTTTTGAGTGGCAATGGTTTGTCTTTAATGATTAAATTAGTTTTAAAAATAATTAAATACAAACCGAATATAAATGCAAAATAAATCAGCAATGTGTGTGAATACAAATGTGAAAACCTTGACTTTTCTATTGCTTAAAAAAATCCGTTAAATGGTAGTTTTCAAACTCTAAATGAACTGAAAATTGCAGTAGACATTAACGTTTTAAAATCATACTGAATTAATTATAATTATAATGAACTGTATAACAATATTAATTATAATTTATTAATGTTACTGCAACTGCAAGCAAGGACATAAAGACTTAATTAAAAAAATTTCCTTTTCGCTGTCGTTCTTGTTCATATATATTAGCTTCATTAATTTAATTTATAAATAAATTTATTTCATATTTTATTGATTATGGTTTAAACTTTAAATTGTATTTTTCGTTTTTGCAAATTCTCCAATTTCATATATATAAAAAATTTTTGCATTATATGATATGATTAGCACGTTCCTCTTTTTCTTAGCAGAAATTATCGCGGATAGCTACAAATTGACAAATTAATTAATTAAGAAGAAAAAAAAATGTTAGCATTTGCATTGCAAATAAATAGAAGTCAACTAGTTGACGACTTTCATATTGTCCACTAATTTAACGGATTAAGCTTTATAAATAGCCTGTCAAACTCTTATTAATTAAGTTTATCATTCTCCATTTGCTTATTGAGAATAATTAAATTAATTAATTAGCCAAAATGATGACATATTTATAGGATAATGCTTGGTATATGCCATAGAATTAAAAGTTTATTGAGTTTGAATTATTAATTAAAACAAATAATTGACGTCATATTTTATATAATTGACGTAATATTGTCCGATCAATCTTGTTCATGATTCAATCACTCCTATGTATAGATATATTTTGCTTCTGCTGACTAAATTTGTAGATTGGCTTGGTAGTATAAATTATTAAAAAAAAAATTAAATAAACAAACAAAATTTTTATACGCAAAGATTTGAAATAATTTTTTCCACGACAGTACGTTATTGAATCTATATTGATTAGTACAAATGAGACTTAACGTTCATGCATGTCCATTTTATTTATTTAATAATAAAATAGCATTACAGAAATTAAGTGAGTTATTTATAGTGTATTATTATCAAAAATAACCTTTTTACTTAATAAATTTTAATTAAAATAAAAAATAATAATTAAATTAATAACATGAATTATAATTATGATAGAAAATAAAAAATATAAAACATAGGATGGTGTTGACCAAGTGGTTTATTATACTTGTCAATTTATCGATCAAATCAATAAAAGCAAAAAGAGATAAAAGACAAAGGGAAGAGTGTATGTATGGGGACATTCCATATGGCTAATTGGCCATAGCCTATTGGCCCAATCAAGCCGATGTCGTATTGTGGTTGTCGTCACGCGGAAAGCGCGTGACGTGGTCGTTGTAGTTAAGTTAAGTTAACTAAGACAGTGGAACAGACCCAAAAGCGACACGTTTTGGGTTTTTGGCTTCTTCGATGGAGGCCAGATGATGAGAAGGGTCAGGCCCTTTGCTGAGGCTTGTGACAAGGAGGAAGGTCCATTTGCCGTGTGATTGTCAAATATAAATATTATAGCTTAGTCGAGTGGTTCCACTGCCCTTATCTAACAAAATATATATTAGTGTAAAAAATTGAGAAAAAAAAAATCTAAACAGGTATAATTTAGTGATTTAAAATTTAGGGTTTAGAGTTTATTTATTTATTTATTTATTGAAAAGAAGTTTAGAGTTTAAATTTCAGGGTATTAAGGATTTAGTGTTTAAATTTCTTTTTAGATTCTAACGTTAAAAAACCATTGGCTGAAGTTTTCTGATAACAACAGACAATTCTCATTATCGCATGACTAATTAATAACCACATAATATCTGTAACAAAAATCATCTCTTAAATTCTATATAAAATTTAATGATTAATGACTGCACTTGTAAATTTGATTTAACGAAATTCCAATTTTTTTTAATTGGGCAATAACAGTAAAGATGCTGGTATTGATTGTCATCACTAAATATTATCTAATCTTTTTCTAAATATTCTCAAAGTAACACACTTTCTCTCTCGAAGAAAAAATTTTACCTTTCGTGATTCGGATAAAATAGAAAAATAAAATAGTAATGTGTATTAAAATTCCTTTTCTTAATTTATTTGTACATTAACATTTGTCTTAAATTTTCAAAACCCAATTCCAGTGAGAATTTGTATCAAATAATTATTTGAACATATGTTTTTGATTATGAGTCTGAGGTAAATCTGTGAACATGCGAGTAGAAAAGATGGACAGATTGCCAGAACCAGAAGCAAAAAAATGGCCATTCACCAATAATCATTGCAAGAACATTCTCCCAACTTGAAGTGATGAAATCTTAAAGAATCTCTAACCACAATTTCACGTCCTGTGACAATCGATACATGTTTCGCGAAATCATGACAGTCCTTGCACGCCCGAAGGTTCTTGAATACCACTATAGGAGCATTTCTTGGCGTTGATATCAGCCCAAAAGCTATTGCGAGTCTCTCACTATGATCAAGTAGTTGTTCTTTCCTCGCCGGTAAACTATTTGATACATCGTCTTCTGTTAATGGGTCATTTGCATCTTTAATTAAAGGAGAATTATACTCTTCTAGCTTCGAATAGATTTCCTCCGATTGAGGATGGTGTTTATCACCTACTATAAACCGGTGCACTTTACCCTTGACATTGATCCAGCTGCAGCTAAGCTCCTTCCTTAAATTTCTTTCTGTCATTATCCTTCTAACATTGGCTGCTTCTTTCCATTTCCCAAATGAAGCATGAAGGTTAAACATGATAACATAACCTGCTGTATCCTCTGGATCCAGCTGAAGGAGGTTTTCAGCCGCAATTTTTCCAAGCTCAAGATTTCTATGAGTCCAACACCCACCCAATAGGCATTTCCAACTCATTGCATCAGGGTCAAATGGCATGTTCATTATGAGTTCATTTGCTTCCTGAAGATATCCAGCACGAGAATATATATCGATCATGCAATTATAATGATCAATAGTTGGGGCCACTCCGTACTTGCTACTCATCAAATCCAAATACTGCTTGCCCTCATCAACTAAACCCGAATGGCTACAGGCAGTTAAAACTGCAATAAATGTAATTGCATTTGGTCTCACCTCAGAGTCCTGCATCCTCCTAAAAAGCTTTAAAGCTTCAGTAGCATTGCCCTGATAAGCATAACCAGCAATTATAGCTGTCCAAGCTACAGCATCAGGTTCAGCAATTGATTCGAAGGCTAGATTAGCATAATCTAATCTGCCGCATCTCGAATACATGGTAATCATCGCACTCTCTCCATGTTGTTGAGCTATCAAACTTCTTTTTATTGCATCAGCATGAACTTGGGTACCTGTATTAAAGTCTGCAAGTGCAGAGCAGGCTTGGAAAATGCTTGTATATGTGAAACAATTTAAATGCTCATTTTTACTTCTCAAAGATTCAAAAATCTTGAGAGATTCCTCAAATTCACCTATTTGACAATAGCCAGTGATTAAAGAACTCCATGAAACATCATTTGGTTCGCCAATCCTCTCAAACACTTTAGAAGCAGATTCAAAACTTGCACACTTGCTATAGAAGTCCACAAGAGGAGTTCCAACTGAAACTTCAGATTCCAATCCAATTTTAACAACATGACCATGAATTTGCCTTCCAAAATTCAAGTCCTCTAAACCAGCACATGCCTTTAGAGTAATAGAAAATACATACTCATCCAATGCAACACCTTCACCCATAATTTTGGCAAACAAAGCCAAAGCATCCTTCTTTTTCTCAGCTTTGGTGTACCCAACCATCAATCCAGTCCAAGTAACAGCATTCCTTTCAGTCATATGGTTGAAAACAAGCTCAGCACCATCTAACCAACCACATTTCACGTACATGTTGGAGATTGCTGTGTTAATGGACATACTTAAACCAAGCCCACTTCTCATAGCATGAGAATGTATTTGTTTACCAATCTCCAGATAAGAAGGATTTAGCAAAGAGCGTAAAAGGTAAATATAAATGGACGAATTTGGTTTAATTCCCAATGAAATCATATTTGAAAACAAGCAAAATGCAGAATCAACAAGTCCATGGTCCGCATAAGCTGATATAATTGTACCCCAAGAAATCAAATTTCTTTCAATCATTTCATCAAACACCTTATGTGCATCTACTAAGCTTCCACATTCACAGTACATTCGGAGAACTGAATCTTCTAGAAACCCAGGTGAACTCTTCATTGTTCTTTTAAACTGACCATGAATCAATCTTCCATCCAATAAGGATTTAGAATTCCCACAGTTTTCAAATAAGATTTTGTAAGAATCAGGGCTAACAGGAATACCAGCATCAATCATTAGTTTGAGAAATTCACGAGCTTCCTTGAGCTGCCCTTGCTTGGATAAAGAAACCAAGTGCACATTCTCAACTTGGCCCTTTGTACTTTGTTTCAGTGAAGCAGGGGCTGTGGCCTTAAGAGAAACCCATGAAGGCAAACGATCAAAGTTTATAGATTTTGAGATGGGAATCTTGTTGTGAGCTTTAGCTAGCGATTGATTGGAAGGTGCCACAGCAGAAGAACAGTAAACATCCATGGGAGAAAATAAGATACTGAATTATGAGCGGTTCTCTTCGATGTTTTCAATAGCCAACCTTACTGTAAAAATCCAAAAGTACGTGTTTATCAGTGGCGACTCAGATTGTTCGCCAGGTTATCTCAAGAAGGATATTGCATGGTGGAAATAGAGTATCTGTTTTGATCAACAGCTTCGTTTGGCTCTACCTTACTATTATTTGAATTGGATTGGGGGTGACGACGGAAATTTTTCTTCTTATATTGATGACGGAAATATTTCCTGGCGGACAGAAATATAATTATGTTCGTCCTATGGATCTAGTAATATGCACTCGTATAGTGCATTTTTCAATTCGACAATATATCCAAAATTAAATCTTGTAAGGTTTTGCGATGAAAATAGACCAATTCTCAAACTGTCCAGTGAAAAAAAAAAAAAATCCTCGAAATAAACCCACGAGAGAACATTTCTTGCCCTCCATTGTGTCAAGAAATCACAGACTAACACAATGAAGAATCCATGATCAATTAACATTATAATCCATTATCATTGTACTAATCGAGACTTCAACCTGTTCAAGAAATTTCTGACGTACCAAAAACAGAAAAACTAATACAAAAGCACAAAAATGAGATAAAATTCCATATAGTGTGATATGATATTAAGAGTGTTGAGAAATAAGAAGAAAGAAAGAGGAAAAGAGGGAACAGAATCATCTCTGTACATTATGCTCTGTAATTATTATAAGATGATAACATTACAGAGTGGCTACTGGCAATTGCACTGAGCAAACCAATGAGATAACACCTCCTAAAATTTTCATGAACAAGGCAGTTCTTTATATAATCATACCCAAACAAAGTTGTCAATCTACATTCTTACTTCATTAAGACTTACCCCATAACCCATCTATCTATACCAGAGATGGCTACACTGGCAAAGCTCCACATGTCACCTTCCAGGGCAGCTGGCATCTTCAATGATCTCTCCGGTAGATTAGATTCCTCACACTTTTAAAAGTGACTGGAAAATGAAATGGGCATTATTAAGTAAATCTTGCAGAGATAACCAAAAGGTGTACAGTAACGGAGTAGTCGTGTACAGGATAATTTTCAATTGAAGACGTGAAAGGACTAGGACACAAGAACATCTCAGTTGTTGTAGCAAAACAGCTTAGATTTCTTACTATAAATTTAAATGAAAAAAAAAAAGAAGGAAAACAGGGCAAACTCTGGGGGACAAACTTCCAATATCAGAAGAAAGAAAAAGAAAAAGAAAAAGAAGAGATTACACTGCAATTCATTCTTCTTCACTTATTTTAGAAACTTCATATCTTGTTCCTCCATTTTAAGAATGAAAATGAAAATTGCAGAAACGGTGAGAAGGGAGGACGCTGATGTTTTTAATGATGATCGATACTAGCAATGACTGAATTGTATATCCAACCCCTTTTCCTAATTAACCTTAATGCAGTCAGTCAAATTGAAGTACTTCTAAAATATTTTTAGTGATGGTATTTCCATTAAAGACAGGAATCAATATACTTTGGAAAAAGTAAGAATGAAAGTACCTTGATTTTGGTTGGATTATAGCCAGGCTTAGCAGTAGTGATGCTCCCAAACCCAAACTTTGGCTTCTTATCGGCAGGTTTCAGTATTTGGAAAGAACACAGTAAATTCTCATCCACACTCATCATGGCACCAGCATTGTCAAACTCTCCACAATAATTAGGAGCTGAAAATATGGTTACGAGTTGTCTATTTGCAAAAAACTCATAACCATCTTCGACAACCTGAAAATAAATTTAAATATAATACGGTACGAGATATATGGATGTAATCTTTTGGAGGTCTTTTTCTGTCCTCCGGTGTCTCAGCGTGGAACAAGTTTAATTAAAAGGAATTTCCATACCTGATGTGCTCGGCAAATTAGATCAAGATCATGCTTTCGCAGAAACTCTATGACCCTATCAGCACCAAAGGTATACGAAACACCTCTGTCATTTATCCCCCAACCTTGAACGTCTTTACTGGGATCAGACCAGAGGAGATCACATAACAAACCAGAGTCAGGAACAATAGTAGGTCGTTGCAAATTCCTTATCTGATTCAAATTGCGCAGGTCGGGAGAAAGCCCACCATGCATGCAGAGAATCTTTTCATCAATCAGAGCTGCAACAGGCAAGCAGTTGAAACAATCTGTGAACATTTTCCAGAGCCTGACATTGAATCTTCTTTTGCACTCATCATAAAATCCATATATACGGTTTACAGAAGCACATTCATGGTTTCCCCTCAGCAGGAAAAAGTTTTCAGGATATTTTATTTTATATGCAAGAAGAAGGCATATAGTTTCCAGGCTTTGCTTTCCACGATCTACATAATCCCCCAGGAACAAATAGTTGGAACGAGGAGGTAATCCACCGTATTCGAAGAGCTTCAGTAGATCAGGATATTGTCCATGTATATCTCCTAGAGGCATAAAGAAAAATGTAAGAATAACTTTCCAACAATATAAATGAATATTATTATTCAAAGTTTTTTTTTTTTCTCCAAAGCAGCATGAATACACTCTAGATATCGATGTTTAAAATCAAGAATGTCACTGGCTATAGTACAGAGTTGGAAACAAAATCCATTCTGGAGTCTTTTCAATACACTTTGAAAAACATCGCAACAGTGTAGTTTTTTCAACCAGGAAAGTCGAAATTTTCATAACATAGGGAACTACATATAGAAGAGCTAACATCATGTATGTTGGATTTCATTTTTGAACTAGTCCATGCTTGAACAAAGGAGGATTTGCGCTAAGTTGAAGGTCAGTGTAAAACTAATTGTATATTTATTTTTATGACTTGAATTCTAATATATATGATAGGCACACAGAGAAAAGGATAAATACACCCAATCTTTAACTAGTTAGCTTGAATTTCGTTTGAATTGTCTTGAGTTGGTGACTAGGGGAACTTGTGAACAAATTTTCAGTTCAAATATAATTTCTGAAGCAAGAACTGAAAATTTCTACCTGATTGCAGAATGTAAATAATGAAACTACTATAGTATCTCATACCTTTTTTTTTTTTTTTGACATTTCTATAGTATCTCATACCTAATTATGATGTTACTACATGTTATCAATGGGGAATTGAAAATTTCTGTCACAATCTCAAGTTCTCAACATCAGTAACCCAGAGAGAGGGGAAAATGGGATGGCATATTAGAAAACAATGAACTGGGGATTGAATCTGAGACAACACAGTAGCCAGATTGATTCGCATGAGTGTGTAATTTCAACTTCGTTGTCAAAAAGCAGGAAGAGATATTTCATTTATATCTGTTCTTATGAAACAAATTGATCCTTATATGAGAGAGATCAAACTATAGTAGGATTCATGAATAACGATGATCTTAGGGGATACACTGGGATCCAAATGATCAAAATCTTGTTGAAGTGAATCATATACCACAATTCTATACTAACTGATAAAAGTTAAGAAAGCGGATGGCAAAATAAAACATGGAGAGAACAGATCTTGCCAGATGACCCACCATATTTTCAGAATTCCTAGCTCTTGATAAAAACTCAGTGATTCAACTACTCCTTGAGTCGTTTTGATTTAAAATGCTTTTGATTACATTATGAATTTCAATAATTTTTTGGCTCAAATTTTGTTTGTTTTAATTAGATAGTAAGTCCATCAAAAAATTTTAAAAACTCAATTTAGTTAAACTAACTTCAGCACATATTATGGACACAATTTCTGGATTTAAACTCGAGGAAAGAACATGATTCTTCAAAATGACCTAAAAAGTGTGAGAATAAACTACCACAAACTTGGAATATTATATTGACATTAAAATTCCATACAAATTCTCGGCATATGTTACAAACAAAGTTCGAAGTAGAATATAGTAAAATACTATAGCATTAGATATAACCAATGCACAAATCAAATGAAACCAAAAGATGGATCATGACATGATTCAAAATAAACTAGTTTAACATATGCTTATCATGAATGAATTTGCAAAAAAATCAAAGCTCGCCAAGTTTTCAATCAGTACTCTATGACCTTAACAACCTTGGACTTTTAAGCTTTTATCATCAAAAAATTGAACCCATGAAAAACAGAATTCAGAAATAGATAATATCCTACTTGAGAAAAAATAAATTAATATATATAAAAATACTATAGGCAATTAGATATAACATATGCAACAAAATCAAATGAAACCCAAAGATGGATCATGACATGATTCAAAATAAAGCTAGTTTAACATATGCTTATCATGAAAATGAATTTGCCAAAATCCAAAAGCTCGCCAAGTTTTCAATCAAGTACTCACTATGACGCTTTAGACAACCTTGGACTTTTAAGCTTTATCATCAAAAAATTGAACCGCAATGAAAAAACAAGATTGCAGAAAATAGATAAATATCCTATTGAAGAAAAAATAAAATTACATATATATATATAATATATATATACTATAATACTATATATAATATATAATATAATATAATATATATATAAACATATTTGTGTTTTATAGGAAGAGTACCAACATTTATTTTTATAGGAGCTTGCTTAGCTCCAAGATTGGGCTGTCTCAAGAAAATCTCCCTGGAGTATATATAAACATATTTGTGTTTTATAGGAAGATACCACATATTTTTATAGGAGCTTCTAGCTCCAAAAGATTGGGCTGTCTCAAGAAAATCTCCCTGGAGGTGAAACAGAGCTGTCTAATCTCAGTCTCAGAAAGCTGAACTTGTTTCCCTGGTTTGCTTCTAACTTCGAGCAACCTATTAATCACATCATCAAGAACTGCACGCTCCATATCTCCTGCTCACCTTTTTTTTGTCAAACTTCAAACACCAGAAGGACAACTAAAACAAGAAAGAAGAACAGAATAAAGAGCCGCCGCCAGCACCACCAGCACTACAATTGCTCTGACCCGGTTGAGCTATTATAGAAACCCACATGCTGCTTTTTTAAAAGAGAGGTTAGATTATTAAAGGGAATTGGGAAATTGGGTATGGATTTCTTTATGGTGGAGCAAAGAATGAATGGTGTATGCTAATCGCAGAATTTCAAAAAGCCACAGAATATATTCTTGCAGTTTGAGAAATAAAAAGGTGCTGAGTTGAGATGGGTAGAGAATTTAAACAAAGAAAGAACAGATAGAGAAAGAGAGAAAGTTAAAGCAAATAGGTTGGTGAAAATGGACCCCAGAAAAAACACCTGTAAGAGAAATATAAAGAAAGAAAGACTACCAAGAAGCTTGCTTTGCTTGTTTGTTTGTTATTTTTGAAGGTTGCAGGCGATGGCGTCGACAGCCCATTAGTTGACGCATCTAAGCACGCACTAGTCTTATGGTTTCTAAATTTCAACCTAAACAAATATAAAGAAAGAGCGTGGCTACCATTGAGACATTTCAAGTTATGGTGTTCCATAACTACATCTTACAAAAAAGAAAATCTTATCCTCCCAAGTCCCAATACTCTTTAACTGAACTATTTTGAATTCGATCCTAACCGCTTACATATCCATGCAACATTGTTATCACGGCTGTTGGCTAATTAAAAGTTTGATTTCCAGACTAACAAATAGATTGGAATTGAAAAAGTTTAGAAACTAACTTCGGTAAAGAAATTTAGGGTAACTGTCAATGAGTTTAAACAAAATTATACATGAATATGCTTACTGCGTTTCTCATATCATTAAACATTGACAGCAATTATACCAAAACAACAATTATTCCACGAGAGCTACCATATATAGTTGCTACAGAGATTGGAGACCAACCTCCATTAATACACTTTTGATTTTCATCCTTCTTCCTGTATTGAATTAGGATTAGTTTTCCATTCTCAATAAATAAATAAAACTAGGGTTAGTTTTCTGGATAATTATCGAGTTGAAGTATCATTACCAGCTAAATTTCCTTTCTCCTTGCATATCTGTTATCTATGAACCAAGGGTCGCTGCGCATGCTTCTAACAACGTATTCGAAGCGGCTGTATTGTGGAGTGTCGACTCTCGATGCAGCCTGTTCTCAAATCTAAAAAAAATTGGAATAGAGAATACACAGCAATCCAAAAAGAACATATGAATTAGGATTTGATAAGTCATGTAGCGAACCCCATTTGGCGATGTTGATCGGAGTTAAGCCATATCTTATTTCAGCACCACTCTTCTAAGAAAACCTTCGTTTTATTCATGGCGGAAGTTAGAAGAACAGCAAAATTACAGAGTAAAGAGCATAAGGCAAAATGATGACATCGCAAAAGAGGTGACGTGTCTTAAAAATATAGAAAAAGCAAATACATGGCAGCAAAAGTCGACGTAATTTGGGATGTTTAGTAATGAGACATGGTCCATAACACGTGGAAGCCAAATGCCGAGTCAGGCTGATGTTGCCATCTAGCCTACTGTAATGAACACGTGGAGTAGTATAATACACTTAGACAAAGTGGCGGACCCATTAATTTAATTTTATGGCGAAAGTATATACAGTATGGCTTGAAATTAAATTAAAACTATATAGTAATCACGTGTTTTTTCTGTGCAGTTGGAATAAACTGCATTGTCAGGAGCAATTATAGAGTTTAGAGAAATAGTGAAAGAGAAATTATGAAATTGGTCTGTCATATATTTATTGCATCAAATTGTCATACATTTCCCCAAGAGTTAAAATGGAAACCCCAGAATTTGAGGCAAGAAGCCGGAATGTCATGGACTATAATACACATATTTCTTAAAATAAATCACAAGGGATGTGTTCTACAAGCTAATTAGCAAAACGAATTTAAAAAATTCTATGAGATTTTAGATTCGAATCCTGTGAACGTAAAATCCCTATGGCCATATATAATAAATCACAAGGAATGTTGTTCTAGACAGCTATGTAGCAAAACGATATTTAAAAAAAATTTCTATTGAGATTTTAGATTCGAAATCCTGTGAAACGTAAAAATCCTATGGCCATATATATAGTATATATATAAATATATAAATATAGTATAATATGCCAGAAAATATCAATTGATGATATTTTGCTCTACAACTTTTGGCCCTTAAATGACAAATATGACTTGTTATATATAATACCTATTATTATGGGGCCCTCGCTAGTGATCAGTCCATGATTAATTAAATGCAACTTGTTAATGTATAACATACATAGAGTTATTTATATGTAAATTAATCTAGAGCATCAGTGACCCATAATTGAGAATGCAAGTGTTGACTATTTGCATTTTCATATATGTTTCATTATTAATATCGATACCAAGTTTTTTTTTTTTTTTTTTTTTTTTTTTTTTTTTTTTTTTTTTTAGGGAACGTACCAAAGTTACTATGCTAACTAATTTGCATTAGACACAGTAGATAATTAGAAATTAATTTTTTGATGGAACAACTAAAATCTACATCTTCTTCTATATTCCTTACTAGCTGAAATTAATGCTATGGTTCATTTGCCTAAGTTGAAGAAGAAAATATATGGAGAAAAGAAAAGAATAAATTAATATTGCCATATCTGGATTTCTAATTATTTATTGTGACACATAAAATATTCCATGGAAAAAGTAGTGTTGCCTATAGTCAAAAGAAACATTAGGTTAAGATTAAGACTACAAGTTAACAGCATTTTCCCCTAAAATTATACAAAATTCATAACCTAGAGAAGATAAATGGTAGAGAGAGACATAATCAAAGAGAAAAAAACAACCTTAGCTAGTATATGTTAGTCAAAGTTTTCAACTAAGTGGGCCCAATGACAAGTTTAAAAATTACCACAATTTCAATGTGAAATCAAAGTGTACTAAAGGCCAAGTGTAGCGTGACATGGGCGATGACGACCCAATTCTCCCCCATGCAGACTATAAAAGAGGGATGGAGTCTCTCGAATTTTGCAGCACCAACTCAAACATGTTCTCTTCTAAAAACTTGCGAGTGTTGCTCCTTATTGGAGCAGTCGTGATTCTCTCCATTTCTTCTTCATTAGCTGATCATTATGATCACCACCACTCACAGCACAAGCCACCACATGGTCATCTGTTAAGTGAGGATAATGTAGAGGATGTCCATGATCCACCTTACAAGGGTAAGGGAGAGAAACCACCACCTAAGAATTTTCCACCTCAAAAGCCACCACCAGAGCACAAACCACCACACAAGCCACCACATGGTCACCTATTAAGTGAGGATAGCGTAGAGGACTTCCAAAAACCACCATTTAAGGGTAAGGGAGAGAAACCACCTCCTAAGAATTTTCCACCTCAAAAGCCACGACTATTTTTAAGGATTTGGTCCCTATTAAGTGAGGTATTTAGTCGATAGATGCTGCCAGAAGGATTTCCCACACATTTTATAGGGTAAGTGATATCCGAGAAATAACCATCCTTCTTAATGAATTTTCCACCTCAATAAGCACACCAGAAGCACAAAATACCACCTACACAAGCACCCTACAATCTTTACAACTCTTCTCAGTATGGTCACTTATTATAGTGAGTGGATAGCGCTAGAGACTTTCTCCAAAAAACCACCATTTAAAGGGGTTAATGGGAGAGAACCACCTCCGGAAGAATTTTTCCACCTCAAAAGCCACCACCTAAGAATTTTACCAGGAACCTCACCCAACAACACAAAAGCCCCAAGCACCAAGAGCACAAATATCTAACCACCAACATCACGCCACGGCACATGGTTACCGTAATTTAGCTTATCGAGGTAAATAGATGAGCTGCTCACGATATGAGACTCATACACCACCAGAGCACAAACCACCACACAAGCCACCACATGGTCACCTATTAAGTGAGGATAGCGTAGAGGACTTCCAAAAACCACCATTTAAGGGTAAGGGAGAGAAACCACCTCCTAAGAATTTTCCACCTCAAAAGCCACCACCTAAGAATTTTCCACCTCAAAAGCCAACACCAGAGCACAAACCACCACACAAGCCACCACATGGTCACCTATTAAGTGAGGATAGCGTAGAGGACTTCCAAAAACCACCATTTAAGGGTAAGGGAGAGAAACCACCTCCTAAGAATTTTCCACCTCAAAAGCCATCATCCGAGCACAAACCACCGCACAAGCCACCACCAGAGCACAAACCACCCCTCAGACGTCTTTTAGCTACAGAGGTTGTAGAGGACTCACATAAGGGTAATAAGCCACCACCAAAGCATAAGCCGCCACATGGACATCTTTTGGCTGAGGAAGAGCTAGCCGAGGATTCATATAAAGGAAAGGGACAGAAACCAGTACCAAAACACAAGCCACCCCACAAGCCACCACATGGACATCTTTTGGCTGAGGAAGAGTTAGTTGAGGATTCATATAAAGGAAAGGGAGAGAAACCACCATTAAAACACCTGCCACCCCATAAGCCGCCCCAAAAGCCACCGCACAAGCCTCCAACTGAGAACTAATTAATCAAGTGTCTGGTTACTGACCAGCATTAATAGATAAAATGTTGGGAATAAGAAACGGAGGTTTAGTCTTCTGTTCTTTTAGTGTTTGTATTTTGGCTTGTACGTACCATCTGAGCACCGGCCCCTAGTTGGTTGTTCTTATGTTGAATACTGTTATATATATAATGAGTGTTACTCTTTTATGGTTTTATATCTTTCCTTTATTATATAATGCGTGGCAATTTGACGATCAAAAGAACCCAGTCACAATGCAACTATCACGTACAGAAGGCATCAACAGGATTGAATCCTTATTCCGATATTGCTGATAATAAATTATTGACTCGTTAATAAGTCCATTAGCAATTTGAAGAAATGTAAAGATTTAATTCCACAGAATTTAATTTAATCACTAATACTCCATAACATATTATGGAATAGTTAAATTCTTTTATATATAAAAAAAAATATTACCTATTGGATTAAACAGAAAATTCAATATTTTTTTTAAAACAAAGAAAAAGAAATTTCAATGGTACTATTAAAAATAGTAAGTTAAATAAGTTATCTGATTTTTTTTTTAATTATTACAAACAATAGAAATAAATTTTATTACTTCCAAATTTATAACAATCGCCTAATTAATATCCTATTCTTCTTTTCTATTACAACCTAAATTCTATCACAAAATAATTTGATTGTAGAATTTCTTAATAGAACATAATTAAATTTTTTGTAAGAATTGTTTTAAATGATTACCACGTGATGATATTCAGATGTCGGAAAAGGAAAATAGTAACACATCAGAGTATATGTTGTACAATATCACGTGCAATTTTATTTCCTCCACTTTGCACTAGGAGAATGACAATTTGGACTGGAGTCCTTGTGGACGGTTACATATGCACTCACCCTCAAGCTTTAATTAATTTAAGCATGTACAAAATATATAGTTGATTACAATATCACGTGCAATTTTATTCCTCCACTTTTCACACTTAGGAGATGACAATTTGAAGAACTGGAGTACCTTGTGGTGACGGTTACATAATGCACTCCACTTCCTCAAGCTTTCTTTTAAGATTAAATTTAAGCATGTTACAATATTATTTAATACTTAAGGTTATTATTAAATTTATATAGTATCATATTACGAATGTAGTTTCGTAATAGAATAACTATTTAGGTATTAATATATGTTTATACATTCTGTTTTATTTAAACTTATTTAATTATCCCTTATAATATATTTTTTTTTTGTTTTTTTTTTTTTTTTAAGTGAAAGAGAATACTACTTTATAGATTAAGATAATCTATATTATATAAATATATTTTACTATTAATTTGTATGTTTTTTCCATTTTTGTGAATTAGTTTTGATTTTTTTGTATAAAGATAGAATTAAACACGAATAGCTCATATTTAATTTTATTTAAAAAATATATTATGTTTTTTTTAAAACACATTTTATTTTTTTCCTATGAAAAAAAAGAGAATTACTTATAGATTAAGATATCTTATATTATATAGAATATATTTTACTATTAATTTGATGTTTTTCCATTTTTGTGAATTAGTTTCTGATTTTTTTTTTGTATAAAAGATAGATTAAACACGAAGCTCATATTTAATTTTTTTAAAAAATATATATTTTTTTTAAAACATTTTATCTGTTTTTCCTATGAAAAAACACTAATTCTTTTTATTATGTCAAATATATTTAATCAGCAAAATATAATCAAACCAAGAAAAAAAAAAAAGGAAAGATCCGCGGTAGTTACACCAAATCATGGAAAAAATTAAATCGAGTGATTACCTGTCGAGGCGGTACTAATGTGGTCCTGTGGAGTCAAAGTATGTGAGCATTCTTCCATCACTTTGCATTAAAAAATAATACTAATAATAAAAATAATTGCATTTCTGCATCGATAGAAGACAATCTTCCAATCCAAAGGTAGTTTTGCTTTTTTGATTAGGCAGGCCTATTAGAATAATTTATAATTTATTAATTTTTTTATATGTATTAGATTACTGTAAATTAGATTTCAGAAAAAAAAGACTATTATAAATTAGGCTTATTTTGTCTATAATTAATTATTTGACAACTAAAATTAAAAACACGTTAAATGTAAAAAGAAGATAAAAATATTAAGGGGATGCTTTGTTTTTGGTATGTATTAGTTCCACAATTCTGAATGTGACCGACAATTTTAGCAGGTTGACAAACATGTAAAGACGCAGAAACTTTTCCCAAAGGTACATTCATATCCATCACAAGATATATATCATGTACAGAGCAAACATGGCACGTGGGTAGTCACTGTCTCTGCTCTGTACGTTATTGTGAAATAAAAACAGAAAAACATATAAATAAAAGAAATCCCGGTGGATGAAATTCAACCTTTTCAACTCTCGTCCTTTCGTTAATTTGTTTGCTTTTTGGTACTTTCTTGGACATTATTGTGTTCGCCATGGCCGATTTCTATGTCCAAATTCTTGCTTGGATTCACACGCTCTGTGATAAATTATTAATTATAGCTCTCATTCACCAACACAATTTTTGGTGTTGATCTATCAATTTGATTTCATGAAAACTGTTGGTGAAAGATCTTTGTTTCTGATTTTGCATTTTGTCCAAATATTACAAAAACTGTTTTCTTAACCAACTAAAAATAACATGCAGAATATTTTTTTTAAATAAATATATCCGACTAAATACATAAAGTTACTCTGTAATTTTTATAAAATTATTGTGACAATTTTAATTTTTAATTTGATTTATTAAATATTTCAATTTATAAAATTTTCATTATTAAATACTTTAACTTATAAAATTATTTTATTAAAATTTTGTGATTCAAAAACTCGGAAACGAAATTACTAATAATGGAATTAATTTCTAAATCTCGAAACAACTAAAGGAAAGTAGCCAGAAAGTTGACAATGCTAAAGAAATGGGAGTTGGCAATTTGTCAAAATTTTCGACTTCGTGGGGACAAAATATATTTCTCAATCGATGTTTGTCTCCATCGCGAGCTATTCACTGCATCTAGTTCTCTTGTTGTCATTCTCATCCCCGTCGTTAGTTTTGTTTAGCAGTCTGCTTTTTTTTTTTCACAATACCATGTCATCCTCAGTTGAAAAAAAAAAAGAAAAAGAAGAAAAAATCGTTTGAAAAAGAACAAGAAAAGAATTTGTCAAAATTTTCAACTTCAACCACGAAATATATCACCTGAGACTACGTTTTCAAAAGTTTAATATATATCCTATAAATCTAAAAATAATTATTCAGTTCAATTTTCACACGAAACTTAAAAAAAATTATATTAATGAAGTTTTATTTCATAATTTATCAATTTACTCTTATTTATAATTTTAGTTGAAATTAGTGAATTATTATGGAAAATAAATTTTTTTTGACTTATTAACTTTTAGTAAAAATCAAAAATTATTATGTCCTGTATAATTATGAATTCATCAATAGCTATCAAAGACTTGGATTAGTAAGCTATTATCTATATATTACGTAATGAATTATTACATTCACCCTATGAAATTAATTTCTATATTATTATACTTGTCTTACTCATATAATAAATACTTATAAGTTAGTTTTTTTCCCCGAAAAAGTAAGTTAGTTCATATACCGCAAAGTGAACTAAATCCATTTAATGTGGTTATTCATGTAAGAATAATTGTTAACGGTTAAATATATTCTTGTACTTCAATAATAAAAAATCCTGCGATATCTCTAATTTTGTAAGGATCTATTATGTATTTAAAGTTATGAATTTTAATATATTTTCATATTTTTCTACACCAACAATAATAGTTTTTTGCATTTTAAAGTCTATAAGTAAAAAAAAAAATTAATTTTATGTATTTTTATTATAATTTTGGGATAATAACTTTCACATATTTTAACTATTTAATAAATATTTAATATATTAAATTTTACAAGTTGAAATATTCAATTGAAAAATTTTATTAGTTGAAATATTTAATCGGCATAGTTTTATAAATTAAAATATTTAATGAATTTTTTTTATAAAATATAAAAATGTATTTATGCATTTAGCTACCAATTTAAAAAAAAAAAAAAGAAAGAAAGAAAAAACTAGTTGATAGCCCACAGTAGGGAATTCATGCATATAAAATTCTTTTCATGGAGAAATGCATTATAAAATTTTTATCCATGCCCATCTACACTTTCCTAGTGGTAAAATATTTGACGGAAAGTGGGGAAAAAACAAACTTATTTCCATCACGTAATCGAAGCCTATGGGATGAAAAAGAAAAAGACAAAAAGGTCAATTCAACTTTTATAATACTCACGCTATTTCCTATTTCCTACTGCATATGCTTTCTGCCAACAATAATTTATCCGTTTGAGATCCGGTGTGAAATGGAAAGCTAAAAGTCCAGACGCAATTCTAGCCAATAAGAAGCAAGCATGATAATGCTACCACAGAAATTATTTGACCTCTCAGTGGAGAAAGAGCTTCAAACTTTATATTCTTTGAAAAATATAAATAAATATTACTAAAAAACATTTTTGTCACATTTTTCAACGCAGTTGGACTCATGAATGGACCTCACTATGGAACATGACAGACGTAGTAATGTAACGTAGGCCCCAATGATCTGCTATAAAAGGCCACTCGATCCTCACAAGTTTTGCATCACTAAAGCTCGAAGCCAACATGTATCCTAAATACTTGCTAGTCTTGTTTTTCCTGGGAGTTGTGGTCATCAGCACCACAACACCCTCACTTGCTGATCAGTTTCAGGCTGGTGGCGATCCCAGGCCTAGGCATGAACCTGAACCATCCCATGAGGGCCCACACGGGCCTCCCAAGAAGCCACCTCCAGAACAAGAACCACCTCATGAGCCTCCTAGGGGTAAAGGCGATAAACCACCTCCTGAACATGAGGAGCCACAAGAGCCACCTAGAGGAAAGGGTGAAAAGCCACCACCGGAGCAGAAACCTCCACATGATCCTCATCCTGGACACATTTTGATAGAGGATGATGAGGGTAGAGGAGGGAAACCATTCCCAGAGCATAAACCGCAGCAAGAGCCTCCTAAAGGTCAGGGAGAGAAGCCACCCCAAGAGCCTCCTAAGGGTAAGGGAGAGAAGCCACCCCAAGAGCCTCCTAAGGGTAAGGGAGAGAAGCCACCTCCAGAACATGAACCACCCCATGAACATGAAGGACCACAACAACCTCCAAAGGAACATGGTGAGAAACCACCCCAAGAGCTTCCTAAAGGTAAGGGAGAGAAGCCACCTCTAGAACACGAACCACCCCAAGAGCCTCCTAAGGGTAAGGGAGAGAAACCACCTCCAGAACATGAAGGACCACAACAACCTCCAAAGGAACATGGTGAGAAACCACCCCAAGAGCTTCCTAAAGGTAAGGGAGAGAAGCCACCTCTAGAACACGAACCACCCCAAGAGCCTCCTAAGGGTAAGGGACTCCTTAAGGAGGTAAAGGGAGAGAAAGCTACTCCTCAAGAGCCTCCTAAGGTATATGAGAGGAGGGAAGCCACCTCCAGAACAATTGAACCACCCCAGATGAACATTGAAGGACCACAACCAACCTCAAAAGGAACATGGTTGAAGAAACCCATCACCAGAGCTTCACTATAAGGTAAGGCACGATTGATAGATCCTCTTTAGATGACTCGATAACACCCTCTCATGAGCCTCCTAAAGGGTTAAGGGAGTGGAGAAACCACCTCAGAACATGTGAAGTGACCACATACAACCTCCTAAAAGGAACATGGGTGAGATAACCGAGCGCTCTAAGTGGCCATAAGGACCTGCGCTCGTCGATATCCTGCACGCCTGACACATTTCTTGATTGGGAGGATGATTGATAGGTTAAAGGAGGAAAGCTCATTTTCAGAGCAATATAACCTATCACCAGAGAACCTCCAAGTGATATAGGAGAATAGAAAGCTACTTGGCCGACATTAAACCACTCATCCCAATAATATTGAGAGCATTGAAAGAGCTCCACATGTCCATACTCTAAATGAACATTGGGTAGAAACCACCCCCACGTATTAAGCCTTCCACATTGATCCTCACCCTGGCATAAACATTTTTTGATGGCACGTGGATAGATTACGTAAAGGGAGGTGCCAAAATCCTTTTTTCCTCTCAGCAACGCCAAACCCACCCCAGAGAGCCTCCAAGCAAGAGGTTAGAAGAACCACTGCCCTCAACATAATCTCCACTCCCGATAGTAATTGAACATGATTTAGCACCTCACATAGCAACCGTCTCCAAAGGGAACATGGTTAAGAAACTCACCCCCAGGAGCATAGACCTCAAGGTGTGGATTCCAAAGGAGAGAAGCCACTGCCGGAACATAAACCACCCCATGAACATGAAGAGCCACAGCAACCTCCAAAGGAACATGGTGAGAAACCACCCCCAGAGCATAAGCCTCCACATGATCCTCACCCTGGGCACATTTTGATGGAGGATGATAACGGTAAAGGAGGAAAACCATTCCCAGAACGCAAACCACCCCAAGATCCTCCTAAAGGCAAAGGAGAGAAGCCACCACGGAAGTTGAAGTCACCCTACAAACCTCCATCAGCCAACTGAGTGCTTCACTACTATGCATGGTTATATATATACATAGCTAGATAGCAATAAACTGTCTCTTACTTGGATATGTTTAGTCAGTTGCTTTTATGTATTGGGTTGTGGCTTATGAGCATTACTCTATATTAGTATGCTCTTCCAATGTATGTTTACCTTACGTTGCCAGTATTATAAACCATGCATGTTTTCTAGTTTACGAAATCACCTTTTCTTTCTTTTCTTTCCTCTTTTGTGCAAATTAATATTATATCTAATCTAATTGGAATGACTAAATGTTAAGATAATTAAAAATCCAATTAATGATTTACAATAGTGAGATAATGAATATAATCACCATCCTTAATGAAAATGACAAAACAGTAAATTTTGATTCCATGGACGTTGGAAGTTAATTACTAGTTGCAGCTTTGCATATTCGTGGCCATATATAAATTGAATAGTAAAGCCAACTAAAGTATTGATTTGTTTGAACTTTGACTATTTTGGGTTTCATACATACATACGTACATACATATATTACTTCATTTCAGTTAACTGATTTGAAGGTCAGAAAAATATTACTATACTGACAATTTCATTTGCCAAGAGATGATGCATGCAAAATTTGCCAAAATAAGGGAAGAAGAAAATAAAAGAAAAGGTAATCATCTTTAATGTACTTGCCCTCTCCCTTGATATTCTTCTTTAATGAAGTTAAAAATGGATCGAAGCACCCCAAGTTACAAAATATGATTAACTTTCCTTCTGTAATGACTCTCATTACATCAATATTGGTATGAACTTATATTAATGCTTTGTTTGGAGAAGGAGATTTTCTCTTTATATATATTAACTTTTTGAGATAGGTTTCTTTGTCTCTTTCCTTTTGTAACCCAAAGAAAAAAACATTATATATATATATAACATATCAAGGGAAAGGAATTTTCTTTGTTTAAAAAGGGTGAAAGAATGAAAATATGTATTTTTTTTCCTCTCCATTCTACAGAAATTTTAAATTAGAGAGGAAATGATGAATGAATTGAAAAATTACATGTTGTTTAATGTGGAATAAATCCATTATTTCTCCTTTTTTTTTTTTCCCCTTTCCATTCAAACGAAAGAGTGGAAATTGACTAAGAAAAGAAAACAATAGTACTTCATTATTTTTCCTTTTTATTTTCCTTCCACTATTATTTTCTTTCCTCTCCTTTCCAAACAAAGTCCCAAATTAAAAATCCTAATGATAACAATTAATTAATATCATATGTAGGCGTACTAAAAATTAATATTCATAATAATTAAGCTAGATTTATAAACAATAGCAATGGATAAATTAAAGTAGAAGTTCATAAACTTCCAAGTCTATCAATATCCAAATTATACACATATAATAATAATAATACGTACATGCATGCTTTTGCATGGAAAAAGGTAGTATATGTAAATTAGGTCTAAATAACGTGATTAATTTGAATGGTGACAAGAAAGCATAATGGATTAACATGCAGCTACCACTTGACCTTGTTGGCTTAATCATCCCGCACTTGAAAGTTAATATATGGTACAAGTTAAATCTCAAATTAAACCCCAATAGATATTTCATAAATCAGTTCAAATCAGGAACCTATTGGCTCATAAACCAGCATGTTAAAATACAAACATGTGCTGCTATGGATAACTTAATTTTGTGTCTGAAGAAATATAAAATTGTAAGTAATGAAAATTGTCAAACTTTTCAACTATGTGAAACCCAAAGCTCCACTCGCTTTTACTTTTGCAACTGATTTTTAATAATTGCGACTTGTTAACCTTTATTTTATCACTTCAATAAATTTTTTAAAACACTGATATTTGAATTTTATTATTATGTAAGGCTAATTTAATTTGAAGCTTACACATAATTAAAATTCTTTGCCTTTTTTTTCATATTGAATATGAGAATTCTTCACACGTATCTAGATTATATTGTCAATTAAATCGCAACTTACAGTTCATCACTTCGATACTTTAAAGTTTATGAAGTTCATTTACAAATTGACACTTTGAATTCCATAATTGATATACTCAATCATTTATTTGTAAGTTCATACTATTAATTTTCAAATTCTTAATTTGAAAATTTTGATTACTCTGTTGAGTGTACTAAAATTTAGAGTTTAGATTATTGAGAAACTTGATTTAGAGATATTGTTTGTGCCAGAATTTGGTGACACGTGTATGGAAAAATATATATATATATATAAGAGTGGCTACAGTTTCGAACCGGCGGTTCCGGTTCTAAATTTTTTGGAACCGGAACCAAACCCAAAATTTTTGGTTTTGGTTTGGAACCGAATGGTTTCGGTTCTGGTTCTTTAACGGTTTCAAAACCGACGGTTTCGATCTGTTTTCCAGCGAATCGTATAATTTTAAATTTTAAATTTTGAAGACCGGTTTTCAAAATTTTAAAAATTTGTGAAAGTTATTTCTAAAAAAAAAATACATCTAAAAAACAATATAGAGTTTAAGAAGTTATTGAGAAACTTATTTATAGATATTTGTTATGTGCCAGAATGTTGGTGGACCAGCACGCTGTATGGTAAATTTATGCCTACATATTTTGACATATTATGTGAAGAGTGGGCATTCATACAGTATTCGACAAACCGGCCGGTGCTTCCCACGTTTCTAAATTTTTGGTGCACACGGAAACCCAAATCCAAATATTTTGCTTTAAGCTTTTAGACCGAGTTTACCGATTCTGAATATCTTTAACGCTCTCTCAAACGTCGGTTTCGATTGTTTTTCCTAGTCTAATCGTTTCCAAACTTCCCCTAAATAATTTTAAATTTAAATGTTGAAAAGATGGTTTTCAAAATTTTAAAAATTTTTTGAAATCTCATTTCTAAAAAAAATAAACAATTCTAAAAAAAAAAAAATGCCATGTCAATTAAATTTATTAAAAAACATTTGCGAAACTTAAATATTTTAACAAAAATCTTCCAACTTGAATATATTTTGAGTGTAATATTTATATAAATTTAAATTGAACAATAAATTAAAAAAAAAAATGAGCGTTTGAACTTAATTTTGTGAATTAATTCCATAAATATATTTATTTCTCTTTTTCAAAAAATACTTCTGTAAACCTATCCGTTTTATAATACTGTTTGATAATTTGAGTGCTGATGGTCTTTTTCATTTTTAATTCATAATCTAAAAAGATTGTGTAATTAGAGATTCATCTAATATAATATTATATATAAGAAAAGAGAGAGGACTGCACCAGCCACCAAAATATCAACTTTTAAAAAAAATCTTTATTTTATTTTTATAAAAAATATAAATTGAGTTTAATATAAAATTCCAGCCAAGATTAGTGTTTGCTTTCTTTTTACCCCAAAAGGAACAAAGTAGTCTACCACCAAATATCAATTTAAAAAATCTATTATTTTATTTATAAAAAATATAAATGAGTAAAAAATCCAGCCAATGACATTAGTTGCCCAAGAACAAGTATCTATCGGCTGTCACACGTCACCCAATAGATCTTTGACACCTGCATTGGGTCAAAACATAGGATCCCATTTTGTCGTCATCTCCTTTTGTAGTTTTAGGTGTACTTGACGACGTGGCGAGAAATTTATGGTCCAACGTAGAAAGCTTCTTCGATGTTAGAATACACGTGCCTATTGCTCCTTCAATATCGTAGGGCACGACATATATACATATATATATATAATCAATGAAGTCAGCGGGCCACACAAAATGGCAAGAGACAATGAAAGAAACGTGATCCAACAACGCAGAAGTCGTGTAGGGAATCATAACCGTTCAAATTACTAATGAAATTGAGGGCTGCGTCCTTTTTTTTAATTATTTTTTTAATATATAAGTTATCTAAACATATTTTCTGACATTTGAAGTGTAAAAAAAATATCAATGAATAAGAAATATTTTCCATAGGAAAGGAAAATTATACTATTTAAGAAAAAAAATAACTTTTTTTTTTACAAAAACATTTTTCTTCTAAAAAAAAAAAGAAAAATATTTTTCGAATATTAATAAATTTATTATAATTTTTTTATCAGTAAATATAAATTTATTATTATTAAAAAATAGCTGGATTCTTGTAATACAAACTTATTATAGTTTTAAAAACATATATTTATATTAAATTGTTGATCACGGGTAATTACCATCAATTATTAGTCAATGGCTACCACCAACCTTTACCATCAGGATAACTATCAATTAATCATTTTTATGCCTTTTTTTAAATTTATTTTACTAATTTCTAAATAATTCTAAATATTTTTCAGTTAAGTTTTTATAGCGTAGCTAAACAAGAGAATAATAATAAATTTACTTAATATTTCATTAATTTTTTTTTGTCAAATGTAAACCAAGTCTTACTAGTAGTCATGTCACAATGTTTATTTTCCTTGGGGAGGAAAGGAGTAGCTAATTGATTTTCAATACTCTCCACACCGCTTCAAGAAGGTAATTAGACCAGATTTCTTTTATAGGTTCCTCTACTTTCTTCCTAGCACAACTGCATTAACTTACTTAACTTTATCTTAAAAGAAATTTGGAATAGTGATTAATGAAAATTGTCAAGCTTTTCGACCAATGAAGACAAAATGGACATACTACACACATTGCTACCAACTGATTAAGCTGTACTCGCCTAATGGCCACTTGTTTTCCCTCGGGAGGAGTGGCTAATTAACTTTCAGGCTTTCTACATCGTTTCAAAAAGTGATTAGACTAATGAACACAGATGTCAACTATCCAAAGGCCCGTGGTTTGACGAATTAGTCCTGCAATCCACCATAAATGGCCACTCCAGTTCTCAAGTTTCTGCAGATCACTAATTAATAGCTCAAAAAATGAGTCTCAGTCTCAAGCACTTGCTAGTATTGTTCCTCGTTGGAGCTTTGATTCTTTCTTTAACCCCTTCGCTTGATGCTCAACTCTTACCACCAAGAAGGCCACCAAGAATTCCACCAAGAAGGCCACCGCGTGGAAGGCCTCCCTCTAATTCTGGAAGAAAAACGTTATCTTTTGGTAACCAGTTATTATTTCCGTTGCAGAAACAGCCATGTTCTGGTGTTGTAAAGTTTCCGAGGGATAGAAAGTGTTAATTGCATGTCGAAGCTATCCAACACCTATCTCTGCTCCACCATTTATGTATTGATAACAAATAATCATGTCGGTCCCTGTATTTATATCTTATCATGAAGATTATAGTCTCATGGTACGTGTGTGAAAATAAGGGCTTAGAGTATATAATGCCACCACTTAAATAAAATTTGTGGATTGTGTTGTTTGTGCTGCTTTTGCTTAGCTGAATATGTTGCTTGAACTGAATAATATTAAATAAAAAAGTATATTTCCTGTATATTTTTTTGCCTTTCGTTTGAGCTAATTGCAGCAAAGGAAAGTATTTATATGCAGAAAAAAATGAGTAAAGAGGAAAAAAAGTTTACAATGAAAGCACTAAAATACTCCTTAAAATGGTAAATTCTTCATTTAGGACAAGAGAGGAGAGAAAGAAAAGCATGCACATAGATTTGCATTGCCATTTGGCTGAAGAAAGGTTACACGTATATGAATGAACAAACCAAATGACCTTAACATTGCTTGAATCAAACAAATATGAGTTGAAGCATATTACAATTTCACACAACCTTCAACAGCTATAAATTGCCAACATATATCACACCTTCTGCAACCCATTGTAGTGCAAAAATGTCTACTCCATACATGAAGCTGCTGCTTTACTTCTTCATTGCTTTGACGGTTTTTGTCATCCCATCCCTCTCCCATGATCAACCCAAAAACCTAAGTTCAATGGATGAAAATAATAACGATCATCATCAATGTGCCGGCTGTAAGCAGCAAACACCACAGCCTCCTAAATCTGAACCACCCCAAAAAGGTGAGCGTCCACCGCCGTCTAAAGGCAAGCCGTGTCCTCCACCATCGCAGCCACCCCAAAAGGGTGAGCGTCCACGGCCGTCTAAAGGCAAGCCGTGTCATCCACCATCGCAGCCACCCCAAAAGGGTGAGCGTCCACGGCCGTCTAAAGGCAAGCCGTGTCATCCACCATCGCAGCCACCCCAAAAGGGTGAGCGTCCACGGCCGTCTAAAGGCAAGCCGTGTCATCCACCATCGCAGCCACCCCAAAAGGGTGATTCACCCCTCACAGCACCCCAAAAAGGGTGAATCGTTCCCACCGCCATCTAAACCACCGCCATCTACAGGCAAGCCGTGTCCTTCACCCTCACAGCCACCCCAAAAGGGTGAACGTCCACCGCCATCTAAAGGCCAGCAGCCTTCGCCACCATCACAGCCACCCCAAAAAGGCCAGCGTCCACCGCCATCTACAGGCAAGCCGTGTCCTCCACCATCACAGCCACCCCAAAAGGGAGAGGGTCCACCGCCATCTAAAGGCCAGCAGCGTCCGCCACCATCACAACCTCCTAAATCTGAGCCACCTCAAAAGGGTGAGCGTCCACCACCATCTAAAGGCAAGCCGTGTCCACCACCCAGAGGTGAACAGCCTTCACAGCCTAAACCCAATCCACCACCTTCAAAAGGAGAGCCTGTTTCACCTCCAAAAGGCCAAAAGCCATGTCCACCACCATCTCATCAAGGTCAGGCTCACCCGCCACCTAAAGGGGACCCTCCAATAACTTTGTAGGTTTCATCTTATATGGACAGAAGCAGCAGCTAATACCGTCAAATATCCAAAGCTGGCCTATCATATTATATAGAAATAAGTGTAAGTAATAAACGACATGCTAGGTTTGCTGGTGTACTGAAAATCTAAGTACCAATAAACCACATGCTAGGGTTGCTTTGCATGTTTTATTATTTATCTATCTTTCATAATTTTTCAGCTAATATGGTTACAGAAATAAAAGTAGTCAAGCAGAAACAAATAAATGAATAAATAACTCCATTGCAATAATTCAGACTTAGTAGAAACCTAGTATTAAGAACATAAATAATAACATCACTCATAAATTTAAAAATAAAATGAAAAGGTAGAAATCTGCTAAGAGGAAAGGGACTTCAAAATCATAAATTTTAAAATAACGCTATATTTGCAAATTGCAACCAAATGGCTCCAACATTGTTGAAGTTAACAACAAATGCAACTTCAAAATCATGTCAAAAACTTGGCGCAATATTTGAAGCCAACCAGTTTGGTTCAGTTCGGTTTTTATGGAACACAGAAAACAATCTAGTCTAAAACAATAAAAAATAACTGAAAAATGATTGAACCAAATCGATTTGATTCCATTTGTATACGCTTCTCTGTTTGATTCAATTTTCATTTTAAAATCTAAGATTTATTTGATTTTCTCCTGGTTCGGTTCAATTTCAAGCCGTAGCAACTATTTAAACAACCCTAGGTACTCCACATTGCCTCTTGAAAATGAGCCGTCACCTTCCCTTAGAGGTGAGCCCACACTGCCTCTTGAGAACGAGATTGCACTTCCACCTGGAGGCAAGCTCGTAGCGCCTCCTAGATATGAGCCAAGACAACCACCAGGCGAGCCATACACCACAACAGAGCCACCATGCCCACCAATCCATCAACACCTAAATGGCCACCATGCTTGCACTGCGGTTTTTATCTTAAAACCAACATAATAAAATAAGATTAGTAATAATTAACAATTTATTATTATATGTTTAGAAAAATTAATTAAATTAATTGAATATTTTCTTAAAATTAAAATACCAGTGTCAATTCAAATATAGTTAATAAATGATTACGAAAGAGTTACAAGTTAAAAAAAATGATTATAATAACTGAAAATAATACAAGTTTTAACATATCATAATAAATGGCAAGTAATAATTTAATTAAATTGAAATTAATGTGTAAATAATTTGGGAAAAAATCAAAAGGAAAAAAAGAGGGATTATTATAGAATAATTTAGAAAACAGTTTAGATGGCAAAAAATGGATGGTTAATGAACATAAATAAATAAATAAATAATAATTCTACATTTGTCTCTTAGGTCAGTGGATACAAACAAAGAAAGAAGAAAAAGAGGAAGAAGGGAAAACTTACCCTTCAAAAATTTCAGTTTATACCGTTAATGGTAGTAGTTTCATATGTTTCCGCACACCTATCAGCCGCCAATTAAGAAAACGCGTAAAGGGCCAATCTTTTAATCAATTTTTTTCGAAATTAAAAAACAAACTGAAGATAAATTTCTTCAATTTATGCACTTAGGAATGCATTTTTTCAAATATATTCGTTGTGAAAGTTGACATTTGCGAAATCATGGAGGAAAAAAGAACCTTGCTTCTCAATCCTTCTCTCTATTTTGGAATCATCAACTTGCCTAATTTTTCCAGTTTTTCAACTGGCATAGTCTCAGTGGAGCCTCCTAACCCAAAAATCAGCGGAGTTTTATTTTGACATTTCGCAGACTGTGTATGAAGCAAAACGAATAATTTTGGGACACCTTTTGCCAATGTAGGTGCCAAACCATTATAAAAGGGCATTGATTCTTCTACTTTTAAACCATCAAAGCATCAAAATGTCTAACACATACCTGCTAGTGTTGCTAATTGGTGTGGTGGCTCTGGCCACTCCTTCCTTGGCCGATCACCACAAGCCATCTCACTTTGAGCACTTTCCACCTGCTTTTAGCCCCAAGCCTGCCCCTGAGCACAAGCCACCAATGCCAGTTCATAAACCTCCTCCTAAGCTGGAGAAGCCAATCCCTGAGCCCAAGCCACCAATGCCAGTTCATGAACCAGGAAAACAGAAGCCATTAACCCCAGCTGAACCTCCCAAAGTATCCAAGGGATTCCCAGAACACAAGCCACCAACTCTACCTCCCAAACCAGGATTTTTGCCGCCAGAACATGAGCCATTACCACCTCATGGTCAATTTTCAGCACACCCTCCAATGGAAGGTGGTGAAGGCCCTCACAAGCCACCAAGGAAGATAACGCCTTCTCCGATGCCACATAAGAAGCCACCTAGTCCACACTACAAGGCACCTCCACCGATTCGTGCCTACTGATGAGTTAGTGCTGATATAGAGAGACTATCAGAAACTAGAAATAAGAGCTTATATGCAGTCATTCTGCCTTTTCTCTATTTAACTCATACTATAATTGCACTATTGCACGTCAATAATAGCCGATGGGCATGTCTTTTTATTTATCCTTACGTAAAGCACAGTAGTCAGTGCATATATATATATATATATATATATTATCCTTACGTAAAGCCACAGACGTCAGTGCATATAATATACTATATTATATATTATATATTATATATAGTCATTTACATATTCTGCTTCTATATATATATATATATATATAGTCATTTACATATTCTGCTTCGGTTGGTTGGTCAAAATTCTATCGGACATGCATTATTCAAAGATTGTTCAACTATTATAAGATTAGTTATGTATTATACAAAGGATGTAAAAGTGAAGTGATTCGTTAACTGTGAACAAATATGCCTATATGACATCGATTAGCGAGAGCATAGAGCATGTAAAACCATAAACACTATCGTTGAAATTGGCTTTAAAACTAGGTACTATTAGTAAGCATTCGCATGCAACTACAATGGCACTGGGCTTTTTCGGTAGTCTCTGATAACATGTTAACCAAGCTTAACTTACTCTCCATAAGGTAGCTCAAGGGGAGGAGAAATCGCTCAAGTTTTACATGTTGACTTAAGACCTTAATCCTGAATCAATATGGGATAATAAGATTGGCTGAGAAAATAAACACAGAACAAAGAAGTTGTGTGTTCACACTTTTTTTTTTTTTCGAAAAAGGAGAAGATTTTGATGATCTTACTATACCACTGACGAGCCCGGCTTAAGTCCTGGCAACACAAGCGGTTAAGTCCTGAACCTTCCCCAATTCCATCAACAACTTTCAGTCTTCTATGCTACAATGCATAAAATAAATGAAGAAGTTTAAAAATGTAATAGTCATGACCAATGTCAAAAGAGAAAAAAAGATTAGGGTGTCATTGCGGGGAAAACAGGATTAAAGACTGTTCATATGTAATGTAATCTGCTACTATTTCTATAAATAAATCTAAAGCAGTTGCAGTTAATGCAAGTAATTATCTAAACCAGCTTCATCCTAAAACTGTGTAACATCTTAGCTTAATTGCAAAGAAAGCGAAAGATCAACAACAGTAAGATCTTCTAAACGTTTCCTCCACAAGAGTACAGAGCCTTTGCCCAATTTTCCAATTTTGCTCACTCAATAGGACCCAAATGTAACAATCACATTTAAGCCTCAACTAAAAATTAGAAACTTAGTTTGACTTTTTTGCAAAGTGACAAATAGAATGAACAAAAGAATGACATATGTACCCTCTGGCAAAGTCTTCAAACCACTATAAACGGGTCCTCGTTCTTCTTTTATCATGCAGCAGCACCATCAAAAGCCTAAGGATGCACACTTTCTTTTTAATACTCCTCCTTGGAGTAGCTGTTTTAGCCACTCCCTCTCTTTCTGCCAAATATGAACGTTCTAAGCCAGACGAATCTGGTTACAGCCCTTCCACCTTAGCACCCTAAGGTAGAGAAACCACCAGTTTTCAAGTACACCCTAAGGTAGAGAAACCACCTGTTTACAAGCCCCCTAAGGTAGAGAAACCACCAGTTTACAAGCACCCTAAGGTAGAGAAACCACCAGTTTTCAAGTACACCCTAAGGTAGAGAAACCACCTGTTTACAAGCCCCCTAAGGTAGAGAAACCACCAGTTTACAAGCACCCTAAGGTAGAGAAACCACCAGTTTACAAGCCACCTAAGGTAGAGAAGCCATTCCCTGAACACAAGCCACCAACTATACCTCCCCCTATCCACAAGCCAGTGCCACCTTATGGCCACTATCCAGGACATCCTCCAGTAGAAAATGCAGAATATTACAAGCCTCCGAACAAAAGATTTCCTCCTCCCAACTCCTCAAATTGAACCACCTAAACCACAATATGAGCCACCCCACAAGCCCCCATCTCCTATCCATCCAAACAACTGATTTAAATTAATTTGGATGTCTTAGTAGCTTAAATAAGCGCTGCTTCAAGTTATTATCACATCTCGTATGTCTCATACACCAGTTACTACAAGCAAGGAATGCTTATCTTCTTTCTTATTGTTCTTTGCTTGTCCATTGTAATTGATGAGCATATATATCTATGTTCTAGCATGTAAAGCAGCAACTGTCGGTGGTTTGAAATTTCTTATATATATAGATTTCTTATTTTGATGTTTGACACGCTATTTTTTACTTGCTAAATAGCTCCAGCATAACTATTGGAGACACTATTGTATACGAATGGAAAAGTCCTGTCCGCAAAGCTCCTATTATCAAATTTCAACTAAATGTTCAATTATGAGCTTAAGGGAAGAGGGCCTAAAAGATCTAACGCAATTGACTTACCTAATAAACCTTTAACAACATTAATTAATATGTGATGATCTGATTGGCTAGTCGGTAATATTGATTTTGTGTGTTAAGTCATGTTCCCCAACCTTTTTTCAAAAGTCTAGTCTACCTGCTAAGGTTAAAGAAAATCCCAACACCTCGTATCCAATTAGCTGGATAGTCTATCCAGCTAACTTTCACCAAGATATTTGACTGCTTCTACAAGGAAAGAATATTGAAGTCACTCTGGAGGTAGTAATTGTCTTTGATCCTAACCATTAACCAATAGGCGTAACTTAGCTTACCTGGTACATACACTAAAGAAAGTCTTAAGCAAGGTCATGGATTGAAAACTCAGAGCTGATGAACCAAAGGACCAAAAAAAACACGCTATTCCACTATGAGTTAACAAGCTTGTTCGTTTCACATGTCAAGCATTTGAAACTCTTAACATTTAACTGTAACTAATGAGATTAATATCCATATCATTCCACTTCTTCCTCGATTTGACCCAACTGCGATCAAGAGTTCTTTTTGGTTAGTGCTAATGATTTTTAAGCCAGTATTAATCAATCATATTGCTAGGTTTCCATAACTCAAGAGACATTACCTGCTCTTTCTGTGATTCAGAGCGAGTAAGAGTAGACTGCTTCCAGTCCATGAGGCCATGCCATGCTATTCCTTCTTAATATAGAAACGCTTGTAAAATTTCCTGGCCTTGCAATGAGGCTGTTTTTTAACCTGTCATTTCTGATGCAAAGTAAACAACCTTATCATGACACCAAGACTACCATCCATTGCGAATCATAAATTTATAATAATTTACACCAAAAGCTTTATAGTTTACCTATCAGGTATAATTCCAAGTTCACATACAAGCATGTGATTGAAAATATGCAGTAATTTAATGAAATAAGCCCATTACTCCTATCATAAATCCCACCATAGTTTCAATGTATGGTTGGAAGAAAACAACCTGCTGATTGCACAATTTGTTTTATCCTTCCATATCTCTAACAAACTATAACCAATCTCATTTCTCATGGCATTATACATAAAAATCTTCAGTTGCATAAGTCAATGCTGGACGAAGTTTTTTTTTTTTCCTTATTTCATTAACTGATAAAGCAATCATTAAATTGAAGTACTGGTGCACCAATTCTGAATTGTTATTGTATTGCTCGTTCTATTAGACACCGTCAGTCTCCTGCGAAATATTCAGTAAGTAAGAATAACAATTCCTGAATTCCTAATAAAAAGGATTATTGCTGCTTGAGTAGCTTACAATTATATATGAATTATCATTTCAACAGAAGCAGAAACAACATCCAAATCAAAATTGCCGTTCCAATTCATGAGGAGAATAAAAAAGAACAAAATAAACTAACAATTAGGGCTCCGGAAAGCCCATTAGTGATCAAATTCCGAATTCCGTTTCCAGTTGGTTAATAAGATAAGAATTGCATAAAATCACTGACATTGATGGGAGGAATGTTTGTACACAATCAACACCTAATTCAATTCGTTCCAGTAATTAGCAATTGTAAGTAAACCAAATCCGATCAATCCTTTTAAATAACAAAATGAAACAACATATAGATATTCTCCGAGAGAAGTAGAAGCCTTACTTAAGCAACATTTTTCTGCAGTTTTGAATTTGAAACGAGAATAGACCACCATGTCTATCCCCAACGTCCATCAGTCAATCACCATGGGAAGGCAATAGCTCCTAGAATATATTCAAATTTGTGTAAAACTCTAGCTAAGAGCAGAGATATTTGAGTCATTATCTTTTTGTTCAGCCAAGATGGGAAATAATACCGTTCAAACTTCAAACCATTTTTTTCTTTTCTTTTTTTTTTTTTAAAGAAAAAAAAGGATCACTTAAAATACGGTGAAATGGCAACACTGAATCTGAACCCCTACTTGCTCTCCTAGTATTATCTTCTGTATAAAAAGCCCCAGATCGCAGAACCTTTGAAAACCCATCTACTATCTTCTCTTCTCAAAATTCCTCATCTACAATGGCCTTCGATTCTCTTCTTGTTGGCCCACCGGGGATCTATTCCAATCTCCCCTCCATCTCCGTCGATATTGATGGCGACATGACCTTGTCCGCCTTCCATTAAAAAATCGGAAATATCCGCCTAGGAAGCACCACCCTCCCTACATCTGGCTTCAGGGAGAACAAATCCCTTACGTACGTGGACTCTGGAAACCCTTGCCTTGACTTTTTCTTCCACGTGGTGCCCGATACGCTAGAGTTCATTGATAGCGGCTTATAAACGATTGGGCTTGTGATCCATTAACGACGTTGAAGCTTGTTTGTAATCTAAGGGGAGTTAGGGGCACAGGGAAGTCGGATAAGGAGCAGTTTTACACTGCTGCTTTATGGTTGCACAAAAACCACCCAAAAACCCTAGCTTGCAACGCGAAGATTTTGGCAGAGTTTGGATACTAAAAGGATTTGCTGGAGATATTGTATAGGTTGCTAGAAGGAGAGAATGTGAGACGGAAAGAAAGAGATGAATGGCAAGTGAAGAAAGCAAATAAAGGGGTTTCGAGAAAACGTAGTTTGTTTGCCAAGAAACGCGCTGCAAAGGCGGCAAGGATGCATTCAAGGGTGGGAAGAAATAGTAGGAAATACTCACCCAATACTTCACTCGAATATAAGCCTGAACCAGAGGCAACACTGCCAAAAGAAGTGAGGGTTGCCAACCTTAAAGCTCAAGCGAGGACCTTGAGGAAGGAGAAGCA